AGCGTTTTCTAAAATTGAAGGCATGTCCCAAAATGATGCTCTAAGTCCTGTCGTTAAAAATACTAGTTCAATAATACCTTTTACTGTATGTTTTAATACATCTCTGCCTAATATTGGTGAAATCTTAAATAAATATTGGGATCTATTACTTTTGTCTGATAAGGTAAGCGTTAAAAATATACATAACAAGTTCAAACCTATTTTAGCATATAGACGTCCTAAAAACATTCGAGATTATCTTATGAGAAGTGCTTTACTTGATCGCACATTTTTATCTAGCCAATGTTTACTAAGTAGATGTTCACATTGTAACAATATAATTGTTGGTTCCCAATTTAATAGCAGCATAACAGGTAGTTCTTTTGATTTACACAATGATGTTAATTGTACTACGCGTAATGTAATTTACCTCATTACATGTAAAGGCTGTAAAAAGCAATACGTAGGTCAGACTAATCAAAATGTATCATGCAGAATGAATAAACATAGATTTGATATAAGAAATTGTGATGTTAATCCAGTTTCACATGTTGCGATCCATTTCGGATCAAACGATAATAAGTGTTCATTGTCAGATTTTTCATTTTTACCTATAGAAATTATAGACAACAACATGGACCGGTTATGTAAAGAATCTTTTTGGATCCATAAATTAAATACTATGATTCCAAATGGACTAAATAATAAAGTATTGTTTGATTTATAATAGGTTACATGAATATTAATATGTTTGTCTATTATCTTATTTTTATTAACACTGTCTAATAGACATCTGTATCACTGTTGATCCATTTTAATTCATGTACCAGCTTTATTTATAGCATAAATATTTGTTTCTACATGTTATCATAGTTTTGCCGCTAAACGCCATAACGTTTTTCGCGCGTTTAACGCGTGTTCTGTTATGACGTCGCTTCCGGTAATTTTATTATGTTTTGCACTGATGAAGGCATATAGCCGAAACGTTTGCAATTAAATTAAATTACTAAATGTTCGTGTTTGTGTGGCTTGTCTGATTAGCTATTACTGATGTAATAGCTAAAATTCAGAAATGCAGCAGTAATTTGTGAATTTTGGATGGAAATCAAATTAGCCCTTAATTTATCAGATCTGATTTAACTAGAAGCTTTTGCATGGTTTTAGAAAATGTTTTTTTTCTTCATGATGCATAATGAATATCTTAATTTCATCAACTTTTTAAAGCAGTATACAGACCTACAGATGATGAAAACATAAAAACTGTTTTAATGAATAACAATTATGTTGGCTGGTATAATAAAGTAATTTTACGGAGCATAAGGCATTAAATTCTATCCACAGAAATACTATCAACTTTCTCTAAATTCTCTAATTCTGTCATTGATTGCACTATTACATACAGTCAAACCTATGTCAAAGGCTACCTCCAAATAAAGACAAGCTAGTAAATACAGACCACTCTCTTTGACAAACATTCAGTGATAAAAATACAACAGAGTAGACTCTGAGTCCAAAAATGCCATGAATGATCTCTCCTATTCACAGGTTTGACTGTACATTTCTTTTCTTTAATTTGAATTTTTAAAGATTTATTTTGACTCATCTGAAGGTGTGCCATGTTAATGTTAGGAAGCTGTGGATATGCATAAATGATGGAAAGGCCAATAGTAACAAGTTGTTATAAAAGTAATACAATGTACATATAATTACTAATAATTGTGATTCTGAATAGCCCAACACTCATTAATTTTATGATGTTTATGGACTGTCTTGGTTTATAATTATTTCATATCACAATATCAGATTAAACATTTAAATGCTGTGGATGTTTTTTAAGGAAATAAAACCTTTTTTTTAATATATCTTCTTGTTCTGTAAAGAAGGAATAGTTTTGCAGAATAAAAATCAATTATACCTCATACAATTTTTTAAATTAATTTTGAATAAGGACAACAACTATTCCCTAGTGTTTTAATAAACATTTTTATGGAATCTTCAGATTCATTAAAATGCGAATATTACAGAAGAGGTCCAAGGTAAAATTCTTGAATATTTTTGACTGTGTATTTTATAATAAAGCATTATTCAGGGAGTTATAGCATTATCTTTCTGGTTTTTTGTTGTTGTTTTTTTTCTTTATTTAAATGCAGAAATTTGATGTCCCAGCTTGTGACTAAAATAATGCTCAAGCTTGCTCTTAAAATTTACTCCCACCAGTTGCTCTTAAAATTTACTCCCACCAATATAATTATCTGGAAATTTACTGTATGACCTTTACATTCTTGGTATGATTTCAAGCAGCATGCCTACAGATTCATGCTTATTTTTCAAAAAAATTTTGAAAATGTATTTGCAAAGTAAAATATCATGAAGTGGGCAAAGAAAATTAACATTGCAAATGAGACTTACAGTCCACAAAAATTACCAAAATGAGGTAAAAATCTGCAAAAATAGCCCTTACTGTGTAAGTCACACAGTAGAAATATGGGGAAATCAGTCATACCATGATTGTAAATTATTACATTTGTACTTGAATCTTGAATCTTTTTACTTTCCTTTAAATCTTAGTACAGTTTTCTCAAATGTTATTCTTGAAATACTTTTAGCTCTTCTGGAGGCATGCAGATTTTTAAACCCAAACAAATGAAATAGTAAATATATTATAAACCAACAAACTTTTTTATTGTGTATGTTTGTACATTAAGTTATTTAAATGGTATTTTCAAAATAAAATGCTACAAACTATGAATCTTGCAGCACAGATTACTGATCTGGTCTCCAGTGTAAGCTAGAAATTAAACCACCAAAGACCTAATCAATCTTGGTTTGTACACGAGAACAAAATTGTAGTCAAAATCAAGCAACAAGTCTGCTTTCAAACACTTTTTTGTCATTTCCTGCAAGTTAGCAATACAGACAAATTTTCTTGATTTGTTTTTTGTATTAGGTGACAGCTGTCAAATTTGCATACAGAACAGCTCTTTATTCCTTTTGAACACGATAAGGCATTATTCTTTGTTGACTACACATATGTATTTTTATACAGTTTTTATTTGTTTGGGTTGTCAGACCAAACAAAATAATATTGGTAGCAAAGTTTCAGACCCTGATGTGCTTATTTGCAAAAACCGAAAGTAGTCCAAACTCCCCGAAGTGGTTACCTCCCTTTATATGTACACTAACGCCGAAAAATTAAAGGGGAAATCACTGTGTAAAGATTGTCAAATGACAGGCGCATTAATTTTCAAACTTTCTTGGGGGAAAAAAATAGTTCCCGAATGGTCGAAGATTTCTAATATTGTGTTTTTCTTTATAGATATACATGCTTATATTCAGCTCCATGATTATTTACATCAGTGTTAAACAACAGGTTTACCGTGAACAAAATATATCAAAATTAATAAGGGTTACAAACCGTAATTTAGAATAACGTGGTTTTCTTCAGGCCTTTATCATATAACTTCACCGTGGCCGAGGGCTTTGCACGCTCACTTAGGAAGTGAGAGGTCTGGAGCTCGAATCCCAGCTAAGGCAACTCATTTTTTAAAAAAATTGTTTTAGTCAAATAAACATTGAATTGAATATCAGTGTTACAATTAGTCTTATAGCCAATTTACTACAGTTAAAACACTGGAAACAGCAGTGGTGGCTGCGACTATACAAAAAACAAATTGGTTTATAATCTCACAACCCTCACCTTTCTGACATTCTGAGACCCAAACAAATTCAGCGCCTTCTGTACTTTGATTAAACTTAGTCTAGTGTTTTAACTATTACTTGGAAAGGGAATTCAGTCAACCTTTGCTGCTAGTATAGAGCCAGACCTAAGCCTGCACACCTGTAGTGTGACTCAAGGCTCTATACTGTTGCTAGATCAATTTTTGTGTTTTATTTTCGCAATACATTTAAAATGGTGTTTTCTAAAATTGAAACAAGAGCGATCAGTGATCATATGTGTCGCCTCATGATGGCCAATTTCATGTTGGGACAAGTTTTGTGGCAGACGGACAGACAGATGGACAGTGCACAACTAGACTTGGTACTGATCATTCCTGTAAAGTTTGGATAAATTGCACCAGTAGTTTATGAGAAATAGTCTGGACAAGCTTTTGTGTATCTGGCAACACACAGAAAAAAACACCTTTTTATCAAAGGGCCATAACTCGGCCACAAATCATTCAACCAAAAAACCCGTGCAATATGCGCAAGGACTTGAGCTACAGATCAATCCTGTAAAGTTTCATTGAAATTGCATTAGTGGTATAAGAGAAGTAGTCTGTACAAACTTTAAAAATAAAAATTATTAAAGGGCCATAAATCTGACAAAAATCATTTAACCGGAAAATGCTGACAATATGCACAACTAGACTTGGTACTGATCATTCCTGTAAAGTTTGGATGAAATTGCACCAGTAGTTTATAAGGAGTAGTCCGGACAAGTTTTGTGACGGACGGACAGACGGACAGACAGACAACGGAGAAGTGATCCCTATATGTCGCCACTACTCCGTAGAGGCGACACAAAAAGGGCACATGCATCACACAAATTCAGCAGGTAAATGGTTTATGACAATCAGAATAATTATTGAGCCAAGTTCTCGCTACATATATTTATAATTGGTTGTCTTTTGGGAATAAATAAATAATTAAAAGAAAACCCATCTTGTACTGATATAAAAGAATGACAAATCTTGTGATTTTAAGCTTCCCTATTTAGCAGTGGTGGGGAATGACATATAGATTAGGTTGTCTCTCAAAGGAGTAGATCTTGTTATGCTCTTTAGTAGATGACAATAAAAAAAAATGATGTGGCCTTGAGTTCTTTTTATCTAAATTTCTTTTTCAGAATGTAATTGATTTTTGCAAGAGGTGACATAATTAATCTGCCTTCATACAGTATTTTACTGTGACATTTAAAGATTTTTTTATTTCTAGACTGGAAGTGGTTTTTACATATTTTTTTTCAGACAAAATCTTTAAGTTAACATTTATTAAACAAATTTCTTCACTTTTTTTTTCAGACTGGTTCAGATTTTTCGGACACATCAAGTATGAGTGAGTCGAAGCATTTGTTTGAGGATGAGCGCCAGTCTGATAAGGAACAAACCAATGTTCCTATGACAAGTTTCAACTTCATCAACTCCATCATTGGCTCTGGTATTATTGGTAAGACCATTTTAACAAACTAACAATAAAGCTGCATGCCTACAGATGAGCACACAAATTAATTATTTTTATATACCAATGCATGTTATTTTTTGTCTCCATTATAATAATACATGTATATGAATGAATTTACTATATTTTATGACATAAAGTGCAACCTCTACCAAGGGGCCCTCTGTAGAACTATTACCTTTTTATAATAACAGTTTCATTTCTTCAAAAGTAACATTTCACATTGAATATAACCTCGCTAAAGTATCATCTTTCAGCAACAAACTTATCTTTGTCTCCCAAAAGGCAATCCTCTGTAGTGATTGTACTGTACATTTTGCTCTGATACCATTCTTCTTGTATATTTTGACATCTTAAATGTACACTATGATTAAATGTACACTATGAGGATAGCAAGACCTTTTGCACTTACCACACTAATTATCCTATAATGTGCTTGTCCATCTTTGAATTTTAGGAAAATTTCAAAATGTATGTTTTAACTGAATAGTGAAGAATGCAGATCATGATCAGATGTAACACTGATGTGTCAACTGATCTTGGTCTGTGAGCAGCTACAAGACAAATTACACTATTTGTTTACTTGTCAATGCTTTTAGTACTTTAAACATTTTCAGTTAACATAGGTCTGGAGGCTTGCTGCTTTAACAAGCTTAATAAATGAATTCTGCAATTTCTGCCTACTGCAAAGTCATTATTACTTTTGTAACGTGAGTCTTGAATTCAAGGAATTCATAGATATAGATCAATCCAGGATTTTAAGATACAAAATTTTATTTTGTCTTCTGTTAAATATTTTGTATTTGCATTTTTTACACAAATAGGCAATCCATAAATTAAAGAATTCACCCACGAAAATGCTTTTATGACAAAACCCAATGAAATTAAATGGATCACAATATTTCACTTAATGCTAAATTTGCTTCCAGGGGTTACTCCTTTGGCAGAATATGAATTTTAACATTTTATACTTTTATGAACTAATTCTACAGTCAATCACTATACTGAAATGCTGTAAAACCTACAAGTATATCAGAAATGTATTAAATCATAACACAATGTCCATTCAGCAATTTACAAGAGGCATAAAGGTATTTATGGATGGCACTGGCAACAGCAAGACAGAATTCTGGGTGGCCATTGTAAAAATTACTCCCCTTATACAGTGTTTACTTCAGTGACTAAATTACATGTACATGTAGTAAATTTCCTGGCTCTATTGAATACCAAAAACTGCAAAGGTTTGTGAAGAGACATGTGAAAGAGCCATATTTCACAATTCACAAACAGTCTGCAGTCAACTTATGTTTGTTTGCTTTCATTGTTTCTATTTGCTGTGAAGTGCTGTGTGGCAGACATAAAAAGTCCCCAATCATTTATTGTTTGTTTGTTTTTGTTTCTAAGGTACGGTATATTGATTTGAATAAATTGCAAAACATTTGACTGGAGATTACAGAGTATGTATTATGTTGGGCAAGTCATTTTCTCAAATATATATAAGAAATACTGCTCTCAATTTTTTTGTTAAAATAAATGGTAGGAAAAACTGTTCTGTTTAAATTTTAAATAAATGGAACAAAGTATCTGATGTTAGGAGAAAACTCCTCAGAAGTTATTGGTTTAAGTAAATGGGGCAAAGTCTACTGTAAGAAAATATGCTCTGAATTTATTTCAGATTCTAATGTTAGAAAAAACTGCTCTAAATTTATTTTGTTTGAATAAATGGGGCAATGCTCATGTTAGAAAAACTGCTGAAATCATTGGGGCATAATCTGAAGTAAATAAATACAACAAGAAAAAACTGTAATATTTCACTCTATCTTTAACATAATCTAAATGTTACATCATTATGCACATAATTATGGCAGAATAATTTGTAACATATGTCTCCTTTCAAAAAAGGACTGTTCCTAGAATAGCAATAGACATAAATAATGTATGATACTGATTTTAAAACATGTTAACAGTTAAGTGTGGTGAAATTTACTCAACAGCTTAAAAATGTGCATCTTTATTCTTTGTTTCCATGGAAACAAGCTAATTGAAATTTATATCATGATTTAAACACCTCATTCTTTGTTTAAAATTATTGATTTAATTCATGGTGACATTATTATCATTATTTCATCTTTTCCATGGCGCCAGTTGCAAATTCAGCATTTAAAGTATGTGAAATAGAACTTGCAGGCCAATAAGTCTCAGTTGTACAGGTTACCATCTTAAAATCATTTATCCATTTACTACTGTGGGTACGAATCTGACAAAAAATTTGGTTATTTTGAATAACGTCTTAGAAGGTAACAGTATAAAGTCCAATGTGACTTCATAGAAAGTGCAAGGAAGCATTCACTGATGATATAAGCAGGAAAAGGGTTAAAGTTTTATCATGTCTTGTTTTTTTAAAGGCACCTTTCTAGCTGCTGTATTTGAACTGTCTGTGATTAAAAAGAACTGATTTCAAAATGAAAATTTGAAAATAGTTTACCAATACAGAATAGTCATGGTTAAACTGCATGGATGTACAGTCTGGTCTGGCACAACACTGGTGCCAAACACTGTCCATTTATTTTTGCCACAATTACAAATGTGTAATTTTTAAACTGTAAACTAAATACTAATGTTGATCCGTCTGCAGTGGTGCATAAACTAGGCACTTGTTGTATATTGGGTGAGTGGTGGAGAGGGCCCTTCACTTTTTGTCTAGCATTTACAAAGCTCACTTAAGTTAAATGTCAAAATTAAAACAGCCTGATCAGACAACAATGATGTGCAGACTTGCCTGCCTCATATCAACATTGATAGGGCACATTTCCATCATTTTATTGCCATGTCTGGTTGTTCATAACTTGTTGCTATAGAAACGAAACAACATTGACAAAACAGAAATTTCTTGATGATAAAATCTACTGGTAGAAATTTGTGCAAAAGAGAATCAGACAAATTTAATCAGTCAAAAAGCTTAACTCAGCAAATATTCTTGACAATTTTCCTTTACTTCATTATCTAAAGCACATTGTTATGTTAGACTGAATATAGCCAATATTGCTCTGATACTGTCTAAAGAATAGACAAGAATTAGCTGTAATGAAGCAAATGAACTGAACAATTTTATTTTGTCATTGTCATAATGAACATTAACGGAACAATTTAATGCCAATCTTTTTTTATGACATTTATATATCACTGGTCCTGCTAGATGTACATCTACAGTACCACCTCTACATAATGTCACTCTGTAGACCAATTACCTCTTTTCAAAGTGAACTCATGCTCATTTTTTCATTGTCAAGTTCACCTGATTTGATAACATATTTCAAAAGATTGACAGTTGTAATGGGGATTGACCAACAGTTGATTTTGAAAATGTTTAGAATTAAAGATAAATCTGCCTTAAATATATAGACAGACTGTCCCACTCTTTTTATAAATCGAACGTAACAGGTAATTTTAGACTGATATTGATAGAAATTTTCATGGGCTATGTGAGTTATCTTTCATGGGAAGTAAGTTATAATTATAATTGAAAGGAATTATGGAAAAATGTTAACTTATTTTGACTCCACCTGTCACTCACTATATACCCAAGGACGAGCATAATGCCACTTTAATAACAGTTTTAAAATATTCTCAAAGTAACACTTCACAATATATTAAATCACCATAGAGCAACACTTCTCAGCAACAAAATTTGTTTCACCTGAAGGAAGTTGCTTGGCAGAGATTGTAATGGAAATAGCCCTACACTGTGGCAATTACCATGGAAATGAAGCAACTGAGGTTTAACATTTTGTAAGGGCCTTTTGCATTGTCAACAGCAGTTTTGGGAAAAGGCTCTTGGCATAAATTGGGAAAATTTATTTGACATTTTGGTAATGTTGAGAAAATTTAACAAGTTGAAAATTTGTCTTATGTTTCACACTTTAGTTTTTTTAACATGTGTGGTAATACAACGTGTCACTTCTTTCAAAAAAAACAAAATTATAAAAAAAAGTTCAGTTTTTCTCAAAAGTTGAAACAAGTCAAAGTTTTTTTTTGTTTTTTTTGGTTGCTGTTGGGATTTTTTTTTGAAATTGGGGAAAAAAGGGTGCTATTTTGGCTCCTGTTGATAGGATGAAAAATGCCCTGTTTTTATAACAAATTAAAACAAACTTTAAGTTGGACTTTGTGTATATTTGTCTCTATTCTTACATTGGGTCAACAATTTTTTTTTTTAAAGAAAATTATAACAAAAACAAAAAAATATTCTAATATTGAGCAAATAAAAAATGTTTTATTGAATGGAGAATTATAACCAAAAAGAAAAGAAAACTTAAGTGATACAGATATATTTGTGTTATCTGTCATGAACTTGATATTTTCAGGTATCCCATTTGCAATGAAGCAAGCTGGTTTTGGTCTCGGTATTATACTGCTTATTTTGGTTGCTATGGTAACTGGTAAGTAAAAATCATTTTGTTCAGGTGTAATTTTGATTAGCTATATATAGTTCACTGAATTGTAAATAGAGAATACATGGTTGATGTCGGGATGGAGAAGGTTTATCCGGTGAGCGAGAAAGTGTATCTTGGCGAGCTTTAGAGAGCCAAGATTCACTTTCGCAGCGAACCGGATAAACCTTCTCCATCCCGACATCAACCATGTATTTGATTTATCCTGCTTTTAATCATGTTTTTAGAATAATTAAATGGTTTTATTCTTACTTTTCCCCGATAAAATAGCATCTCTATGTAGTTTTGTTTTGCTGCTAAACAGTTGACGTCATCATATGACGTAATGACTGGATATCGGCAAGGCTTTATCCAGCTGATGATATTGACAGTAGCAGGATAAAAGAATAAAACCTAGTGGTATAAGATATAGCATTAGATACAAAAATCAGGATCAGTGTCATTTGAAAGACAAAAAATCTAATGATATATCTAGGGGCAACAAGAAAGTTATTGTTATTTGTTTTAGCTTTTTTTTTTCAACTAAAAAAATACAAATATTTTGTGCTTTATGGCTAAGATTCTGGATTATAATATTTAAAGGTTTTCTTATGGCAGAAATGTTTGTTTTCTTGGTTATTTGTAAACAGCTATATAAGGTTGTTTTTTTTTTTAAACATAAACAAAAGATGGTCTGCTAGTCACATTGGTAGAGTCAAGTGTTTCCATCAGACAAAGGGTTAACCATTTGCCCATGCACACATGTTCCTTTTTTTAGAAATGAAACAGAATATCATGTACACAAAAGACAAACAGCTCAAATAAAAGAAGTTGTTTTAAAGCTCTTAATATGTTGTGTGAATCAAGACGACAATAAATTAAGAAATTACAGGATATATCATCGTCCCTGAGAGATCCTCGAGAAACGTATAATTTTATATGTCTTTATATGTCGTCGTTTTACCTCCCTGTACTTTATTTATTACAAGCTGAAATTATATGATGAAAGATCCGAATTTCTGTGGAACTCGCATGGGAAATTTGTATTGATTTAGATGTAGAACTGTGTGCCCTTTGGATGCAGTTTAGCACAATATTCCTCTTTATGGCTGACAGTTATTTTTTTCTAACAGATTGAATGTTTAATTTAGTTTTTTTCTTCGCATCAAAAAAAAGAAGCAGCACATAAGATGCGTTTACTTTAAAATGTCTGTTCAATTTAAGATGAGTGAATATTTGAACTTTTTATTGATGTTAGTGATCTTTTCCTAACTTGATGTTGATATTTTCTAGTTTCACTTCAAGCCTTTTGCTTTAATTGACGACATTTCATAAAAGTCAGACGACAGCGATAATTTGATATAACAGTATTTGTCCTACTTTTTTGTCCCATGAAAATTCCTCAATTTTTAAAAATTCTGCCAGTCTTTTCGCATGACTTGTCCTTATTAAAGTTTATTAAACCATGAAATCATTATTTAAATGTTTTAAAATTCATGTTTGTCTTTTCTAAAGAATTAAAGATTTATTCGTTTCTGAGGGATAATGTACCAGGTACCTTTAAACTTCACATTTACCTGGCTAAACACTACATATGCCTACAAAAATGTCAAACACTAAGTTAGTTAGAAGCTAATTAGAAATATTTAATGTCCTAAACAGCTAAATTTGCCCATACATGGCTTATTCATTTTTTTTTCTCTAATTAGTGTCTTACTTTAACATAGTTATATATTCATTTTTCTTCAGATTATCAAGTTTAAATGAATAAATAATACTTCCCCAGATAATTATTTCATTTTATATAATGATTATTCTCTCTTTCATAATTTTTTAATTTATATTAAATATAACAATGATTATTCCCAGCCCCTTAAATTTAAATTTCAGTTATAAATGTATAAAGGGTTATTCCCTCTTTATAGATTATTTTGTTTCATATAAATTACTGCTCATATAAATTATTGCTACATTTTTTACTTGGATTATTCCATTTCATGTAAATAGTTATTACAATTTTGTTTTGTATTTATTTTTCAGATTATTCCATTATTCTACTTATAGAAGCAGGCAAACTGTCCAATACAAATACATACCAGGTAAACTACATCACTACATATTGATGTTATATAGTTTCCTAGTAATATTAATGGACAAAATCTGTACCTATTTCTGGAGTTGTGAGAGTCTTTTTTTTTGATGGGGGCATAAAGACTTGCCCTTGTCAGTCAGTCATGCTGTCCTGTTGTCATGCAGTCCTTTTGTCATGCACTCTTGTGGTTACGCTGTTCTGTTGTCATGCTGTCCTATTGTCTTGCTTCCTGTTGACTTACTTTCCTGTTGTCATACTTTCTTGTTGTCATGCTGTCCTGTTGTCATGCTGTCCTGTTGTCATGCCATCTGGTTGTCATGCTGTCCTGTTGTCATGCCATCTGGTTGTCATGCTGTCCTGTTGTCATGCTGTCCTGTTGTCATGCTGTCCTGTTGTTATGCCATCTGGTTGTCATGCTGTCCTGTTGTCATGCTGTCCTGTTGTCATGCCATCTGGTTGTCATGCTGTCCTGTTGTCATGCCATCTAGTTGTCATGCTGTCCTGGTGTCATGCTGTCATGTTGTCATGCAGTCATGTTGTCATGCTGCCCTATTGTCATGCTATCCTGTTGTCATGCAGTCATGTTGTCATGCTGTTCTGTTGTCATGCTATCGTGTTGACCAGTTGTCATGCTGTCTGGTTGACATGCTGTCCACTTGTCATGCTGTCTGGTTGCCATGCTGTCAGATTGACATGCTGTCCAGTTGACATGCTGTCCAGTTGACATGCTGTCCAGTTGCCATGATGTCCAGTTGAAATGCTGTCCGGTTGTCATGCCATCTGGTTGTCATGTTGTTCTGTTGTCATGCTATCATGTTGACCATGCTGTCTGATTGTCATGCCATCTGATTGTCATGCCATCTGGTTGTCATGCAGTCCGGTTGTCATGATGTCCGGTTGAAAAGCTGTCCGGTTGTCATGCTGTCTGGTTGTCATGCCATCTGGTTGTCATGCTATTGTGTTGACAATGCTGTCCTGTTGAAATGCTGTCCGGTTGTCATGCAATCTGGTTGTCATGATGTCTGGTTGTAATGCTGTCCGGTTGTCATGCCATCTGGTTGTCATGCTGTTCTGTTGACATGCTGTCCTGTTGTCATGCCATCTGGTTGTAATGCTGTCCGGTTGTCATGCTGTCTGGTTGCCATGCTGTCAGATTGACATGCTGTCCAGTTGACATGCTGTCCAGTTGACATGCTGTCCAGTTGCCATGATGTCCAGTTGAAATGCTGTCCGGTTGTCATGCCATCTGGTTGTCATGTTGTTCTGTTGTCATGCTATCATGTTGACCATGCTGTCTGATTGTCATGCCATCTGATTGTCATGCCATCTGGTTGTCATGCAGTCCGGTTGTCATGATGTCCGGTTGAAAAGCTGTCCGGTTGTCATGCTGTCTGGTTGTCATGCCATCTGGTTGTCATGCTATTGTGTTGACAATGCTGTCCTGTTGAAATGCTGTCCGGTTGTCATGCAATCTGGTTGTCATGATGTCTGGTTGTAATGCTGTCCGGTTGTCATGCCATCTGTTTGTCATGCCATCTGGTTGACATGCTGTCCAGTTGCAATGCTGTCCTGTTGTCATGCTGTCTGTTGTCATGCTGTCGGGTTGTCATACCATCTGGTTGTCATGCCATCTGGTTGACATGCTGTCAGGTTGTCCATGCTATCTGGTTGTCATGCTGTCCAGTTGTCATGCTGTCCGGTTGTCATGCCATCTAGTTGTCATGCTGTTCTGTTGACATGCTGTCCAGTTGTCATGCCATCTGGTTGTAATGCTGTCCGGTTGTCATGCAATCTGGTTGTCATGCTGTTCTATTGTCATGCTATGGTGTTGACCAGTTGTCATGCTGTCTGGTTGTCATGCTGACCTGTTGTCATGCTGTCCGGTTGTCATGCTGTCAGATTGTCATTATGTCTGGTTGTCATGCTGTCCGGTTGTCATGCTGTCTGGTTGTCATGTTGTCATGCTGTCTGGTTGTCATGCTGTCCTGTTGTCATGCTGTCTGGTTGTCATGCTGTCTGGTTGTCATGCTGTCCAGTTGTCATGATGTCTGGTTGCCATGCTGTCAGATTGACATGCTGTCTGGTTGTCATGCTGTCTGGTTGGCATGCTGTTCTGTTGTAATGCTGCCCATTCTTAGACCATTTAAACAGTTGAATGTAGTGATACTTTTCTCTTTCCATATTTCTAATTACTATTTTAATATGTTAATTGTATTATATAATTAGGATATAGTATTCGGATGTCACTGTTCAGAACTGTTCACTATTTAGGGGAGAAGATATAAAGGAAATTTTCCAAACAACTCTGCACATTGCTCAAGGGTGACAGATAATTATTAGGAATCAAAATTTCAACTAAACATGTATGAATAATAAGGAAAGTATTAATAGTTATAAATTATTGGAACATATTTTAATATAACTGATTTTACAAGATGATCATTGTTGTATTTATGATATTTTATGTCTACTAAATATTGTTGTCTTTTTCTGATATTTTCATGTTTACTAAATATTGGTGTTTTTTTTCATAACAACAGGACATGATGCTAGTGGCATGTGGAAGACCAGGATTTTATCTTCTCACTTTTCTACAGTTTGTTTACCCATTTATTGGTATGTTATACTGGTACAATTGTTAATTTTACAAATCCTTAAGCTGCTAAAGTTGTGTGATGGATTTGTCCAGTTTTGTGTTTAGAACATTGCATTCAAAGTTAAAGGGATTTTAATATGAAAATATAAATAAAGCTGCAAACAGTGTTGAGCTTGGTCAGACTGCACAGATGTGTTAGTTGGCCTGCCACTATACTGGTGGCAAAGGTTATCACTATGGGTTTCATCAGGTTTAGGCTAAACTTGCCACTCTCATGGTCATGGCAAAAGCTGGGCTAACACCAATATGATCCCTGGGTGATGAAATATAATTGTTATGTAATATGCAAGAAAAGGATTTTAACACTGGTTGTTGTCAAATGGATTTGGTATGAGGAATCATGGTTGTGGCCTGAGCAGGGCTTGAACCAATGAGAACCAGACACATTCTTAACCATTTCCCTGCATTTACAAAAATTTAGGATGGATTACTCATTTTTTTGTTTGAGATTGATTAAACTTATAAAAATGTAGTTTTGGCCATTATGTGAAATATGTTTAATTAGATTTCACACTTTTTTGTTATACTTAAATTTGAAAAAGAAAACTGGGGATGTAATGTATAATGGGAGTGCCCCTTATGAGGTAACTGTCACTTTGTATCATAGTTTGGGGACATTTCTGTTGAAAATGTGACAGAGTTAAATCGTATACATATACATGCACAGTGCGTTAACTGGAGTGCAGGTATTAGTTACCCGCACTCCAGAGCATGCCAATAGGAATGCAGTATTTCAAATGAAAAGTGTTTTTTTAGTAATATCGGAAAAATGACGGTTTTAGAAAAGAGGCATCTGCGTTAAAAAAAATGAAATATTCTATTATATTTGAGTTCTACAAACCTCTTCAAGGGTTATTTTATCAAGAAACCAAGTGCCTATGTTATTAACCACTTTATTCATTGTGACAAAATAACCCAATGCTAAGCATGCCACTGATTCATAAAAATGCTGGAAATGGTAATGTTAAAGAATAGATTACAGGTGCTAGATTTATCATTAGACCAATGTTGATGTATTAAAAGAGATATTTATAGCAACATTGCCATGGTGATGTTAAGTTAATTTGTTTGCATTGCATAATAAATGATGCATTCACTATCAACACTTGTCTTTGATGTCAGCAGTATGTCATAGTTAAAAGCCTATCTGTAACATGACATAAAGCATCAATACAATTTTATTTGACCATGATTACCTTATGACTACTATCCTGTTATTTTATATATATATACTACTGGTTTAGTTTAAAGTAGCACCATCATGATATAGTCTTGTGGAGAATTACTGGCTTTACTGGTGAAGGAAGACATCTGACTGGTGCCTCACGGAATTGCATTATCCCAATTATTAAGCTTTGAAAACTATCAGCTTCTATATTCTGCTTAACTTATTTTTGGGTAACACAATATTAAAGTTGCCATTTTTTTAATTCCATTTTTCTTCACAAAAGTTCTGTTTCAAATGCAAACCTGTACATGTATTAACTGATGTCAAGATTAGAATAGTGCCTCAGGGGGTTAAGGTCAATGTCACTGATGCTAATAATAGAAATGACTTCTTTTCTTTGAAGAGTCTTCATTTCTTGTCATATCCTTGTTATTTGCTACCTTACTTTGTCCTTGACCCTCAGAATGGGGTAAGGGGTTGATATTGTCAAGGTCATCAAGGCTATAAATAGATTTTTGTATCTCTTTCAGCATACTCCCAAGTTGCATTGCTTTTAAAGCAGTATGCCTCCACCTTGAAAAGCGGACTGTTTATTTTCCAGGCAAAAATGTCAAAATATGCGCATTTTAAAACAGAATTTTGATTTCTTTCAACTTTTTCATGTATTTACAAGAGAGATTTTGAAATATTAGTACAACAGAAGATTTTTTATGATATTCTGGCATGATGCTATCTTCAGCATTCATCCATACCATATTCTTGTCTACTGGTATTTTTTTAAACTTTTATATTTTGTTCACATTACAGCAATGGTGAGTTACAATGTAATTATAGGGGACACTATTACCAAGATTATAGTTCGTATTGGAGGTGCAAGTAAGTATTATATTATATTTTTACAGTTACATTTTAAAAGGTTACTAAGAGAGAAGTATTGTTACAGTATTGGATCTTAGCTGACTGTTCTTACTGCTTTTTGAAGATAAAAATTAACTTTTTTTTTTTTTCATTTTAACTATCAAATTTTAATTTGGAATTAATAATTTGAAATGAATATACATACATGTATAATGGACATTGTATATATACCGTTAAATAACAATTCCTGTTTTTATTATGTGATCAAGACAAAATAAACAAGTTATTTTTTCTTGTGTTCTTCTTTTAACTTCAGATAGTAATGGTAAATTTTGCCTTTTCAAGGTATGGGTGAAAAATAGAAAATCATAAAAGCATAAAATTAAAGTAACAGCCCTTCTGCCATTCAAAACTACCTTATGGATGTTTTCATGTTCATTAAAATTATTTTAAGATATTTTTGTTATTTCCCATGTAACATTTGTAAATAATTTCCCTATTAAGTTTAGTTTATATTTTTATATTTTATTTTATAGTTGTCCTATATTCCCCAATCATAAAAGACAAAAATTATTTGATATTATGCAGTTACTTCCCCTTTTTATTTTTTTCCTTATAATCAGTTATTTCCTTTTTAATCATTCTGCATATTTTTGTAAAGGAAACAAAAGGCAAAAGTACCAGATATTTCAAGGTATACACATAAATCAAATAAATTAACAATTAAAGACAATAAGTACAGTGGAATAAATTACTAGAACATGCTCTGATTTAAAATTAAAAACAAGGGTGCTATGTACTTCATACTAAATCTCGGAACATTAATTTTCACTGGACAAGTTTATTAATGGATTTTTATTTAACTCAAAGAAAGAAATTCATCCGCAATATGAAATTTGTTTTTTTTTTAAATAAGTTGACAGCTTATAATTATATTTAGGTATAAATGGTTGTTTTTCAGCACTTTATACCTAGCATGTTAGGTTATAAAAAGCTTATAACAATTTATATATTGGGTCATATAACTTGTCAAAATATCATTTTAACTATTGATGATATTATGTATTTATGTATTTCAGGTATAGCTGATACTGTATTGGGTAGTCGTGAATTTATCATATTTTAACTATTGATGATATTATATATATATATATTTCAGGTATAGCAGATACTGTATTGGGTAGTCGTGAATTTATCATATTTTAACTATTGATGATATTATATATATATTTATTTAATTTTACCCATGAAATATGGTGCTATATCAGTCAAATATAATTCATATTTTTTAAAAATAAATATGAAATATAAATATGAAAGTGGGCGGAGTCAAAACTCATATTTATTTTAAGGTACTTCTTTCGCCGTTTTGTTTGAAAAATTTGATAAATACAAAAAGCTTTTTCTTGAATTTTGTTTTGAAAACTATCTAGCATGATAGAAAATGGTCTAACTAAGAAAATTAATCCGAACACCAATATCTTTAATTCAGTAATTAACGCTGTACAGACGTTTAAAGAGTTGTTTACATGACGTCACAATGTAGCGCCAAACAGCGCGTGCTTACGTATGAATTACTGCGCGCTGTACAATTGCAGTTGGTAGCAAGCAAGGGGATTCGTTACCATTTTCTTTGATAATGAAATTAAATAAAAAGGTTATTTTTTCGTTTTTCGTGAAATATGGTATATATTTTCACTCAACATGATAAAATGCCACATATTTTCACTCGCCGTACCGGCTCTTGAAAATATGTGGCATTTTATCATGTTTCGTGAAAATATATACCATATTTCACGCAAACGAAAAAATATCCTCTTAGTATTTCAGGTATAGCTGATAATGTAATGGGTAGTCGTGAATTTATCATATTTTAACTATTGATGATATTATATATTTATGTATTTCAGGTATAGCTGATACTGTAATGGGTAGTCGTGAATTTATCATATTTTAACTATTGATGATATTATATATATATGTATTTCAGGTATAGCTGATAATGTATTGGGTAGTCGAGAATTTATCATATATTATATATATATATATTTCAGGTATAGCAGATACTGTATTGGGTAGTCGAGAATTTATCATATATATATATTTCAGGTATAGCAGATACTATATTGGGTAGTCGAGAATTTATCATCTTTCTGGTAACATTACTAGTTACACTTCCGTTGTCCTTGTACAGAAACATTACCAAACTTAGCAAGGTAGATATATTTATTCACGTCACGACAAAACCAACGTAATGCGTTTGCGACCAGCATGGATCCAGACCAGCCTGCCCATTCGCGCAGTCTGATCAGGATCCATGCTGTTTGCTTTCAAACCCTATTACAAGTAGAGAAACTTATGGCAAACAGCATGGCTAGAATGCGCAGGCTGGTCTGGATCCATGCTGGTCGCAAACGCATAACATTGGTTTTGTTGTGATGCGGCTCATATGTTTATTTACCCCCTGATGTATCTTTTGGATGGGGATCGGTGCCAAAAAAGTGCTCACTTTTTTTAGCAACATTTCTCAAGCGAAAACATGTGTTTTGGGCCCAAATAGGACATTTTTTCACTATTTGAGGCCTAAAAGAGGGGGGGGGGGTTCCGAGAGTGCGTTGTTTTGCGTATATATGAGGTTAAGGGTTAATGCTTAAGTGGTTGCTGACTTTGCTCTTCATTTGTGTTCAGATCCTGCCAGGTCTATGGATACTTTCATGTGAGCAAGCTATTGAGCTTAAACTTAAAGAAGGTTAAAATTGTTCTACTCACATGCCTGCTTGTTCTGAATTAATCAACTTTAAGAATTAAGATACCAAAAAATATTATAAAATCTTATGGAGAATTTATTCTTATTGCTAAATCAATCAAGCTGCACTAAGCCCAAGAAGAACATGCATTGCACTGCACTTGATGATACCCGAGTTGATGTAAAGTTATAACAATAAATAAACACCGTAAATATACAGGTTTAAAGAAATAACTTACATCAGTTTTGCAGTGAATTTAAGAATTATGTTACCAACATCTGGCTACAAGTAATGGATATTTCTTGCTTGTTAAGAAGCAGAAAATAGAAATTACATGTACATGAACCATAATAGAAATTACATGAATCATTGTTATGACATGGACTGGATATTGATAATCAGTCTTAGGTATTATTCAGGCACCTACATACTACCAGAGGAGGGGGAGGAGCAGGGTATATAGATTTGCCCTTGTCCATCCCGCTGGTACATTGTTCTGTTGTGTGTCTGTAGAGTAACTACTCTGTTTAATGTGCGAGCATACCAAGCATACCAGCCATGTCCCTATGGGCACATTTCTAGTTTCATAAGTAAATTTGATAATGACATTATGAATCTTATCAATATCCATGTTTTAAGCAAGTTTAAATACCAACCAGCAATCCGGGGGGGGGGGGGGGGGGGTTAAAAATATCTCTATAAAGCTAATGGTTCAAGAAAAATGAATTGTTCATCATTTTTAGCTTCACATTGCAGAGACATTAATGGAGGAAATGTCATTACCCTGTTGCAGGTTTTGGTTAACCCTTTTGTTATTGTCCATTTCTCATAAATTTAATGTTATTCACTTCAGACTTAGAACTATACCTTACACCATTTCAAAAGAGCAGATAGTCTTAAAATCAATTTTTGCATAGTTGTGCATTGTGCATTTTAACCTTAGGGAAACATGAAACATTTCTCAAAAAAAAAAAAAAATGAAAGTCATTTTACACAGTTGTTTCCCTTTTTGACTTATATAAAAAAATAAGAAATACTTGTTCACTATCTAAATGGGGGCAGGAAACTCTGTGGTTGTGATATTTTTCTCCCCATAATGACACAAAATGTTTGTGAAATTTTCTGTTAAAGTACTACCATAGATTATTAAATGCTGTCTATCTGTCATGACAAGGGCAGGTAAGTCTGCCAAGCACATTTGCAGAATTATGCCTCTTTTTTCTACCTTTAATTATACTGTCCAGCACTAAATAATGTAGAACGACAGATATTTATTCAATATAAGCCACAGAGTGTCATTATATCATGTAACAGTTGACTGTTGTGGTTCACATTTCATAAAACACAAGTTAAAACTGTTTTTATACCAGCTGTTGTAACCTACATTGTATTATTCATTATCAAATGTGTTTATCCCATTACTAGGACAAAATACCAGAAAAATCTAGAAGCATGCAGTGTTGAAAGGTTATAAAGAAATTCTATAAGCTCAAACTCGGGTCTCAGATATTTGACTGGTCAGAAATTGCTGATCGATGAAAAGATTTGAGACAGAACTCGGACAGAAGTATTATAACCTTGAGGCCTGGACAGACCAGAGTTTTTTTTTATTTTAGACTTGTATAATTATTATATTTACAAACAGTTTATCACTTTATTTTGTATGATATTATCATACCATGATTGATAATAAAATCATTATATTGTTACATGAAAATAACATTATGGTCAAGTTGAACTAAATTGACAACATATTTCGAAAGATTGACTGTTATAATGGTGATTGAACAACAGTTGATATTGGAAAATGCAATACTAAATGTATTGTAAGAAAACAACATAACAATATTTGTTTATATTTCAGTGGGCGTTTGTGTCCCTTGTTCTGGTTGGTGTTATACTGTTGTTTATCTGTATACGTCTAGGAACATTTGCTCTTAAAATGTAAGTAATGCTCATAAAATAATTACCATGTTATGAAAACCTATTTGAATTTGAACATACCATAGCAAGCAGGCAACAAAATCACAAAATGCATTGCATTTAAATATCAGCAGAATTTAAAATACAAAATTCAATGCATCTTGATTAAAACCTCTTAATTATAAACTTAAATACAAAACATACAAAAATACCGAAAAAATGCTCACTTTTTTTAGCAACATTTCTCAAACGAAAACATGTGTTTGGGGCTCAAATAGGACATTTTTTCACTATTTCAGGCCTAGAAAAGGGGGAGGGGGGGGGGGGTCGAAAGTGCGTTGTTTCGCATATATATGAGGTAAAGGGTTAAAATAAGAAATGAACTAAGTTGCTAATATAAGGAGAGTCATGTGTTGCTTAGGAGAATAAATAGATATATGTGTATGATGATAGAAACATTTTATATTTGTAGTCCTGCTACAGAGGATGCCTGGTCTTTTGCTAATGTCAATATTACACAGGCTATTGGAATCATGGCATTTGGTAAGTCATATTTTATACTGACCCCGTATATATATAATTTGTGTTTAGATTTTCCTGGGTTATGCTATTTGGGTGGTTGGATTGGTAGTTTACCCTCAGTATCATGGCAGTAAGCCACTTTGAATTCACCAGAGCACTGTTCAGCCACTGCATTGTTCCTTGGCATGCTGTCTAGCTGTTTACCAGTACTTGCTGCCTTCATTTTGGCAAGGAACTTATATACCTCTGTACATGCCAGAGCAGAGGTACAGTGCCAATGACCGTAGAAAAGATATTCATGATCAATCACAACAACTGTGTGGACCTGCACCATCTGGTAGTCAAACCCTAGTCACCCAATTCACAGTCCAACACTACCTATTGAGCTGACCTGTTAATTATTATGCTATTTTAAGGTTAAAGGATATTCTTATATATCATCTATTTGTGCCATCCTTTTGTTTCCATGCTAATAGTTTGTTAGTAGAGGTCTTAAAATTTTCCTTCATTGTGCTATTTTGATTGATGAACAGTTGATAAATTATTTACATGACCGTAGTCAGTGAAAACAGTTTGATATATGATCCATTTGTGCCATCTCTTTCTTGTTATACAGGATAGGGTTTTCCTGTAAATTTTATGAAGTTTGAAGTTGTATGCAAATATAACTAGTACATTAAAGAGATTAAAGAACAATATTCATAGTACATTCTTTATTACACCAGGGACATAATATATAATAAGACAAGCATCTGCCGACTTGATAAGCCATCTTATATTTGCGTCTCATTGACAGTGAATTGATTGATTATCGTATATAGTTACCGTTCTTATAAGAAATTACATTGAGAAATATTTGTAATATCCATGAACAGACCACAAAAACACAAAGGACTTTAAAAATCTTACGACAGTTGGCTTGTACAGTTCTTATTACATACAAAATATATCAGTGTACAAGGACCAACAAGATAAAATGTTATTAGAGGAAAAGATAATGCAGTGCTTGATCTCCATTTGCTCGTCTTGTTATATTTTGTCACTGATTTCACTTTAAGTTTCAAATAATTAAAAGTATATAATTATTAACTTGAGGAATATATGCATGCTGATCATTTATCTAAGTTTCTATGACTTGCCTCAAATGTATAACTACCATATTCCACCAAATGGTAACCAGGGTTTTATATTTTTCAGCCTACATGTGCCATCATAATACATTTCTTATTCACGCTTCACTTGAGAACCCTACAACAGAACGCTGGAACTTTGTTACACATGTTAGTGTCATGTTTTGTATGGTGTTTATGCTGGTGTTTGGACTTATAGGATATGCTTCCTTCACTGGATGGACACAAGGTATATATATATGTTTATATGCTTCCATCTCTTTAACTAGAAGGGCTCAAGGTTAATTATTTTTTTATATGCTTCCTTCACTGGATTGACTCAAGGTTATATATATATGTTTATATGCTTCCTTCACTGGATGGACTCAAGGTATATATATGTTTATATTCTTCCTTCACTGGATGGACTCAAGGTATATAAATATGTTTATATGCTTCCATCTCTTTGACTAGATGGGCTCAAGGTAAATGATTTATTTATATGCTTCTTATACTATATCGACTCTAGTTAGATATGTCTTTATATGCTTCCATCTACTTAACTACATGTAGATGGACTAAATGTAAATTATTTTTATATGCTTACTTCACTGGATTGACTCAAGGGTATATATATATGTTCATATGCTGCCATCTATTTGACAAGATAGGATCAAATTAAATTATTTGTTTATATGCTTCCTTTACTAGGTTAACTTTAGGTAGATATGTGTATGTGTTTATATGCTTCCATATATTTGTCATGACTATAATTATAGAGTCAAGGTAAATTATTTGATTATATGCTTCCTTGAGATAGAAGTTATAGCCACAAAGTAAATCTTTGGCCATGCTTTCTTTTTGGGATCAGCAATACACTGTTTAACTGTCCTAGAACAGTCAACTATTTCTCTAATACCTTGCAAGAGTTAAACAATACATTCAGAATGTTTATTAAATTGGATCAAATTAGCAATTTATAGATTTGTTGATCTTTTTTAATTTGTCTTTTACCAACACAAACAAACTTTTGTTTATCTAAGATCCTTGTTTCTGTTATTTCTAGTCTTGTACCTTTACTTTATGTTTGAGGATTATAATTATCTGTACATGTAATACATTATGTCATTATACTTGATCTATATATGGATTAATAAAATATCATATATATATTAGTATTCATCCGTGCTTTTCTACAGAAATTAGAAACTTCAAGGAGCACTATAGTGTTCAGAGAATGTTACTAATTTCTGTAAAACAGTTATGGATGAATACTAACATACTTAGATTTCAAGCTTTATTTGGCTTCATTAATACTCACTTTATTACATCACTACCTGTCTGTATTAAAGAACAATGTTCTATGATGCACTATGAAAAATAGGAGCGACTATGAACGGAATTTGATATAGTATTGACTATTGAAAATTAACACACAAAATTTAGGAATATTAGGAATATTTAGGAATTAGGAAATACGGCGTTTTCATTGGAACGTAAATAAAGTTGGACACTATATTTATGAGAGCATCATTTGTTGTGTATACATGTTTTTCTATTTCATCTATTTCAGGAGATTTGTTAGAGAATTATTGTCAGAGTGATGACTTTATGAATGTGGCGAGGTTTGGTTTTGCATTTACCATCATGTTAACATATCCAATAGAATGTTTTGTTACAAGAGAGGTATGTATCTTATATAATTATCTCCTTAATAAATAATTATATTATTTCTAGTTGATTACTGTTTAATATAAGTACTGTTTTAATATCTTTCAAATATAAATTAGTTTGTAAAGGAAACATGCAAATGTGTAAAAAATATTGGGGGTCTGTGCGTGAATTGAATGCATGTAATCCAGGGAAGGAACACAAATGAAAGAATTTTGATCAATAACCCAATGAACAGGTTCCCTGTCTGGATGACCCCAACACATTTTGAGAATTATTATTATTATGATAATTGAGCCGCGTCATGACAAAACCAACATAATGGGATTGCAACCAGCATGGATCCAGACCAGCCTGCGCATCCGTGCAGTCTGATCAGGATCCATGCCGTTCGCTTATGTGTACAACTCTATAACAAGTAGAGAAACTGATAGCGAACAGTATGGATCCTGATCAGGCTGGTCTGGATCCATGCTGGTCGCAATCCCATTATGTTGGTTTTGTCATGATGCGGCTCAATTATGGTTATTGCTTCCAGTTATAAATAGCCTTCACAGGAACACAGTGATAGCTTATATCCTTTTATGTCTAATACTTCTTTAAGAAAAAAAGTCAAAGTTCAGTGTTTTATTTTTATAGGTTGTTGAGAATGCTATATTCTCCACCAATGAACAACCACCATTGTGGAGACATATAGTTGTTACCGTGGTTATAAATGGGCTGGTGTGTGCTCTCTCAATGTCAACAGACTGTCTAGGTATTGTGCTCGAGTTAAATGTAAGTGTTTCTTTAAACCTATATATATTGTCATTATATGAAGAAAAGATTTTTATTTTAGCCTTATGAAATTTAAGTTGTTTTTTTAAAAACTATTTTGGTTTTCTTGGACTTTTGTTTATGTATTTTGTTATTTTCTACTTATACAAGTGCATGTATATATGTAATTTTGGGTTATTGACTTGAGTCCTGGGTACAGCACATTTTTATGTGATGATGTGATTGATGACTATGTTTTTTTTCCAGACACTGTATAATTATTTAAATCTAGAATACATGTATTTAAATAATCTATATTTATGTATATATTTGCAATAACTTATGGAACAACGGGGTAATGATGGTATGAAATACAAATATTCTTCTTTGCTAACTGAGTGGAATATTGTTAAATGACAGTTGAAGTTCTTATTATTCAAAGAGCTGAAGGCACCATGCATTAGCAAAATTTATTAATTTTGATACAAACACAGTCAATATTGCATACATGTGAACTCTCCCACTTTTAAGCTGGAGACTCCCACTTTCTGCGGCCAGATTTTCAAAGATTTTTCTTAAAATAAGGGTTATTTTCACAAATTAAAGATCTCTCCCTTTTTTTTGATGTCAGAACTTTCTTCTTTGTTTATTGCAAATTCTAAAATCTCCCTCTTTTATGAAGAAAAATCTCTGACTTGATCATCAAAAAAAGTTCACATGTATGATATTGTCCAGTTGTAAGAATATCAAAGTCTTGTTATGTACAAGAAAATAATTATTTATAGTTTTATAATAGTTTACACGTTATTTTTATTTTCAGGGAGTGATGGCAGCAGCCCCTCTAGCATTTATCATCCCACCATTATGTGTAATGAAACTACGCCAGGAACCAATCCTATCTAAAAATAACATCATTCCTATATTTATAACAACATTCGGTACCTTGGTCGCAGTTATTGGATTTATTATGGCTGTTTTTAATTTCTCAGAAGGGAACCAGTGTAGTCATGGCAAAGATATAGAATATTGTATAAATAAAAATATTTTCACAAATTCTTCCAGTAGTGCTACCTTGACAACTGCTCCAGTTTAAAATTTTGAATAAGATTTGAATATATCCAAAAATATATATACATGTATGTAAGTAAAAAATATTTTAAAATATTATTACCGGTAATTCCAAAGAGATCATTTTATTTTTGTTTTGAACTTTCCCATATTTATTTTGTGGACTGTGTTTTATTGGTGAAATGTCTATTTTCAAACTCTTAAAGACGGTATTTTTTACAAAAGAATCATGGTTGATTTATGTGAAAACATAATTACTGAACAGTTCACCATTTTGTAGTTTTTTATGTATGATTTTGAGACAGGTTGACATTAAATGTTTATAATTTATATAAATATTTTTTAAAAGATTATATAATATACATGATGTAGATCTGTTTGTTGTCTTATAAACAAAAATTCTATGGTTCTGGTCATATAGCAAACTACCATACCTGTTATAAGTATATATATAACCAATATATAATAATAAATATTTTAGATAATATAAATTTGCAGCAGTGCTGTATAGAGATAGATCTAATATTATAATATATTATGATATAATTAAAACATTATTGACCAATTAAAACTGACGTTTTACATAAGCAGTATTATATGAATTGATACATTTGTAAATTTTAAGTGTGGCATTTTAAATTTTACAGATACATTTTTTATTGTGCTTTTTTGAATTTTAGAAATTTATAGATCCATTATCTGATGATCAGATTCTGATCTTTTATTTGAAATAATAATAGATTTAACCAGAAACATTGATATGTGCTCTTTTGGTTCCAAATAAGGTGTGGTGAAATTCTTATCGTAATCCACTAATCTGATAATAAGAATAAGACAGGTTAGGGATCTGTACATTGGTTTGAATTTAGAAAAAAATGGATGATAATTTCATGAAAAGTCAGGTCAAGCTATTAAAGCACTATAGGGTTGTCTCCCATTTCTACATGGAGATTGGAGGTCCTCCCTATCTAATGTCAAATAATACCTTTATGTATACTTTGTGTAATAGTTGTTGTTGTTAATTTCTAAATGTTTATTTCTAATTTGTTTTTCTTGAGACTAGATTTTTTACATATTTAAATTGTTGTGACTTGTTTTATACATAATTTTTGTTTAAACGAATCCTTTATAGATTTGTGGATCCAGAACTACTTAGATTCTTGGACAACCCATACACAAGGGATTGAGCAGGCTCTCAATGAAATAAGTAATTATTGAAATAATAAATAATATTTATATAATATGCTATCAGTTCATTTAACACGGGTAGTTGGACTTATGAGTATACTGAACATGTTTCTTTTTCTAATCCGAACAGTTTACCTATATTTAAATCATATGTAAAATAAAGGTCATTTAACATTCCTATACATCGTAACATGTATAATCTAAAAGTACAAGATGTTAACTTGAATTGCTAGTATTTCGGTACTATAGATTGACATTGTTGATCAAAAATGTTATGTCATAACCTTTGACCAATCATGTGCAAGGAAATTAATGTACTTAATGAATTGGGGAGTAAATTATACCAGCTTTGTTTTGTCATAGAAAAATACATTGACTGGTTTACTATCAAGTTTATGTAAGAAATATTGTATATCGTTTGACTAATAACAGCTGCTGTGGAAATAACTTCATTAGTGGACAAAGGGAGTAAATTACACCAGCAGTGTTATATCATAGAATAAATTTTAAATGTAGATTAGCCAAATTTTTTTCCTTGCTTAAATATTTTCTGGACAAAAATATAATCTATATAATATAATCTATTTTTTGTCAAGTATTAGTACGGAGTTATATGTACTTAAAGTTTACATTATTACCTTTTAAAACTTTATACATGTATAAATTTTCAATGAAATTCAAGTTGATTTTTTTAATACATATATTTTTTTTATTTCTTTTTTTTCAAGGTACATGTGTTTTGTTTTTCTATAGTTCAGGAGCTCCACTAAGGTCTTTTTTTTTTTTTTTTTTTTTAATGCGTTTATTTAAGGTCGCCGGGGCGACAGTACACTCAAGTCGGGCCATCCTAAAGCGTCCCGCCGAGATTTTTCATCGATTTTTCCAGCTTTATTGGTGGAGGAAGACCCCAGGTGCCCCTACAAGCATTATCTCAAGCACGAGCGGGCACCTGGGTAGAACCGCCGACCTTCCGTAAGCCAGCTGGATGGCTTCCTCACACGAAAGATTTCGACCCGAGTGAGGATCGAACCTATAACGGTGAGGGACCTGTGATCTCAAGTCAGCGACCTGACCACGGAGGCCCCCTGGACTGAGGTCCAAGAGCCTAAAAACAATTTTAAATCAACCGGGGTACTTAAAACGGTAATTAAAGATGATTAAGTTTGTTATAACACTTAATATCCTGTCGAGAGTGATGACAGTCTTGTTTACAGTCATCCTTTGTTTTTTTTTAAAAATAAATTCGAGAAAATTAACATAGATATTAAAATCAAAAAGTCAAGATCACGACATTTATTTTCTCAGCAAGATGAGCAGAAGTTGTAGATGTTAAAAAGTTTAATGTGACAGCAAATAGCTGTTAAATCATGTAGTTAATATAACCCTGAGATTTAAAATCTCATTTCTATCTAGTCATGTTTAGTATTTAAGTGTTTTACTAAGATATATTTTTTCTCTTTATCTCTGCTGTTCAAATATTGTTTTCTTGTTAGAGAATATTGTTATATGTTTGTGATCTACTTGTTAAAATCTGGTATTTCAAAATAAAATCCCATCCATTCTACTGACTGGTTGTTTCTTTATGAGAAAATTTAGGGTTTGTTTTTACCTGTCAACTAATGATCGCATATATCAGAGTTTATTATTATCTAGTTTCTATGAGAAAAGGAGTTTTTTCATTTGTTTCCTTTTTGAAGAAAAAGGTTTGTTTACCTCTCAACCAATGAACACTTGTATCATGTTATAATAATATGATGACAGAAACATTTAAAGTGGAAAAAAAGTGGAGTGTCACCGATGTAACTTTTGGTTATCTGCCCTTGTATCAGAATTATTTACTTGAGATCATTTCCAGGGCAGATTACTTATATGTATGTCTATAAAATCTAGTTTTTACCTCTCGATTATGTTTTTCTTTTTATTGTTGATCACAATACATCATAACATGCAGTTCCATATATATTATTTCTGTTGCAAATTTTCATTTTGAATAAGGAGACTAAATATTCTTTAAAAATAGGCAAATTTTTTAAGAAAAAAAGGCACATGTTTACAGAAGGGGATTAAAGTCAATCTGCCCTTTATTCGTTCTTGAATTTTTGTACATTAATCAACCAAAAGTAAACTACATGAAAATCAGAATAAAATAAGGTATTGTTTACCTTCATTTAGCAAAAAAGTCCAATTCAGGGGCAGGTCACTCAAAAACTATAACAGCGACCCCAATTCTTCGGCTTTAAATGTTTCTGCTATCATATTCTAATAACATGCCAAGTTTAAAGAAATTCTATAGAATAGTTTTAATTTTGCCTGCAAGTCTATATGAAAACTAAAGAAAACATCTTTAACATTTTACTGCTCTAAGGTGTTTAAAAAATTATGGACTGTACTAATCTGTTTTCTGCAAAGTGTAGACAAATTTTTCTGACATCTTCAAAATAAGACAGGTCTATATCTTGATGCTTACTTTGATCAATTTGCCACGGAAACAAGGATTTTCTGTGTGGCAACCATTCTGGCAGTTTATATCTTTAGCTCACGCATACTGAGCAGAACGGTTTATACAGAATTTAGGAAGCTATAAGCTTATAGGCACACTATGGAGAGCAACACATTTAAGCCGCGTCATGACAAAACCAACATAGTGCATTTGCGACCAGCGGATGTGCAGGCTGGTCTGGATCCATGCTGGTCGCAAACGCATTATGTTGGTTTTGTCATGATACGGCTCAGTTAAAAGTGCTAGATGAGATACACTAATAAGAAACTATTTTGTTTGGTTTAGAGCAACATCAACATAATTATGCTGACTTCAGATATAATGATAATATTTCAGTTCACCAAGTTGCCACTTCCTGCATTTTTTCAGGGCATGAGTCTACACCAGAGTAGAACCACCAACATTCTGTATGCCAACTGGACAGGTAAACTAAAAAATTCTAAGTCCCTGGTGATAGATTCAAATCCACAGCCAAGTTACTTGAAACCAGCAACCTTAAAAATCTCAGATACATCTTCTTTAGAAATAAAGACAAACAAATTTTTTTTTTCATGATCATTTTCATTGAATCACTATGATTTTTCACATACATGAGTGCAATTTATATACAAGAATAAATTAATTTTGTTTTGTATAAAATCTATGTACATTTACACAAATCTATAATGCATGAGTAAGTATAACAATTCTATCAGAGTTATTTGATGATAAAATAAACTCATTTTACTACTGTTACTATAAATATGGTCAGTTTTTATAAAACTAAAGAATTGTGTGGGTTTGGAGTGTGGACCACTATAATATAAGGTCATAAGCTTTCAACGTACACAGATCCTCTATTATAATAATATCTAGGCTACATCACAGTTGCTGCGACTAGATAGCTTCTGTTAAGTTTACATTTTATACCTATCTATGCAATCAGAACGTTATAGCCAATATTAACACCCATTTAAAAAAAAATCAAAATATTTTTTCATCATACAGTAACATGTATCATGGTATTTTAACAATGTCACAAGGTGAAAAACAAATAATGCAAGAAATGGTAGGCCTAAATTTTCATAAAATATCTTCAAATATTTTAACTTTTCTTAACAAAATTTAGAACATTTTGTAATAACTTACATATAGTATGCCCTATTCATATTATTACAAATTATCATACATTATATAATGTGTAAGTATGCAATAATATATTTATAATGATAGCAGTATTGTATAATAGGCCTAAACATTTAGGCCTTAATGTGTGTATATATGTCCAGATCAGGCCGCAGCCTAATTTCACATACCACTAAAACATATCATAAAAACATATAGCTGCATATGTTGAAACATTTGGACGGATATTCTGAGACATTACTAACAAACTTGTATAATATACAACCAAACACTGAGATTTACAATTCTATGAGATTTACAAAAAAAAAACTTTTTAAAATAGTTGTAGCAAAAAATTACTTGTTTAAAATACATTACAAACTTTGTGCACAAAATATTGTCACACAGCTGTACAAATTTAAAACATATTAAGAATTCTCTGGCACTAAGTTTACATTGGCAGTGTTTCTGTTCCTTTCATAGTAACAACAAATATTTCTGGTCCCCCTAAATCAATCTACAATACTGGATAAAATTGCATTTTTATAATCATAAATGACAATTTATAAAAGCACACAACTAAGTCAGCTATTTGTTAAAAATAATGTCATAATACAATCCATGTATATATGAAACCTTCACCTTCTGTTGCCTAAAACATTCTAACCACTCAAAGTGCACCTAAACACAATCAAATTAAGTGTCTATTTTTCCTTCTATAAATATCACAGTCTATTTTTAGTTTTTCTATTAGTCACATGATCAACAGTCACATGATCATTTCTGATTGGTCCTCCTGACTTGGCACACTGGTCATGTGACAGGATGGCACACCATTGGTTTGCTGAACACATGTGTAGCTCTACCTCCAAGCTTGTCTGTAGCTGGACTTTCTACCTGAAAAATCAGACAACATATTTAATACAGGAACTTGTAATAGAGAAATTATTTCTGTACTATTATATTGACATATAAAACCACGATGTTGTGATTTTTTTTTTATAAATCAAAAACAAATTTATAGTTGTGTTCCTAATAAAGAAATGAGAATCAACACGATTAACTTCAGTTGTATGTATAAGTTGGGAAAATCTCAACAATACTATACTTTATTTAAGTTTTTATTTTCTGTTAATGTATTTAAATGTCACTAAACAAAATACATGACTTGTATAAAAATTTAAATACTTGATATTATTTCAATTCAAGTTTAATCTTTAAGATGTGAAGAAAAAAAATTTCAGAGTGCCATCATGAGAGAAGTTTGTTAATTTAAAAACCAGAAAGATATTACGTTCAAAAATGGAAAAATGTTTAAGTAAATGATGTTATAATGACCCATGAATATAAGCTATATGTAACTGATGATTTTTGATGAATCATGGAAAGAATCGCTTACACCAAGTATCAATTAATCATGAAAATGGCCATATGCAAATAATGAAATTGGTCCAATGCAAATAATATACTCTTGAACCATAGGAAAATAGATCTTAGTCACTCAAATTATGTTCTGATGAACCATGAAAACATTAAATGATGTAAATCAAGGAAAAACAATGGTTTATTAGAAAGCCATGTTCTGATGAATCATGGGAATGCTATGATTTATATGTAAATATATAAGCGATAAACCATGGGGTTATAATTCTATTTAGGGGTCGTGGACGGTAACTTGCAAGTACTGTCCATGAACAGGCTCCATCAAATTGAGCCTGTAACATTTTCATTTCTGTCATTTTGGGTGTTTTTAGGGATTCTGTTTTTCTTTATTTTATATGTAAATGTTATAATGATAAACCATGGAATATTATGATTTATATGTAAATGGTGAATGATGAAAATTAACTGTTGGGAAAGTAAGATTTGTGTCTTGTTGAAGAAAGAGAGGTGCATTAAGATTAAAACATTAGTAAATGGACCTATTAACACCCTATACCTATAAAACTGTGACATGAATAAGTTTCGCCAAACAACAGTAGCTGAAATTGTTGAGAAAACATTTATTTTTTTAATTAAGAATAATTATTGCAAACAAAGCTCTTTTTCTGCCTTTGATTTATTTTCCATCTACTTTTAAACTAGAACTATCGCTGAATGCGATTCATACCCCCACCAATGTCCTTGACAGAAGACCACTTGGAAAGGTGGTTAAGGGAATAACTTATGTGGCACAAATACATAAAAAGAAATTATCTCTGGTGAAAAAAAGACTAACTGTACAGGTAATAGTATAAATATATATTATCAAATCATGTTCGAAACAGTTACAAATAACCTTTCATTTTCCCAATGTATTAAACATTTTATTTATAAGTCAATTTTTGACCTTCAAGTGTGACCTTGACCTTAATCTGACACAAGGGTAAGATTGGTTTTGCACATCACACAGTTTGGTTGAACATTTGAGTAAAGTTTGAAGAAAATCCTTCCATTAGTATAGAATTTATAGAGTAGACACAATATATTGTCTAGTATTGGTTGTACGTAAATTTGAAGACTTAAAAAGGGGCATAACTTTGTCTAAATTCAATACAGAGTAATGAAACTTGACCTGCATATCTTATTTGCCACACCTCATATATCTTTTAAGTTTCAAGCAAATGCCTGCGTTAGTTTCAGAATTATTCAAGTACATGTTAAAATTTAAGAACATTTTCTAAGTCAATTTTTGACTTTCAAGTGTGACCTTGACCTTTAGCTGGCACAAAGGTGACATGGATTCTGCACATAACCTTGTTGAGGTGAAAATTTGAGTAAAGATTGAAGAAAATTCTTCCATTAGTATTGGATTTATAGAGCGGACACAACATTTTGTCTAATATTTGATTGTATGTAAATTTGAAGACTTAAAAAGGGGCATAACTTTGTTAAAATGCAATACAGAGTTATGAAACTTAAACAAACAGCATATCGGAATTGTGACCCTTCAAAAATATTTTAAGTTTCAAGCAATACCTTTTCTAAATTTAAAAATATTCAAATAAATGTTAAAATTTAAGAATATTTTCTTAGTCAATTTTTGACCTTCAAGTGTGACCTTGACCTTAAGCCAGCAAAAGAGTGACATAAGTTCTGCACATCCCCTTGTTGAGATGAACATTTGAGCCAAGATTGAAGAAAATCTTTCAACTAGTGTAGGACTTACAGAGCGGACATGACAATCTGTGTAATATTAGATTGTTTGATATTTGACCTTCAATTGTGACCTTGACCTTGAGCTGACACATGGGCAACATGGGTTCTGCACATCCCCTTGTTGAGATAAACATTTGAGCCAAGATTGAAGAAAATCTTTCAACTAATGTAGGACTTACAGAGCGGACATGACAAACTGTGTAATATTAGATTGTTTGATATTTGACCTTCAATTGTGACCTTGACCTTGAGCTGACACATGGGCAACATGGGTTCTGCACATCCCCTTGTTGAGGTGAATATTTGAGCCAAGTTTGAAGAAAATCTTTCAAGTAGTGTAGGACTTACATAGCGGACACAACATACTGTGTAATATTTGATCGTTTGATATTTGACCTTCAATTGTGACCTTGACCTTGAGCTGGTACATGGGCAACATGGGTTCTGCACATCCCCTTGTTGAGGTGAACATTTGAGCCAAGTTTGAAGAAAATCTTTCAAGTAGTGTAGGACTTACAGAGCCGACATGACATACTGTGTAATATTTAATTGTTTGATATTTGACCTACAATTGTGACCTTGACCTTGAGCTGACACATGGGCAACATGGGTTCTGCACATCCCCTGGTTGAGGTGAACATTTGAGCCAAGTTTGAAGAAAATCTTTCAAGTAGTGTAGGACTTACAGAGCGGACATGACATACTGTGTAATATTAGATTGTTTGATATTTGACCTACAATTGTGACCTTGACCTTGAGCTGACACATGGGCGACATGGGTTCTGCACATCCTCTTGTTGAGGTGAACATTTGAGCCAAGTTTGAAGAAAATCTGTCAAGTAGTGTAGGACTTACAGAGCGGACACAACATACTGTGTAATATTTGATGGTGTTTGATATTTGACCTTCAATTGTGACCTTGACCTTGAGCTGACACATGGGCAATATGGGTTCTGCACATCCCCTTGTTGAGGTGAACATTTGAGCCAAGTTTGAAGAAAATCCTTCAATTGGTATAGGAGTTATAGAGCGGACACGAAAATGGAGACGGACCGACCGACCGACAGACGGACCGACGCGACAAAGCGAATCCATTATAGCCCCCCCCCCCCACATTTTGTGGTGGGGGTATAAAAAAAAAAAAATTACATCAGAATAGAAGGTAAAAAAGAAAGAATGACAAGACAAGATGGTGACAAAATCACAAGTTTGTACACTATGTGATATACAGGTGTATAACTCTATAGATGCAAAGAAGGTCAAACTGCTTGAATATAAAAGATAAAGTGACTTTCTTGTTGTTTTTTTAATACCCTTAAATGAGTATCTCCTTAACAATAAAGTTTCTCTCTCCAGCAAGCCATTTATATTCTGAAAATTACCGAAAAACCAAACTGTTAAAATATGTAAGCCTTTTTAACATTAATATGAGCTGCATCATGACAAAACCAACATAGTGCATTTGCGACCAGCATGGATCCAGACCAGCCTGTGCATCCGCGCAGTCTGATCAGGATCCATGCTGTTTGCTATCAGTTTCTCTACTTGTTATAGGGTCTGTAAGCGAACAGCATGGATCCTAATCAGACTGCAGGCTGGTCTGGATCCACACTGGTCACAAACCCATTATGTTGGTTTTGTCGTGACGCGGCTCATATCTATATCATCTATGCCTTTTACAAAGCTTTTATAAGGAAATGCAGGGAAATTGGTCTTAAGCCTTGGTGAAGTTGATCATGAACCAATAAACTCAAAATCCCATCAATGGGGTAGAGGTTCATGGAAGGTACAAACATCAAATATGATGACATTGGTCAAAATATGAAGGTACTATGTCAGTATGTGAAACAACAAATCTAGCAACTATATGCTTCAACTGAACATTTTCAGGTACATATAATAAAATTAACATTAAAAATTGATATAAAATATATTCAAAGTTACATTTCACAGCACAAACTTTGTTAAATATTTATTCTACTACTTGAAGCCTTTTCTAATATCATTAGTTGTTTATATGAAGATCTACACAACTAAAATTATTCAACAATAAACATTTATATACTGGTAATAAAGGTCTAATTGTAAATGTCTATAAGTTTAAGCAAAAGCTATCTTTTTCTTTTTTTAACATCCTTGTTGCTTATCCTACAAGCACCTTTTAAAAAAACCTCTTCATTTTCGTTTAAAAGTTATTACATACATTCAGAACAACAGCAAAAATCCCAACACTGAAATTTTCTTGTAAGATTTCTTTGTTAAAGCAACCAAAAAAATATATTTTATAAAATGACAGTTCTTTTATATAAGAATTATTTGCTAAGAATATCATTAATAATTTGAGTAGCTAAAACAGTTGGAAATTTTTAACATATTATAGATTATGGTATTCTGCAATCAAACAAAACACCATGCTTATTATTGACACATGCTATTTCCAGATCACACATTAGATAAACTATTTAGTTTTGGTCTGCAGTATTAGGTCTACACTAATTCCTCAATCTATTTTACCTTTGTTAGTTTGTACTCCTGTGTTAAGCCCTAGTTTATAATTGTCATTTTCCTGAAGCCTTTACTGAGAATATTCAATTTACACTTAAGACTAATACTGTGAATGCGAGATTTAATTAATATAATGTGCTTAAGGTTCAATGTTATCGGTTAATATTTGAGTCTCAAACCAAGGGTATTCACACATTACTTGAGCCTCAGACTGAGGGTATTCACATTATTTGAGCCTCACTCTGAGGGTATTCACATTATTTGAGCCTTAGACGGAGGGTATTCAATATTATTTGAGCCTCACTCTGAGGGTATTCACATATTACTTGAGTCTTAAGCTGAGGGAATTCCCATTATTATGTGAGTCTTAGGTTATATTATTTGCACTTCTTTTTAGACTGAGGGTATTCATACAATATTTGAACTTGGGTTCATTCTTCATAGTACTAAATAATTTGACAGCAAGTATTTACCAATGAACCAAACTGTCACAGGAAAAATTTGTACAGTTACGAACAACTTTAACTCTAAACTTTATAGCCCTACTATCCCTACAGAGTTAATAAGATGGGCTTCCTCAGGAATCAGAGATGGAATTAATTTACAAAACCTCTGTTAATATCTAACTCTATACCCACATGATCAAATAAGACTAGCGGCTTACTCAAAATGAAACATTTAGCAGTTTTCTACCTGAAATTGGCAATACTTACTTAATCTCATGTACATAACATTTAGCTCTAGATAAAACTAAATATACCTGTATTTAGTCATATAATTATTGTAAATTGTTGAACTTTTCAATGCCAAAAAAAAAGCTTTATTTGGTACACAAAAAAAACAAGACAACAAAAAAATATTAATTTTGTAGAAAGAGAAATCTAATGGCAACAATGAAAAAAGAAAATTATATAGATAATAAAAAGTTCATTTCCACAAAAAAGCAAGAATATAATGTTTCATATTTCAGAAAAAAACATAGAAACAAAACACTCTTACTGAACCAAGAAACAAAAAAATATCAGTCAAGAAATACAATACTTAATATTTATCAATTTGTGACAAAGGAGATTTTTTCATTTTGTAAAGCATTAAAATAGAAGAGAAAACTTCTAGAAAAATCACAAAAAAATCAGACACAAAAAACAAAACAAATACATAATGAATTTTTTTTTATGTAAGAACTGACCAATAATTTTTCATTTTTTGTTTGTTTTTGTATCAGAAAACAAAAGTGCCTTTTAAAGATATAAATACACAAGCTAGGCTTAAAGCAATAATCTGCTGACTTTGTATAATGGATTTGCCATGTTTTTTATTTGAGAAACATTTCATTCAAAGTTTAAGGGATATCGATATCAAAATGCCAAAAATTTAGCTACCACCAGGATAGAGCCTGGTCAGACTGTACCAACATGCAGGCTGGCCTGGGTCGGTACCGGTGGCACAAGCTCAATAATTTAGATTGCAGTAGGTTAAGGGTTCAAACATTAACCTACCACTCTGCAAAGTTCCTAGCCTAGTCTGCAAGTTTTCTAATCTATGAATATAATCCTCACTATCCCCAAGTTCACCATTTTTTGGCTCGTCCGAAGTGAATCTTACACGACCAGATCTCGGTGCTGGAATACTTGTTGAGGTCAGGATTTTTCTGCAGGAAAAATATTGAGATATATATAGCAAATCATGAAATATCTTTATCAGCGTACAATTACAAGAATAAATACACAAACTAAATGAAATTTTGAAAGCAAATGATTGTTTATTATATAACAAAAAAACAAAATGTATATATCATTATTGATAGGTGGTATAGATGTTCCAAAATCACAGAAGACTATACATGACTGCATGTTGGACAAATTATTTCACAATGATATGATATGATATAAGAGATAAATTTGTCATACCTTCTAGCACCAGATGAAGGTGAGGAATACTTTGTTGTACTACTGTAATCCTTGGTGGGTGGGGTATATGGAACATGACTTAGTGTGGTGACTCTAGGAGACGTGTGTGATGACGATGAAACAGAGTCCATGTCAAACCTTGGACTGAGAAACACGGCGTGTTCTGTGGCACGTGACGGTGATTGATGGCGATATGACATGGCACGTGCAGGCGATGATGACGCTGATCTCACTGGAATAGCTGAAACACGTGGTGATGATCTTGCCGGGGAATATCCATTGGAATGTGGTACATACCCTTTAAAACATACAACACTGGTTATCATTAAACGTTAAAAAAAGTTTTAATCAACAATAGAATAACACAGGAATAAAGAATATGTTGGGTTTTTCCAACTAATCTGGTGGTACAAAAAATTTCATTTTACATTTACAACTTTGTATATCGCATCAGAATGACTTATCTACATGTATTGTAATTGGTAGTGCACCATGAAGCTATAACAGTAAAAATGTTTGTACTAGGAGATTAGCTTTGAAAAACTAACATTTATTGATTTCCGGATACAGCTTCTTTGATACAAGATTTTAAAATGCCAAAATTAATCTTTAATCAAATTTTTTTTAATGTTACTATTATATTTATGCAGTTTTCAGCAACTATTCTTATATCTGCAATCATATATGACAGCTGCAATGATGATATTGCCATCTGTTATTAAAGTTGTTAACTACAATAGATATTCTTCAACTATAATCATTTTACCATTTATACAAAGGGCATTATTTTGAATTTTTAACGATCTTATGATTTAGAAGTTGCCATAAAAAAATGTTAAAAGTAAGCATAAAGCATTGTAGAGCCTAGCTAGGCTTTATTGATGGCAGTCAGACTTGATTCGGCCATAGGCAAGCAAAGCATTCTCCAACAACAACTACAACAATATCACCATAGTAACCTACCGTTATTCTGATCTACAGTACCTCCAACAACTTCTGAACCAACCCTTGTTGCACGCCTCCATTTCTTTACCAAAAACTTCATCCTAACAAATAATCAACAATTCAGATAATAAAATAAAGTAATAGTTTAGTGTGTACATGTATCTTCCTAAGTAAATTCCTTAAAACTTTAACACATTTGTATCAATTTTCAATAAAAGTTTAGAAATATTCTCGTCTAGGTGATTTAAATCACTAATGAGGGTTTTATATTACGCTTGCTTTCTTTAACAAAATCACTGAAAGTAATGCTTTAGTAATAAAGTTTTCTGACATAATTTACAAGCTGATTTACCTTTGTATAGCAATTACGACCCTGACGGCACCTCTAAAAGTTGTCAATGGTTTGGTATGTCTTCTGCAACCATTTGGTCTATTAGAATCCATTGCTCCCATACGTGACAACAGTGCCAATGTTGTTTCCTCAGTATCTTGGAAACCACCCAGTAAGATAAGCAAGTACTTCTTTTGATATATCAGTGCTTTTCTGAAACTTTCAGCTCGTAAATATTTTCCGTAAAGTCTTTGAATCTTAATCTTATCATTGTCTTTTGTCTCCGTGATACCGGCCGCCACTCGTCTTTCACGTTCCACACGCAAGTCCGTCTGCAACAGATCAATTTCCCTTTCTGCAGAGTTTAGCGCCATCTGTAGGGAAAGTTTTTCTTTGGCCCAGTCGGATCTTTCAGCTATAAGTTGATGATCTACACCACTAGAAGATCTCTGCATCTCCTATAACATAAGTACAATGGTTTTATTATCTGATGATGAAGATTTACATTGTCTACAATAACAGATTATTTTTTGGACCAAATTACTTTGTACTGTAATTTATCTGGAGAAAATAATATGGGCTTTATAATCATTTTTTTTACATGCCCTATCTTTTAAGTTGAATCTTTTACGTTAAAGACTGTATTGTATATGAAACATTGGTGGTAATGTGATGTTAAATGCCTTATTTTTGTATATCATTCTCACAACTTGGTCCCCGGTAGAAACATTCAAACATGAATTATATACCTGATATTTAGAGTCCATCTGTCTATATCTCCATATCTCCTCCTCCAATGTTCCTAGTGTGTTACGTAACTCTGTCTTCTCCTCACTGATCCTAGCAACAAAGTTTGTCAGTTCCTCGTTTTGTCGGAGGATTCTCTCATTCACACTGCCCGAGGGATGAGTCATATATTCACCTTCCATTTCCTGCAGCTGTTTGACCTCCGATAAAAGGTCACGTAAAGACTTCTGGAGTGCATCATAGTCTGACAAATCAGCCTGTCTAATGCCGCTACAAGGTAAATATGGTACATTGTATTTCTTAAGAAAAGTCTATAAAACATGCTAAAGTGTCCTATTCGGTAAAAAGGAGTTTTACTATTATTCACTTCAAATTAGATATATAATAAGAATAACTTAAATGAATTCATGTTAAACCAATAATTAAGTCATGTGTTAATGGTTTCATTAACAAAGAAAGATTTCATGTGACACTGGAAGTGGTTAATGTAATATTAAGAAAGGTCTATTTTCTGTAAGCTATTCACACAGCTTTTGCAGTGGTGAGTGGTAACTGACTACAAGCCAACAAACTTGTCTTTTGCACAAAATTTAACTTAATGTGGCAAAAAGAAATATAATCAATATTGGATATCATACATTCTGTGAGTGAGATAAGAGGGTCTAGATTAGTGATTTTAACATACAACTTTCGCAAAGAGCCCTTCAAATCTATATATCATAGAAACGAGACAAACCTGTGTGTAGTTTTGTTGAGTTGTTCTCTACATCTAAGGATAAGGTAATGTAAACTCTGACACATACTCTCCAGCTGCGACCTGTATACATGCCAATTTTCACCACGCCCACTTCCAAACTCTTGTGACATACCATCGGTGAAGTCCGGTCTAGGGGACGTCTGAACTGATACCTGCAAGAGCAGACAAATAGATTATCAACAACTTTAATATAAAACTTTGGCGTAGAGTCTTTCAAACCTATATGGTATAGAAACGAGACAAACCTGTGTGTAGTTTTGTTGAGCTGCAAGAACAGACAAAAATAATCATTTTAACAATTAAAGCTTTATAACTTTTTTTTTTTTTGGAACAACCAAAGTTGAAATATTTGGATCTTTTATAATGATACACAAGAAAAATATGACTGAAAAAAAAAATCTCTAAATACAGGCGACTTGCAGTATAAATGTTAACTACTGATATGAGAAAGAAACTTGGAAATATCATTGCAAATTTCTCTAAATACACATATTTGGTGTTATCATTGCAATGAGACATCAACATTTTGTTTTTTCCATATTGAAAATATATCAAATAAAACTCCCAAATCATTTCTATCACTGAAAACCATGGATACACAATGTTATTGCATTTATCATAACATACCATCTGTTCTTCAGGATGCATAGTTTCTATTTTTAATTGCTCCAATTCTCTTATTGCCTTTAATTCATTTTCTTGGCTCTCTGCCAACTGTTCTTGCATGCCGGTGATTTTCTGTGAGAGACGTTGAGTCTCCAACTCCTGCTCATGCTAAGAAATTAGTTATATTGACATGTTAGTGTATAGGGTTACAACTGACAGTATGAATAACAGACACAACAAAATACAAAGGGTAGGCTTAGCATGCTCACTTATCATTTTACCAGGGTCTATTCTTATCATTTGTTTTAACCTTAATTCTGCTGGTACAGAAAGAGATTTGTGCTTGCCACCAGTACAGAGCCAGGCCAACCTGCACCTCCGTGCAGTCTGAACTAAACAGTATGCTGATTATATGTATATTTTTCATCTTGATGTGTCCAAAAATAGTAAGACTCAGATCCAATATTGGAAACTGGACAAGTTCAGGTTAAGGGACAGAGTAACATTAACTTTTTCAAAGTCATATACTGAATTGTAGATTTCTTTGCAGGAAGAATATTGCAGTGGTACTTTTGTGCATTATATCATGGTAAATAGTAAAAGCACAACCTGGGAATCAGTCATGAAATTCAAACAACACAAGTTGATTTTAAATAACTCTTTCTGAGAATGGTCTATATGTAAAAGGAATCCCAATTACGTTCTTTTCTCAAGTTTTTAAAAAAGAAAACATGCACTAAGGTAACTATTTTTATATCAATTTCAAAACAATGGTGACTACCAAATTATAGATACATGACAATAATAATACAACTCTACATGCAATTTTTACAGAAATAAAATCATCTAGTAAGCATCAAATAGAAATTTTTTTCCAAAACAACCATGCTTCTAGTAAACATTTCAACACATTAAACAAAGGGAAATTTTATATACACATGGAATGATGGAACAGGTTAACAAGTAAGGGTCAGGGTAACTTAACATTGACTTAATACATTATTTTCAAAAGGTTCAAGACAACAATATTGAATTTGTTCTTATAAGTATATCAAGTCATGCTGTAAATGCATTCAAAATTTACAATACTGTTACAATATGTCATAAATAATAAGAACATACCAATTTCATCCTGTATTCCTCCTTCTGTCTATCAGCATCTCTGACAGATTTCTTACTGGCCAATCTCTCTGCCTCACGGTCACTACCTGTCTGTAATTCCTGTGATTTCATCTTACGCAGTTCCTCGTTTATCTGGTCACGTTCTGACTTTATACGTGTCACCATTTCCCGTTCTTTCTGGAGTTGATTCACAGCCTCTAGACGTTCAAACTGTGTAAAAACATTCAAAAATAGTTTTATAAGTATTATTTAAGTATACTTACTCCTTTTACAGTATCTTTTTTCAGGAAGTTCTGTGAGTTCTATCACATCATTCAGCACAAAAAACTTGTTGCAAGTGCATACTGATCAAATTGCAGCACATATGTACAGACCTCACCTGGCCAGGCCTTATTACTTGTGGAAAAGGCTATGTTGTTTCTATTCAAATTATCAATGTAAAGATCTATAGATAATTGATCATGTATTTACAACTTAAAATATTTTGAAAACCTAAATGATAGTAATACCTTATCAATTTTTTTTTACATCAAAATGTGTAGACTGTGGGAAAGTCTGAATTTTTTAACTATCAACAGATAACTATACCTGTAACTTATCCAGATCATGTTTCATATCTTATACCTGTAACTTATCCAGATCATGTTTCATATCTTATACCTGTAACTTATCCAGATCATGTTTCATATCTTATACCTGTAACTTATCCAGATCATGTTTCATATCTTATACCTGTAACTTATCCAGATCATGTTTCATATCTTATACCTGTAACTTATCCAGATCATGTTTCATATCTTATACCTGTAACTTATCCAGATCATGTTTCATATCTGATACCTGTAACTTATCCAGATCATGTTTCATATCTTATACCTGTAACTTATCCAGATCATGTTTCATATCTTCATTCAAAGCTCTTTCCTGATTCAGATGATCTTTTATCAAGCTTTTCTCAGACTCAGCTTCTTCTCTTGCTCTCTGTTCTCGTTGCAGGGCACGGTTAAGGTCGTCTAGATTGGCTCGCTCAGTTTCAAGCTGAATGTGAAGGTCTTCTAGCATAGACTGGTCTTGGTGAGTATTTCTCTCAGACGTAGACTTTTCAGCCTCCAGACTTTGCTGTAAATGTGCCGACAGGGACCGTTCTCTGTCCAGAGCTCTGTTTATGACAGGTAAAAAACAATATAAAAACATCGTCCAAATTTTTAAACATTTTACCTAGTGTTTTTCTGTCATTGGAAATGCAAACTGTTAATTTCTAATATCATGGATTTTTAACTATTCATTTGTGCAGCAAACAGACCAGAGAATGGTAAGTTTGAATGAAAACCTGGTCCTGATATTCTGACCAGGACAGCACACCAGGGTAAATCAAAGTATCATCCTTGATACAACAATATATATATAGATATATGCATTTACTATTTACACAGTTTAACTGGAGGTATTTGTTAAAATACCTAAAATACATATATAATCACACACTTATTTTTCTATTCTGTAATAGCACAGAATTTTACTATAACAACTCCCCAACAGGCAAAATCTTATCTCATTACTAACAATTCAATTTAATACAATTGTATGGTAATTAAACATAAAATACTTGTCAAGTTGAGCATCATCTTTCTCAAAAAAGGTAACTTAGAACAAACCTACCTATTTATCTCTGTAATTTTTTGTCTCTCCATATCACAATTGCGTTGAAGTTGTGATACTTTTGCTCCGAGTTCTGATTCTATTCCTTGTAGTCGACGTTTATCCATTTCTACCTCTTGTCGTAAGTTCTCCATAGTTACCATGTCTATTTCATGCTGACTGTCTGCCTGACAACGACGTTCTCTCTCGTTGTTTAAATCTGCCTGAAGTTGCTGTAAAATCAAAAATCAATATCATAAAAATAATTCAGATAATTTTTTTTTCACCTGCAAAATAACAGAGATTTGTTCTGCCTAATTTAGACAGTTTTTCTCCTAATAAACAAGATATAATTAGTAAGATAATGTTTTCTTTAAGATTATGCATCCAGCCACATGTCCATCACATTCAAACAACTTGTCAATTGAAAGAAAGCTTAGGAGATTTTTACTGTCTCTAGATCTAATAAATGTTTCTACATGTTTATAAGATACAAAATGAAACAAAAAATGTCTAATTTTCAAAGACTCCTGATGGTTTTGTTGTCATAAAATTTTCAAAACAAGGAGCAAACTTAAAACACAAAAGAATTTTTTTCTTTTAAATTTTAGATACGAGATCTCAGCAGAAAGCATCCTAATATTTCCTTCTGTGACTGGGCCCTAATAGGGATCTGTCACAAAGGACCTCAAAAGATGCTAAAGAAAAGAAACACCCTGATATCACAGTAGCACCTTGAGAGTAATAAGGGTGAATTAAGCATTAAGATACAAAATGTATTAATGTTACCTCAATGGCTCTAGGATCGGCATACACTTGCTGTTGTTTTAGGGCTTCCAACTCAGCTTGAACCCTCCATAATGTCTCCCTCTCAGACTCAAGAAGATCAGATAAGTTAAGGGACTTTGACTTCTCTTCTTCCAACGCATTTCTGTAATGGTATAATGAATCATTATTTTAAAATACAGCTTTCTGTTTCAGTATGCAATACACACCAAGTAAAATACCAATATACCAAAATATAATGGATTTTTCTGACCAAAAAATCTAAGAAACTGTAAATCAAACTACATGTATATATACTTTAAAACTATCACAAGGCTTCCATATGATTAACAATTGCTAAAAATGGACAAACAAATTCAAAAAGGAGATGCACTGTGGTCATCCTTATAAACTAATCTATTCCTAAGTATACTGTTAAATATCACAAATGAAAATTATCCCTTACATCCCTCGTATTTATAACGCAAAGGTCAGAATGAATATATATTGAAATAAGGTCAAACAACATGGTAGATGGCATCATCTATACTAGGCCTGTTCTTTCCTACTACCCATGGCATATTTTACATGTAATTAACAGCTTTTTTTACCTACCGGTATTTTTCAGGGTAATCACCCTACAAAAACTTTACATCATTTCACCCTCACTTTAAGAGGATGAACAGAGTAGCATGTGATTATTAAAGTTTATTCACAATAATGAATTTTGCACACATAAAACCTATACCTTTCAACAGCATTCTGAAACTGTAGCAATCTACATTTGCCCTCGTATATATTAGCAGTACAAGAGAAATATATTTCCGAGGCATCCCGAGGCTCGCCATCAGACGAGTTTTCCCCATTTATCTCCCCATTCACTTGTCCATTTTCACTTCCTTCCGTGCTACCACAGTTCTTACATATACAGTTTATATATTCACACGTGTTACATTTTTCCAGCATAGATACATCCATTGTGATAAGGCTGTTGCATAATTCAATTCAAAGAAAATTTTTTTTTGGTTTGTAAATACTGTTATAAAAACTCAATAACTTATTCTGTGTCCAACTTTAAACAATGATCAACCCTTGTTATTTTTTTATACCGTCTCTATTTACAAAGTCACAGTATTTTTGATGATCCCTTAATTAAGTAAAATACATGCCATCTACAAGTAGCATAGCATTATTTATTTATTTCACACAAATAAAACAAAACAGTTGAATCAGTTTTTCTTCTTGGATTAACACAAAAGTTTACCTATTCATTTAACTAATGGAAAATATTTTCGATGTTAATCCTATTGTTCAATATGACTTACTATCTCTTATAGTAAAGAAATATATCATGGTGGTGGAAAAAAAACAACATCTGCAATTATCATCTCAAAATAAAGCACATTTTCTCAGTCTTCCTCTTTCTTTCATTCCAATTATTATCTTGATGTTGGTGATTCTCTCATTTAATGATGGCATGCATGATTTATTATGAAGATTATTTAATGACCTTTTAACAACCTATTGGCGATTATTGTATTTTACCATCCGAAAATAATTGATTATACAGAATGAATCTAAGTTATTGTCCACTAATTTGTTAACTATAATTTAAGTCCATCAATCTCTTGAATAACTTTAACATTAAATTCCCTTTTCATTGAAAAATATATGTTCTTTATTTTGTTTCCAAATTGTGCAAACTCATAGTTCCGTGTTGCATTATAGTAAACAGATAAATAAAATTCCACACAAAAGACATTTTTTTACAAAATATACTGTTTATTCATCATAAAATTCTTTAAAACAAAAAGTTTGTGTGGATTTGTAAAAATCTGTGCCAACCAAGTTGCCAATTACAAGCTAATCTTTTAATGCCTGGTTATTGTTAACAAGTTATTACAATCTTTTTCAACAAGAATTCTACAGGGATATTAACAATTTTAACCATAGCCATGTCAGCTTGCCAAAAATACCTTTTGGAATTAAGTTGTTAAAAAACGGTCAAAGTGTAAAACAATTCAATATTTCGGTATCAATATTAGGCTTGTCAAGTCAAAGAATTATTGCATTGTTCTAATTCAACAATAGCCTCACATGCCTAATTTAGATAGTATTATCTTCATGATGATTAAATATTTGGATTAGGTTTGGAATTTCTCGCACTTTATCAACTTTAATTAATATTGGACACATATGAATAATGGAGTTGAAAATAGTTTATACAACATACCAGTATATTAAATGAGAACTTTAAGAGCTGAAAATCTAAATAATAACAACACATCTTTTGATTGAACACATTTTCTGATATTATATTATGGTCTGCTTATAATGACATGGTTTTTAATCAGTGATGTTTCTTACAAACAAAGAATAAATGAAAGCAGAATTTGCTAAATGTCCAAATGTTGTTTTATCCTAAAATTCCCACTAGCTTCCAATTGGGAGAATATTAGACCAGTGTGTAAATTACAAAAAAAGTTTTACAGGACAACAGCGAGGAAATTTACCACCCAACTATCTAAATAAATTTTAGTGAAACTTATAAATGATTTTTACTAAGAGCTAGTTGAGGTCAGTTGATCATATTATTTCTAAAATCCAGTAATAACCTTGCTAATCTCTAATTCTGCATACCTTATCTTAATCTTACATGTAGGTTCAACACCTTTCTTGTACTTATATAAGCCCTAGTACTTATATTACCTTTTACAAGCAGAATTTCATTATTATAAAACTCTTGATATTCTGTAATTCAATTATAAAAGTCAGGAGATTAAGCCTATATGCCAGAACCAATGTATAATAAGACACTGGTGAAGGCTACTCCAGATCTACTATATAATATTTTCCATCTTTAATTTTAAGTTTAGCAATATTATTTTACCAATTATACTACCTATTGTTCTTAGCCAGTTATGCCATATAAGTTTGTGTATACAACAAGTTATTATCATCATTTAAATGCCTTTTAATATAAAATTCAAAATATGTGATATACAAACACTGCTTAGTATTATTTTGTTGGTTGGAGCTGGGTTCAAGTAACACAAAGACATTTACAGTTTTACATGACAATTTTACAGCTTTGAGTATGAGAGGAAGGAAAGCTCCAAAGCCATTATGTACATGTACAACTGAGAGGGACTGCAATGCCCTTATGTACATGTACAACTGAGAGGGACTGCAATGCCCTTATGTACATGTACAACTGAGAGGGGCTCCAATGCTCTTATGTACATGTACATCTGAGAGGGGCTCCAATGCCCTTATGTACATGTACATCTGAGAGGGGCTCCAATGCCCTTATGTACATGTACAACTGAGAGGGGCTCCAATGCCCTTATGTACATGTACAACTGAGAGGGGCTCCAATGCCCTTATGTACATGTACATCTGAGAGGGGCTCCAATGCCCTTATGTACATGTACAACTGAGAGGGGCTCCAATGCCCTTATGTACATGTACATCTGAGAGGGGCTCCAATGCCCTTATGTACATGTACATCTGAGAGGGGCTCCAATGCCCTTATGTACATGTACAACTGAGAGGGGCTCCAATGCCCTTATGTACATGTACAACTGAGAGGGGCTCCAATGCCCTTATGTACATGTACAACTGAGAGGGGCTCCAATGCCCTTATGTACATGTACAACTGAGAGGGGCTCCAATGCCTTTATGTACATGTACAACTGAGAGGGACTGCAATGCCCTTATGTACATGTACAACTGAGAGGGCACCAGAATAGAACCATAACCTTCTATAAGCCTGCTTGACAGCATTCTAAACATTTCAACATCCCCAGAATAAACCAAACCATCAGGCAACAGAGGCAATGCATTGTAACATTTCTTTTATTCATAATCATTTTAACCACTCACTTACAAAGACATCTTTAACATGGTGGTTTTTTTTTATGTCAAACTTACAATTATTACAAGGGAAACTTTAAACCCATTCAAATACAGTTAATGTAGTTCCACTTCTTTTAGATCATGTAGTTTAACTGCTATGATTTCAAATCACCGATAAATGGACACATATATGAAGTACTATAATCAGTTAGAAGAATAAACTTACACATGTGAAGGGTGCCGACAAAATTCTGTTTTATAAGATAATGGTGTGATGTGATGATATGATGAATCATGCAATATGACAAAATAATATGAGCCGCATCACAACAAAACTAACAAAGTGCGTTTGCGACCAGCATGGATCCAACCAGCCTGCACATCCGCGCAGTCTAATCAGGAACCATGCTTTTCGCTTACTATAGCAATTTTTTAGAAGAAAACTGATACACGAACACAAGCTATGGATACTATCAGACTGGCAGCGGCATGGTCGACAGCTGGGCTGGATTCAACATGCTGGTCGCAAAACGCATAATGTTGGTTTTGTCATGATGCGGCTTGTATCAACAATACTACCAGTGTTCCAGGACATTTGAAAATTCTTATCCATTATCATGTACATAAAATAATTATATTTAATTGAAATTGAAATTTATTTAAGATAAAAATACACAAATGTACATTTAATAATCAGACTTGAATTAAGAAATGTAAGGATAACAGTTCATAAAATAAATGATCTTGGAACACCATTTAAATATGAGCAATATGAAATACTTCTATTTTTCAATCATTTTGCATACAAGTGCATATTTAGAAACAGGTTGTTGTTTAGTACATGGCCATTTTGCATCTTTAAGTCAAACTTGATTAGAAAAAGAATAATATATTTCCTCCAGATGAATTCATACAAAAACAAACATCTAAGAAAGGCTTTACATTATTAACATTGTGTTGTTTTTCAACAAAACATGTAGATAATTGAAATTGCTGGTAACCATGACAATAGTGAAATCCTGGTACAAGATTGAGAAACAATAATAAATACATCACTTCATAGTCAATAGTCCCTTCACCAATCAAACAAAGCAACCCTACAGTACTTCCCCTCTTGGATAACAATGAGGCAGTCAATCATAGCAGTATTTCATGCCATTGTATATAACTAACATTTAATTAAGCAGCAATTTTCCTAAATAAATATCATGTATCATTTTAACTTCAAGAGCTAATAATTCCCCTTGGACAACATACTTAATCAAATGAGCTGTGAGACAATTTTGATATCATTTTTTCCCCACTTTAATATTGTTGATAAATTACTGTTCTAAATTAAAACATTTTTGTATTGATCTTGTCTTGATACCTTAAAAGCCTGTGGGAAAAACAAACATAACTCTTACGGACCCAGTTCTTCCCCCTGATTTTATTGCTTAACTTTGAAACTATGCCAATGAACCAGTCTTAAACAGACATGAGCCTAAACAATGCTAGCAATTGATCACAAAATTAATCTAAAAATTGTTTAAAATTACTCTATTGAAATATGAAAAATATATGGGGGTTGTTGTTTTGGACGTTATTTTGGGATTCCATTTTTTCTATTTTGTGCAAAAGGCTTTAAATCTGGTGCATCATTAGAATGCAGTGACCGGACTTGTCGTCTGATATATCCCGGACTACATCAATGGATAGTGCCATATTTAAAGCAAGACAAGCCCATTATAAATTGCAGGAACACAGTCAACATATGTATCAAAACATAAATACCTCAATAACTGCTAATGTTATCCAAAATGGCAAGTCCTTAATGAGCATTTGTTTTATTGCATACAATATACAACATAGACAAGCTGCATGTATATATATACATATATGTGCCGCGTCATTACAAAACCAACATAGTGCGTTTGCGACCAGCATGGATCCAGACCAGCCTGCGTATCTGCGCAGTCTGATTAAGATCCATGCTGTTCGCTTACAAACTCTATAACAAGTAGAGAGACTGATAATGAACAGCAGGGATCCTGATCAGACTGCGCGGATGCATGCTGGTTGCAAACCCAAAATGTTGGTTTTGTCATGACGGGGCTCATATGTAAAACACAATAAACAATTTGATATCACTCATGTCAATCAATCAATTAAATCAATCACTTACACTAAGGAGTTCCACATCAATCTAATGAAAGCAAAGCAAACAAGCACAATAAATTACCAGCTACCACTATACACGACTCTATTTCATCATCAAGTTCTGTAGCTTCTGATGAATATAACTACTTTTGTCATTTCTATGAATTTCACATTATATTAAGATATGTTTAAACTGATTATGTCTAAATTAGATTTGATATAAAAGCATCTAGGTAACCCAATCAACCAATGACAATATCTGAAGTTATATTTTAAGTTGATCTATACAAATTTTAGCAGTTTTTGATATAAAATTTCTGAAAATCATTAAAAATTTACCATTATCTCCAACTTAAAAAGTATGATTATTCCATGCCTAAATGTCTGTTAAGATCTTTCTTTGAATAACAAAGACACACTTTTATCAAGAAATTGATTTTATCTTATCAGTTTACACTTACATAACATTGACATGTATTCACTTTACTTATATATCTTTAAAGTTAATCTTTATTTATAACCAAAAATCAATTTTAAGCAGACTTGATATATTAAACAGTCTTGATATATCTAATTTTTTCACCATTTTATTTATGTTCATTTCAAGCACAAGAAAGGAAAGTGTATATTATCTGAGGTTACAAAAGAAAATAAAAATGCCAATATAAACCTGAAGAGTCTTTTCATTTTCTTTAAATCCTTGAAAACAGACATTTCCTTGTTTTGTTTATACTTTACACTTAATTTCCAAAAATAGTTATATCAATTAAGAAATTGTGTTCTTTTCCCATCCTTTGGGGTACTTTTCCAGATCATTCACTCCTTTCCAACATTGGTGTTTAAAACTGTGAGAGCAATGTACTCAAACTAGAGTTCAAAGGCAATTAATAGACAAATTATATCTAAAAGAAGAACCTTATGGAGATTTAATTGCAGTATAGCATTATTAATTCATCAGCATCAACCTCTAGTACTGGTATAACGTTTCTCTTGATAAGACAATATAAAATCAAACTCCTAACCGTACAAGATAAATAAATAAAATAACAGTCCCTTAACTAATGTCATTACAAATGATTTCAAAGTCAAAATTCACATTACTCTTAATATATGATTTATTCAGAGTGGAGACTAATCAATGCAACACTGTTTCTTTATAATAAAACAAAACAAAATAATGATGATAATCATACTTAAGTGTTCCTCTAAATACTTGAAGAAAACTTGAAAAGTTAGAAAAGGAGCAAAATTTCTTTATTTAGGCTAATAATATACTTGCTTTTTGAAAATGAAAGGAACAAATAACAAGAGCTGTCGGTAGGACAACAACGCTCGACTATTCTTAGTGCTTGATAGTAAAAAAATGCTTGATACAGTTACCTCCTCCTGTTTACAGGTTGGGGTCATGATGGTGAACAAGTGTGCAAAGTTTCAAAGCCATATGTCAATGGACTTTGAAAATATTTGAACTATTACAAAAACTTTAACGTAAATTCTAAGTCGAAAAAGGGGCTTAATTCTGTCAAAATGCTTGATAGAGTTACCTCCTACTGTTTACAGATTGGGGTCATGATGTTGAACAAGTGTGCAAAGTTTCAAAGCCATATGTCAATGGACTTTGAAAATATTTGAACTATTACAAAAACTTTAACGTAAATTCTAAGTCGAAAAAGGGGCATAATTCTGTCAAAATGCTTGATAGAGTTACCTCCTCCTGTCTACAGGTTGGGGTCATGATGGTGAACAAGTGTGCAAAGTTTCAAAGCCATATGTCAATGGACTTTGAAAATATTTGAACTATTACAAAAACTTTAACGTAAATTCTAAGTCGAAAAAGGGGCTTAATTCTGTCAAAATGCTTGATAGAGTTACCTCCTCCTGTCTACAGGTTGGGGTCATGATGGTGAACAAGTGTGCAAAGTTTCAAAGCCATATGTCAATGGACTTTGAAAATATTTGAACTATTACAAAAACTTTAACGTAAATTCTAAGTCGAAAAAGGGGCATAATTCTGTCAAAATGCTTGATAGAGTTACCTCCTCCTGTCTACAGGTTGGGGTCATGATGGTGAACAAGTGTGCAAAGTTTCAAAGCCATATGTCAATGGACTTTGAAAATATTTGAACTATTACAAAAACTTTAACATAAGTGGTTACGCCGACGCGGACGCGGACGCTCGGGTGACTGCAATAGCTCTACTTATTCTTATCGAATAGTCGAGCTAAAAAGGAATAAACCAAAGTTTGAAATCATTTTATGTTAAATATTTACTACATTCTACAACCAACAACCTTTCCTCTAACTATCTACACTTTTACTTTTTCTCCACCATTAAAACTAAAGAAAATTCTATATACATGTATAAAATATAAGTAAGGGAAGTCACTCTTAATTACTACAAATAAACCAAGGTAGTCAACTTACGTTACAGAGACATATCTACTCTGCTCCCTCTCCAGATTTTCTCGTAGTTTCGAGACCTGTGTCTGCAGTGCCGAGACTGAAGTCTGAAGGTCAAGGTTACTCGTTTTTTCCTGATTCAGTAAGCCAGACAGCTCGCCACTTCGGTTGCGCTCAGAATCCAGACTGGTGCGCAAGTCGTCTTGTAAGACCTTTTCTTGCTGGATCTTAAATTCCAGAAGTTGAACTGCAAAAAGACGAATATAACAGTAGACATACGAGGAAAAGATCCTGTAGATTTTTCACAATCTGTCATTCAGGTCATATTACTATACAGTCCTGTATAAATATGTTTAAGTTACAAGATGATGAGACTACCCTACTTGTACATGGATGAATTTATACACAATAGGTTTGGCAAAATGTATGAAACTATCTGCCAAATGACAGGAGGCTCCAACATGGCCGTACTTGTCAAACAGCCATAACATGTAATATATTCATGTATAGAAGATGAAACAAAAAATATATAACAACATATAAGCCTATATACACATGTACAAGATATACAGAAAAGATCAAAGATAAGAAAAAAGTTTAGAATTTGAAATCATATTTTGATAAATTAAAAAAAAAAATGTTTTAAAGATGGCAGCAAGAGATGAAATATGATGAAAAATTGTACCAAAAGCTTATAGAAGGTTGGCTGTTCTTCTCAGTTGCCTATTTGCTAATAATTTATTGAACAAATATTCTAAAACTTGTGCAGCGATTTTGAAAAACACAATGAAATGAATTATAACTCTTGCTGCCAACATTTACAATATCACTGATATGGTCAAAAAAAGAAAAGAAAGACAAGATTTTTACAGTAATATAGAAAGACACGGTGTTGAAGGTCATCGTCAAGAATTAAATGTCCACCTGTCAAATCTCGCACAACTTGAGTAAAAGGATCCATTTCTACACCATTCAATTTGAGATCCATTTCCTCACTTTTCATTTTAGATGTTTATTTATGTCTTTCCTTGCCAAAATTGTCCTTTGCTTCAAACTGTCAGTGTTTTAAGTTGTTTCATAGTTGTTTCTTAGTCATATTTATGTTATTTTATTTTTTTTAAATAATACGTCATTCTGTTTCACAAATACTGAATCATTTTCCAACCCTTTCCAAAACTGTATTTCAAGATTTCACAAATGCCTTACTCCTTTTTCTTACACAAAGATATTCAAAATAACTAAAAAATTACATCATCAAAATATATCAAACCAAAATCTTTTATCTATTCATCATTATTTATATATTTTTTTTGTAAAATCTGCAAAAGACAAAAAAATCTATTTTTTGCTTGAAATACGATTATCTGACGACCATAAAATTGTACAATTATTGATTCTAACAATGTTGTGAGATCTGCGTCAAAAGGCGTGCAGATTAAATAGATTAAATATAACGACTATATATGATGGTTGATGAATTGTTTAAAAAGTCCAGTAAGCATGAAAAAGGCCCGCGATAATCATCGAACATTTACTTTGTAAACTGTCAATAATCTCTACAAGCCTTGTATGACTGACCGATGATTGATATTTGTACATCAGTTGTGTATATAAACACATTATCAAATCTTTTAAGGTCTCGTACAAACAATCACCCTAGATCAATGGATATATTCTTAAGTTATATCGGACTGTAAATACAGTCAAAGATTGTTATTATTGGGAAAACTTTATTTATAATGGGATAATCTGTGAAGGAAGGTCAACAAAATAATTGCTCCCAACAATAGACTATAATTAACTGTAAACTTTCTTTTTGAATAATGGACGGTATTTGTTGAACTAATAAAAATGTCAATTTCAACTTGTTTATATATTATAAAACAGAATATAATTCATTTAAAGATGTTTATATAAACCTGAGAGAAATCAACTTATGTAATTATATAAAGAAAATGTTATTTAAACATGTTGACGTATATGAAAATCAAAAAGGAAAATGAGAAAATACACCATTATTCACAAACAAAAATATTTAAACATAATAATACACCTGGCAATGAAGGCTGGTGTACAACAACCCTGAACAGCTTAAATCAACAGAATTATCTGCCTGCAACTTTTGTTCAAGAGCTCTGTGAAAGAGTTTGTCTGTCTGTCTGTCTGTCTGTATGTTAATTATTTAAAACAAAAGGACTTAAGTTAACTCCAAAGTGATTGTTCGGGAGTATTATGTGCAAAATTTATAAACACTCAAAAATTGTGTGAAAGGGAGTCAAAAATTAATTTTAAAAACTATAAAATTTTCATATTCATTCAAATATTTCACTTTTTAGGGAAGGCTTTTTTATATTGCACTATTCAATTCAAATTATTTATTTTCTTAGTTAAATATCATTTCATACAACTAGTGAATAATTCTCTCTCAGTCCCTATCCACTCTCACATTCCCTTATTCTAGCACAATGTGATCTAACATTTAAATAAAATCAAAACATTTCTTACTCACATCCCCCAAGTCCTGGCAGTGAATACTAATTTATTACCAATTCACAACTACAATAAGAACATTTAACCCTTAACCCACTATAACCACACAATAACACTTCTAATTACCTTACTACATGAAAATGAGTTAATATAAAACTACTTAAAACATTTTACAACCCAAATACATCAAAAACTATCTTATTGAGTCTTAACAAATCACCATTTGATATAAAATTCATCAATCAATAGTGCAGAACTAAATGCCATTTCATACTGGTAGACTTGTAAATTAAAACAAAATTCATTTAGCAAGACTTGTTTCAAAACAAATATTAATTGTCCATTAAGTTACATGAACATTAATTAAAGTTGTGCCATGTACATACATTGTTTATATAATGGGAGTGTTTTAGCCATAAATCTGTCATGCTTTGCAAGGCAGAACATGAAGTCAAAAACACAACAATATCACAACTTGTGGTGTTTTAAACATATTGATTTCTTGCCCCACCTCATTAAAAATTGCATGCCACAAACCATCAACCTCATCAATTAAAACCAATGGCAGGTTCTCGATTTCTAGTACATTTTTATAAAAATTGAATCTTTAAAACAGGTAATAAAACTTTGGCATAAAATTACTATATTAGATTGACCAGGATGTAAAACTTCTAAAACATTAAAAAAATTATAATTTTAGTTTGACTGGGAATTCTAAAACATATAAAATACCAACAATATAAAACATGTACTCAGCACTATTCTCACCATCATTATTCTAAGCTCTAGACATTAAAATTATGTTATAAAATTGTAAAATATAAAACCAGCTAGATTTGTCTATAATCTTACTATATCATACCCTTTTTTAACACTGACAATGGATCAGCTAAACCTGTTATAACAAAATGTATTTCTTCATTACTTCCCTTTATCATCTGACAAGAATTTTTCCAAAATTGTGCTGTGTTAGCATGGTACACACCACACAACTATTTCTGTACAAGTGAGGTAACTCTGTTTCACATTTAAAAGTTTGTTAGAAAGGGTTAACTCCCTTGATACACTATTAACAAACTTTTATCTTTGCAAGAGAAATAACTCTTGTAAGAAGATATACTAATGTAGGGTTAACTCCCCTGAATGGACTATAATACACATGGTGCATGTTATCTCACCTCCGGCTGATATAAAATCAACAGGTTCTGGTTGTACTGGTAAATCTAGAATGTATTGTCATTGATTAAATATCATTTCAACTTCTTATGCAATAATTTTATTAATATGTTTGAAGGCTATAATTTTGTGTGTTATTCTTCAAAACTTACTATTTCTAATTATATTATTTCAAAATTTTAAAACAGTTTTGCTATTTTTTTTTTTTTACATTGAACAGTCTCTTTGTTTATGTCTGCCTCAAAGTGTGTTTAATGTTTGCAAAAACAAGCGTGTGCAACTTAAATCCATCAACTGCTCATTCAAACAGAAAGATGAACTAGAAAATGTGTCCATAAGGAACACGGATTGCGCCCCACACGCCCACTGTTCTGTCAATCTTATGACTCTAGGTCCCAACATATTTTTGGACTACATGTGGGCCACAATTGAAAAACTAAAAATCCAACAAAGGGCCATAATTCTGTTAAATTTGGTCGCAGCAAAAATTCCTTCCTTTACTACAATCTACACATTAAGGTTGTTAAATCCCTGGAAGTTTAAGCAAAATCTGCCATCCGGTTAAAAAGGAGTTTGCGTTCACAAAATTTCTACATAGTATATAGTGAAAAAATCAACAAAGGCCTATAATTCTGTAAAATTTGGTCGCAGCGAAAAATTCCTTCCTTTACTACCATCTACACCTTAAGGTTGTTCATCCCTGTAAGTTAAAGCAAAACCTGCCATCCGGTTTAAGAGGAGTTGCGTTCACAAAATTTCTACATAGTATATATAGTGAAAAAAATCAACAAAGGGCCATAATTCTGTTAAAATTGGTCGCAGCAAAAATTCCTTCCTTTACTACCATCTACACATTAAGGTTGTTCATCCGCTGTAAGTTTAAGCAAAAATCTTGCCATCCCGGTTTTTTAAGAGGAGTTGCGTTCACAAAAATGTCTACATAGTATCTAGGGAAAAAATCAACAAAGGGCCATAATTCTGTTAAATTTGGTCACAGCAAAAATTCCTTCCTTTACTACCATCTACACATTAAGGTTGTTCATCTCTGTAAGTTTAAGCAAAATCTGCCATCCAGTTTTAGAGGAGTTGCTTTCACAAGATTTCGAGACGTACGGACGTACGGATTGACGGCCGGACGGACAAGTGCAACGCTATATGCTCCCACATTGTGGGGGCATAAAAAGTAGATAGGAAACATGAAGTTAATGATAATATTTTATGATATTGTGTGAAGTCAATAACAAAAAATATATATACATATAAGTAACTATTATACAAATACACAGTATAAAGATCTAAACATGTATTAAATGGACATAAAAAAATGTTAAACATATGCAGTCCAACTTGCTTCCCAAAAGTTCGGAACAAGCAAAGTTCCGTTTAAAGCCAATGCCAGGATAGCCTCAAGTAGAAACAGCCTTATTGTACTTAAAGAAGTCCTTAAACTCTATCCCTAAACCCATTCAAATAATAAATTTATTATCAATTTGAAAATTTGAAGTTGAAATTTGAAGAAGAAAAAAGTTGAACCGCACATATGTTTTTTCTTTCATCAGAATCAAAGAAGAGTTTCAGTACCTTGAATTTTAACGCACATTAAACATATTAGTTAATTGTATTTTATTAACAGTATAAAAGATACATGTACGTATTGTAACAAAAGTAGATAAAAAAGTTAAGATATAAATGTTATGACACAATGAACACAGAATATGAAGGTACAGAAGGGAAGAAGTCACGCTGCATTTATCTTACCTGCATACTCCGAGTCAGTATCTTCAGAGTCTTAAAATATATCATTACTCTTAGAACTATTTTCTTGGTACTATTTTCAGTATAAGCACACAACATTATATTTAGAAACAATTTTTTGGTACTACTTTTAATTATTTTAACAAATTATTACTCTTTGGTACAAATTATTACTGTCAGAACTATTTTATTGGTACTATTTTAGATCTTAAATTATTACCTTTAGAACTTTTTTTCGTCACCTAAAATGTTACTTGTCTTGATGAGCATTCCCAATGATGACATCAAGTATGACTATAATAACTTATCAATATTTCAGGTATAACTACCTAACATCACACATGTAAGTTATTGTGGGAAAGTTATTGCAGAAACGATTTTTATACAGGTCATCAATAAGTGGTCAATGACCTTTGACCTTGACCTAGTTAATTGACAACTATTTAATATGTTATGTTTACCTTCACGTTTCAACTGCCTTTCTTTCTTCACGGAAAGATCTTCTGTGCCTGTCACCTTGTCAGCCAGCCTATCTCTCTCTTCCTGGTGATGCATGCGAGCTATGGTCGCGTGAGCACGTAAGTCTCGAATCTCGGCCAACATTGACTGGCGGTCAGCATTGAAGATCTGATCTAAAGCTGCATGATGATGGGACTCCTGTAATAACAAGAATGTGATTTAAACAAAAAATTTACTCTAATTATACAAGTATGAAAACAAGAGGTAAGGGTGCATAAAGACTAGCTGCTATTTCCATTTAAATAATGCCATGATATAGGCTGAAAATACACAACTGTCAGAAGTTGGACTTATTATACACTTAATACATAATCATTTCTGAAGAGAATCATGTTTAAGGAAAGCAACAATCAAATGAAGTTACCATTGTTCTAATTTTCTGTTCCAGTCTTTGAGTTTCATCAAGATTGGTGGAAGGATGGGATAGGACATGTGACCTCAACTCAGCCAATAGTGTCTCACGTTCCTTAGTGAACACATAACCAATAGCACGCAACAACTCAGCCCTCCAATCAGAGCCTTCCAAACTCTGTAACAGAAAATTTCATTGGATGAATTCAATATCTTCAATACTGATATTTAAATCTGTTGGTATAATGCAGGGAAGGAGACTGTTATGCTATTTTCATGCATATTTTATCTGTTGCATAAAAGTTTCCCTATTTGTTCGCAACTATCTGATGTGTTGTTTTAATGTTTTTAATTATTAATAATTTCCAAAAATCCATGTAATTCTTCTTAATCTCAAGTCCTCAAAAATTGGAGGCTGTATTACAAAGGTTATCTTGATTATGAAATAAGTTGTAGTGTACTTTCAGAATAAACACTTTTCATCCGCAATAACTTATTGTTAATATCACAATTCCCTATTTACTTATGAACTTCTTAAATTTTTACAAGTTTATGAATTAACCTTATCGAAAATCAAATGACATCATAAATGATAAATGTTAAAGCTTAAATTTAATAAGTACTGCATGCAATAAGGAGGGTATAACAATTATCAAATAGAAATATTTGTTTCAACCATGCAAAAGTCAACTTGAATGAAAGTATATTAAAAATGAGAATTGTAGTTAAGTAGATGACATTACAGAAAGCATGAGAAAGTAATTTGTGTGTAATTGGGCAAACATGCAATAATTGTAGCACACTGTCATATGCTTCATAAAAAATATTCAAATAATCAGAAAATTCATTGATTTAAATAAATCATAACGAAAATCTTAATTTTAATTATAAAAACAATAATTATTAAGAACATGACAAATATTTATAAAGTTTCACTTCATCTACAAATATAAGTGCTTTGCTTTGGCAAAAAATAAAGGTATCAAACATCAACCTAAATAGAAATTACAATATTCTTACACCCAAATGTTAATATAAAACACAATAATACTAATATCTACCAACAAGCAAAATTTAAGCAAATATAAAAATGCAACTAAAGATCTAAATAAACGCAGTTCTTTTAAGATTACATTCAAACAAAAATGTTTCACTTGAAAAATAGCAAAATCAAAAAATTTAATGATTACTAAATTCATGCCAAAGAAGAATGTTTAAACAGAAAAGTTTAAGTTTCAAATTAGCAAAAAATCTACAATTACTAACCATAGCCAAAGTTATATCTTGTGTAGATAGAGATTAAATCATGTTTCACAATAATAAATCATGTTTTAAATAATAAGTCATATTATACAATAATAAATCATATTTCACGATAATAAATATGTTTCATAATAATAAAACAATTTGTCATAATAATGAAATCATTTGTCATAGTAATTAAATCATGTTCCATAAAATTTAAATCATATATCACAATCATGTCACATGACAGATAAAATCACCCTTCACAATATCAAAATCATGTTTTACGATTACAAATCACATAAATACGACAGTGTTACAAGAAACAGCAGGTCATGTATAATATACATACCAAATCATCGTCATCATCATCATCCTGTGTTAGTGAATAATACACAGTGATATATGTTGTAATTTGGATACATATGTGTAATATATTATGTCATAATATGTTCACTCAACATACATGCCTGAATGATCAAGGTACATATAAACAAATTAAATTTTTCCTTAATTTTTGCAGGAGAAAAAACAACAACAAACACAGCAAAATTTTTCATTAAATTTAGCATATGACCCAATCAGAATATACCATAATTTTTATAACAAGATGTAATAGCACCAGTTCTGCTGCAAAAATTAATATGAATATACGAAAATAAAAACAATTTTGACAATTTCTAGTAAAGTTCAAGTCAAAAATGTTATGAAAATACAGAGTCCAAAAATGATATTAACAACAAGCTTTCTTTCAGTACATGAAAATGGCATTAAAAATCAAAACTTACTTTACTAAATAAAACAAAAACTTAAAAAATATATAATAAGAGGGCATAACTGTTTGTGATCAAGTTTGATCTAATACAGGACATGTTTATGTCAAACATTTTAAATCAAACATGCAATACCTGCATGCACTATATTAATATGAGGCAATCTCAAAATTAGGAAATGGAACAAAAAGCAAACATAAGTAAACTATTATTTATTAACCCTTGGCCTGCAGCAGCAACCTATGTGAAGAATGCAGACTAAGAGCTCATGCTGTACTGTTGCCTTTCAGTCAGTACTTTTTTGGTTATTCTTTATTAATATGATGAATAATTTTGTCCAGTCTAAAAGATTGACATGTCCATTAAGATATTAAGCTTAGTAAAGAGTTAATATCAGTAAATTGGTGAAAATTGTTAAAAGGGAAGGATAAATTCATTCTGAAAATAAACCAAAGAGATGACAATTCTACTGTTTAATGTAAGGGAAATAGCTACAGTAATGTGACAGGTATCTTCAACTTCCTTTATATAGTGCATCTGAGTGTGCTGGAGTATGGAAATGTGAGATTTAAATATTTCAGACCAACTCACCTTATCAAGTCCTCGAAGTTTATGTGTCTGTGAGAGGAGGTCCTTCAATGACTGTATTGTTGATAACATTGTCTGACGTTCATTCTCCCATCCAGCCTGCATTGACTCAATGTCAGCATCACGTGGTAATGCCTGGGACTGGCTACGATTCAACAGTTCTAGCTCCGAGATTGTGAGAACCTGGACACCTTCACTGTGTAATCTTTGAAGTATACCCTTAAAACAACAGAAGATGCATTATATAGTATTCTTGTTTTCTTTTATAAAGGAAGCGAAACCTGTTTCTATGAACTGATAGAGGTCAACATTGGTCAACATTTCAAGCAAATCAAAATTAAATTTTTTGTAGAGACCCATTAAATAATCATAATAATGTATAAATTGTAAGAAAGTAGCATTTTCTTTATTCTCTGAGACTTCTATCTCATTTCTTTTGTACTAGATTATAATTGCTATTCTTAAATGCATTTAAAATCAATAAACAACAAGATACAGATATGGTTATAATTTCCCTTCATTATTTACAATTACCAATCTTAAAATCCAAAGAAGCGAAAAATCAAAAGTTTACACTGTTGGTAAAATAGTTTTTATTTATTTATTTTTTTCTTTAGACACACTAAAGGTCATATGGTGACATTCAAGCTTTACTAGTTGAGGAAGACCTTCAGTGCCCCTACCTGCAATAGTTTAAGCATATTTTGGTACCTGTTGTAAACAACATGTATAAATTCAGCACATAAAAAAAATCCAAAATTCCGACTTGGAAGTAAAATATGAACAGACTGCACTTTGAGATCAGGGACATTAACAAGTCATCCCCAAATGATAAAGATCGAAGAGTTACCTGTAATTTGTGAGACATAGGTCCGGCACCATGTCCGTTCATCATTCCATGATCTGCCCCGACACCTTCTTGTCTCAGTCTATGCTGCCGATCACTTACTAATGTGTCATCTATAATAACATATACAACAATAGCACACTATAATATCATATAGCACATTAACTTTTTGTGTAAAATTTCAAAATGAAAACAACAAAACTTTACATTTTTAAATAGAATTTTTTGAATAAAATTGCTTCAGCAATAAGAGTTCCAGGAAAAACATCATTTTGAAAGGTATTTTAATAATGCTTGTTCTGATGTTCTTTTTCTGCAGTTATTTTTAGTTATGAACAAAATCATTATAATTCTCTTCTGTTTTTGTAAAATTACTGTGCTTAAATGCTAATAATTACTACAGGCTTGTTAAAGGAATTCAATTTCAGTTTCTTTTGTTTTAACCTTTCAATTTAAATATTTCTATACATGGTAACATTTCTTAAGGAAAAAGTTAGTTAGTAAAATCATTTCATCTCATGCAAACTGTAAATATTTTTCTAAAATCTATGCTTTTACCTTGTAATAAAACAAGCATTTTTTTCATTGAACAATTGTGCTGTAAATATTATCTATATTACTGGTCAGGGACCATCAACCGGACACTTTTTTAACATTTTTCTGTACAGATTTCATAATTTTTAACCTAGAGACCTAAAAATTTGACACAGTTCAGCAAGGTTCTTCTCCTAACTAACAAACTAGTACTGAACAAAGAATATAGTAAATTAAGCATTTTTGGGGCCGTCAGAGGTTGGTGGTTGTCCGGTATTGGTGGTCTCCAACCAGTACACAGCTGTTGCAAATCTATATGAATTTTTGTTGTAATCAAAAGCAAACAACCTGTTAAAATTTTTTATAACTTACAATATAATAAAATAAGTACATACCAATATCTTCTCCAGCTCTTAACTTGAGAGCACCAACTTCCTCCTGATGTTTTAGGATGAGTTTATTTGTCTCACTCTTATGTTTCCTCTCCATCTTGTTCTTCTGATCGTGCAACTTCTCCTCCAGCTCTCGAGAGTGTTTCCTCTTGATGTGCTCGATCTCGTCCGTATATTTAATACGCATTGTGGCCAGTTGAGTCTCAGTGTCGTGATGTGCACGTTTTGTCATCTCTTCAATGTGTCGCTGATGCTCATTAGATAACTCATCTTTTAAGTTCATCACCTTCTGTTTTACAAAAAATGTCAACAATAATCAATTAATTTCAATGTTTGTTCTACATTTTTTTTCAAATGAAAAGCAACACTGAAAAATAGAGTAAAACCAGCTTTAAGTTTACTTACAGACATTAATAAAATTACCAACACTCTTAAAACACTCTTGTTATGTCAAAACTAACTAGATACAGCTACAGTTAATAATGCTAACATCAAATATATAATTCAATTTATTAAAGCCTTTTTTGTTAAAATTCACACACTTGTGCAACCAATGACCGAAAAACTAAACACTGTTATATTTGCATGAAAACAAAGCAAACTTGCCTGCACAAAATCTCGCGCTGAGAGATTTGACGATGACCTAAAAAGTTGAATTTCCTCCTCTGCTCTTTCTAGTTTTCTTTTTAATCTATTCAGATTTTCTTCACTAGGTAATGTATCATAACTTAATTCATCATGATCAGTTACTCTGTCAGGTTTTGTTAACAATGCTCTATCAACACGACCTATATTTGACCTGTCCTCTATTTCTATTTCTTCAAGGTCAAGAGGTGATATATTTTCCTCATCAAGCCTCTCTCCTCTCTGGATTTGCATCAATGCTGTTTTAGTGATTAGAAGTTCTCTCCTTAACTGTTGAATATACCTATCAGCCTCTGAGGCTGAACCTTCACCAGCACCCATACCTTGACCTTGACTGGTCTGTGACCTTGAATGGAGTGATTCTTGACCTTCACTGGGATGCTGCTGAAAATATTCAGCTCTTTCAGCTTCAGATGAACCAATATGACCTCTCCTGCTATGACCTGGACTTGTTCCACTTCCACTACTATGGCTATAACGTGGTCTAATATTTCCATCTCTGTCAAATAATTGTCCATCTTCATTAACATATCGTTCGTTCTCACCCCCATCAGATCGAGTTGCTGTTTGGTAAACCTGTCTGTCTTCATCAATTGTAAAGGATGCTCCTACAGTTTGCCTTTCAGCAGCAACCCTTTGTTGGTCCCTTCTGTCAAAGTCTTCTCCATCACCATCAAATGCAGGACTTCTTCTTGATGAAGTGGAATGGCGACCTTCACTTCTCAGGTCACTTTGACCTGATTTTGGTGAGATACTGCCCGATGACCTTTTATTTCCATTTGGTGACCTTGTACCTTCACCTATCTGATCTAATTGTTCAGATGTTCTACTTGGTGATCTATGACTTTCAATTCTCTGCTCATTCTGTGCTTCAACTGGTGAAGCTCTTGTGGATGATTTTTGACTTGATTGAGAATGTGGGCTATCCCTTGTTGGTGGACTGTAAGCTTGAGCAATAAAGTCCTGAGTACCTACAGTATGTGGACTTGAGTGTCTAGAACTTCCTCTAGAACTGGCTGTATGAGCACTTCCTGGCCTGCTTCCACTGCCAGACCGATGACCTTGACCTAAATCAATACTTACAGTGCGGCTACCAGAGGGTGAACTATGAACCTGACTTGCTTCACTCCTCTGCATATCCTCTGCAATAACTTGGACAGCATAAGGTCTCAGTTGTCTTGGTGATAGACTTTGACCTTCAGGACTGAAGTGTGGATCTCTGCTTTGATGCCCAAAAGACTGATGGCCAGAGTCCTCTTGGTCACTTACAACAAACCCGCCAGGAGTGTAAGAATGATCTGATTTTCCCTTGGCATGTTGATCTCTTAGAGTTTGGTCTCTGTTACTGCTTGAAGTTCCAGGTGTTTCATGTCCACTTCCATCACCTTGACCATGCTCTCTATCAAGGTCATCCAGTGACCTTTGAGGCTGACCTTGGGCCTTTGTTACTGACCTGAGAGCTTGTAGTTCTGTTTGTAACTCAGCAATCTGATTATGCATAGCTTGAATAGTGTCTGCCTCATCATCTTTAGATTTTTTATGTGTTTTATGGATATTTTCAATATCTTTATCACGTTCTTCAACTGCAGATTGAGATTCCCTGAGATCTGTCTCTAAATTCAATATCATCTCCTCCTGGCTCTGTGAAAGCAGTGGGGGACAAATTAAAATGTTAAAAGCATTTGTTTTATAATTCATGGTAAGGTCTTACTGTATATGGAGTATCTTGTATTAGAAAAAAGCTAACACAAGGCAGAGAGGTTTTGGAGAATTTCAATAGTTATCAAATTATTGTATTCCTTCAACAGAATGATTTCAAATTTCCAAAACATTTCTGCCTTTTCCACACTTGATTCAAATCTTAACCTTTCACCAATAGTTTTTGTTTTTATTTAAAATCAAAATCCACAACTCTACTAAAGTTAGATAAAAGCTATTCAAATGTTAATAAATTGCTACCTTTTTATCTATAAAAGCAGGATAGCTAAATATTGTTCAAAATCTGTGTAACCATAGTTACCCATAAAAGCAATAGAGTAAGTTGAAACATATAACCAAACAAAACAGCACTCAATAAGAAAACAAAACACTCCTCATTGGTTCAGAACAACAGAGTGATAATGTATCCAATATATCAATAATTTGGTGTGCAATGATTAGGCTTTAATTTCTTTAATGTTGACTGATTCAATCAACAAGAGCTGTCAGAAGGACAGCGCGCTCGACTTTTTTAGTGCTTGCCTATAAAACAAAACTTTGACAGTTAAGGGCACACAAGACTTTAACTAGGAATTTCTAAGTACAAATCAAGAAACATTTTCACAGAGTTATCTTCTCTTGCTTACAGATAGGTCTCATGATGGCACATAAGATCTCCAACTTCCAAAGTAATATCTCAAATGGTTAGGTCAACAAGTGGACAAGAATGAAAATTTTAACTGAGTTTCTAAGTCAAAAAGGGCCATAATTCAAATAAAATCCTTAACAGAATTATCTTCTCCTGCCATGTTTGGGACCATGATGGTAAACAAGTATTCCAACTTTCAAATTAATATCTCAAACAGTTCAGTCAAAAAGTGGACTGGTACTAAAAACTTAACCAAGATTCTAAGTCGATAAAAGGCCTTAATTTTTAAAACAAATCCTTGACAGAGTTACCTTCTCTTGCGTACAGATGGGTGTAATGATGTGAAATAGCATTAAAAGTTTCAAAGCAATATCTCAAAGGGTTAAGGCAATAAGTGGATTTTACCCATATTCAATGTATTTTCTAAGTCAAAAAGGGGCATAATTCTGTCAAAAACCTTGACAGAGTTATGTCCTCTTGTCTGTTGATGAAGGTCGTGATGGTAAACAAGTATGGTCAGTTTCAAAGCAATACCTCCAATGGTTTTGAAATAAAGTGAGGTGGTACAAAAAACTTAACCAAGCTCAATACACTTTCTAAGTCAAAAAAGGGCCATAATTCTGTCAAAAACCTTGACAGAGTTATGTACTCTTGTCTGTAGATGGAGGTTATGATGGTGAACAAGTATGGTAAGTTTCAAAGCCATACTTGTAATACTTCTGAAATAAAGTGGGGTGGTACGAAAAACTTAACCAAGGTGTGACGCCAACGCTAACGCCGACGCCGACGCCGGGGCGAGTAGGATAGCTCCCCTTTTCATAGAAAAGTCGAGCTAAAAAGTTGTGATTACTCAATTTAGAAACACCCATTCCTTACAGGTTATCTTTTTTGAGGGAACACTTTAAAAATTAGAGCAATGATTAAAAAGCTTCCTTAAAACTTCTCATACAACATCCTCAAAAGATAGTTGTGATTTTTGCACAATAACATGCGTTTCTATAGGCTATGCAAGACTTCCAGCTGATTAAAGTAATAATTCTTATAGGGTATGCTTAGTTTACAATCAAGATATTATCATTCAAAGAAATAGATGAAAACAGAAATCTTGACAATGTTATTGTATGTTAATTAAGATGATTTGAATTGAGAATCAGATCCAAATTTCTGTCACAGTTCAACATAAATGCTGTTAATCATTTCACTCCTATTAACAATGTTGTACTGAACCAATAAATGAATCAATGTTGTTAAAACCTTACCTGTAACTGTGACCTGAGTGAAGCTATAGTAGATGTTGAACTGTCCTCGTCCATTTCTTGCCTAATTTTGATTACCTCCCTTTCTTTCCCTTTAACCTCTTGTTTCAACTTGGTAACTTCTTGTTCCTTTTCTGTTTAAAATGGAAAGAATACATCATTAATCATAGAATCTCTCTTTCATTCCAGCTATTTGTACTGAAATCACATTATTATCAACATACAGATGCTAAGTCAAAGCAGGTTCATAATAAGCATGGTAAGGATTAAGAACAATGGTGACTTTTTATACAACTTATTTACTTTTGATTTTCTTTTCAATGCTGATTTTAACACATGTTTTGTCATATCACAATCGTTGATCCGCCTTACTGGCTTTCCTGGATAACTAACAATATCAAATCAATGAAAATATCTGCTATTATCAGTTTAAAGCTTAAACTTAGATTTCATCTCACTCCAGTCTAGAAGGCCTACATGCCATGCACGATTGATGTAAACATACTAAAGAAGTAAACAAGAGGGCCATGATGGCCCTGAGGTCGCTCACCTGTATATAGGCCCCCCCCAACCCCCACCCCCCCCCCCCCCCCAACGTTGCAGGGCCAATTTAACCCAAGGGCTTTTATTTGCACAAACTTGGTAGACACCCATAAGAAGATGTTTCATGCTAAACATCTAAGCTCTAGCTCATTGGGCTTTTTAAAAGAAGATTTTTTTAAAGTTTTTACTATACACATATAGTTAAAAACAATGACACCCCTGGGGCAGGGCCAGTTTTGACCCAAGGGCTTTTATTTGAACAAACTTTGTAGACACTTACTAGAAGATGTTTCATGCTTAATATCTAAACTCTAGCTATTTGGGTTTTTTCAAAGAAGATTTCAAGTTTTTGCTAAACACATATAAAGAAAATCAATGACCCCCGGGGCGGGGCCAATTTTGACCCCAGGGCTTTTATTTGAACAAACTTGGTAGACACCTATTAGAACATGTTTGATGCTCAATATCTTAGCCATAGCTTTTTGAGTTCTTTAAAAGAAGATTTTTTAAGTTTTTACTATATGCATATAGGGAAAATCAATGACCCCCCGGGGCGGGGCCAATTTTGACCCCAGGGCTTTTATTTGAACAAACTTGGTAGACACTTATTAGAACATGTTTCATGCTAAATATCTTAGCTCTAGCTCTTTGGGTTCTTTAAAAGAAGATTTTTTAAGTTTTTACTATATGCATATAGGGAAAATCAATGACCCCCCGGGGCGGGGCCAATTTTGACCCCAGGGCTTTTATTTGAACAAACTTGGTAGACACACACTAGAAGATGTTTCATGCCAAATATCTAAGCTCTAGCTCTTTGAGTTCTTTAAAAGAAGATTTTTAAGTTTTTACTATATGCATATAGGGAAAATCAATGACCCCCGGGGCGGGGCCAATTTTCACCCCAGGGCTTTTACTTGTGCAAACTTGGTAGACACCCATTAGAACATGTTTCATGCTAAATATCTTAGCTCTAGCTTTTGGGGTTCTTTAAAAGAAGATTTTTTAAGTTTTTACTATATGCATATAGGGAAATCAATGACCCCCTGGGGCGGGGCCAATTTTGACCCCAGGGCTTTTATTTGAACAAACTTGGTAGACACTCACTAGAAGATGTTTCATGCCAAATATCTAAGCTCTAGCTCTTTGAGTTCTTTAAAAGAAGATTTTTTAAGTTTTTACTATATGCATATAGGGAAAATCAATGACCCCCGGGGCGGGGCCAATTTTCACCCCAGGGCTTTTATTTGAACAAACTTGGTAGACACCGATTAGAACATGTTTCATGCTCAATATCTTAGCTCTAGCTCTTTGGGTTCTTTAAAAGAAGATTTTTTAAGTTTTTACTATATGCATATAGGGAAAATCAATGACCCCCCGGGGCGGGGCCAATTTTGACCCCAGGGCTTTTATTTGAACAAACTTGGTAGACACTCACTAGAAGATGTTTCATGCCAAATATCTAAGCTCTAGCTCTTATGGTTTTTTAAAAGAAGATATTTAAAGTTTTTTCTTTCGGTTGCCATGGCAACCAGAGTTTTGCATGGAATTAAATTCTTTGAACAATTTTTAAAGGTGACCACCAAAGGAACATTCCTGTGAAGTTTGGATGAAATTGGCTTAGTGGTTTATGAGGAGATGTCATTTAAAGTAAAAGTTTACGGACGGACGGACGGACGGACGACGGACGGACGCCGGACGAAAAGCGATCACAAAAGCTCACCCTGTCACTTTGTGACAGGTGAGCTAAAAAACTGATGACAAATGTTTAAACTGAGAACCTTGATAATTGTTCCAGGTGCGTACAGAAACTTGAATTTATGTTATCACAATATAGACCAAAAAGTATATTATAACTTTATAACAATGTCATTTTACTTTCACTTCCATCTTATACATTCAGTGTACAGTACTTCAAACTACATATCTAAGTTTATTCTGCTGATAATTTTCTCCATGTTTGTTTGTTTCATTTTACGCCTTTTCCCAACAGTATTTCAGTCATATAGGCAGGTAGTTTCCTAACCATCGTTCCTGGAGAGTTACACCAGTACTAGACAAACTTCCTCCGCGCTAAACTACCAAAGCATCTCCCAGGGATCAAACCCACACCAGAGAGTTAACTGGATAAGAAGTCAATGACTCTAACCCCTTGACCACGGAGGCGGTTTTCTCCATGTCAAGGTAAGTGTTAAATCAAACAGTACAGAAATTCTACATTTCAAGCATGTGTCTATCCCCCCAATTACACTAATGTTACTAATCGTCACTTCATACCTACCTTTAAGTTTATTTCTCTGGTCTCGGATAGTTTTCTCCTTATCAGAGAGTGTTTGCTGTATATCAAGTCTAAGCTTCATATACTCCTGGTCCTTGTTTTCAACCATCTGTAACTGTTGTTCACTCATCTCCACAGCTTCGTTCAGGCTCTTCTTAACTGCCTCAAGCTCTGTCTGTGATGTCTTCAACTGTTTACGAAGTTTCTCAATTTCACCTGGTTTTACATCTGGCATCTCCTCAGATTTCTTTGTGACCTTTAAAAATAGTTTTTTGTTTTTTTCTAAAGATCTTTATTGTACATTTGTTTTAGTATATTTTGCATGGTTTACTCTCTTTTTTCCACATACTTATCAACATGTACTTTGATTTGAATATATAATTAAATTTTGTGATTTTCCGCAAAATCTTAAAATTGGAAAATTTTTTAGCTGTATTTTTCAATGTCAAAGAGCTATTTCTTTGCAATAAACCTGTACATTACTACTTAAATACAACAAAAATAAATATGAATTCATAAGAATTCATCAGACTATCAGTCTTCCTTTGACAAATCATCAAATAGAGAAAAAACACTTACCTTTTCTACTTCATGTTGAGTATGTTGAAGTTCACCTTGTAGTTGGTGTATCTGTTCCTCACGCTCTGTCAGCTGACCTATTGTTTGTCTCAACTTCTCTTCTGTCTCCTGAAGCCTACCACTGGTCACTGACAATTGTCCCGAAGTCTTCCACAGCTCTTGCTGCAGATCTCTCAAGTCTGCCTCTCTTGAGGCTAGATCAGCACTAACACGGTTTAAATTGGCATCTGTTTCATTCAATCGTTGTCCTGTATTTGTTAACTGTTCTGTTGTTTTCTCAAGTTTTTCTTGAGTAGCATTAAGTTGTTCCCAAACATCATAATCTGGTTGCTTATTGAATGCCTTCAACTTTTCTTCTAACTCACCCACTTCTTTCTTCATTTTCTTCTGTAACTGCTCTTGCTGAATTTCCAATTTTACAACCTGAGACTGATACTTTTGTTTCTCTGATAGAATCTCCTTAGCTTTATCAGATTGCTGTTTAAATTGAAGAACCTGCTGTTGAAGTGTATCAACATCTGTACCAAGTTCAAACGATCCCTGAGATCTTAATTCACCTGATTTTGGACTGGTTCTACTTAAATCACCACTGGCACCTTTTTCTTCAATTCCATATTGTTTCTTAAAAAGGTTCAATTCTTCAGATAAATGTCTTATTTGGTTACTTAATTCTTTCTCTTTATTGACTTTTTCCTCCAAATCATGCTCCAGTTCTTGGATTGTTTTGATGCTCCCACGTCTTTCTTTTTCTTTTCTTTCTCTTAATTTTTCGAGATCATTGATTGCTTGAACACTGTCCATTCTCTCCCTTGCCAGCTCATCTTTTGTCAACTGAAGTTCTTTCTCAATTGATTTCACTTGCTCATCTGAACTCTGATCAAGCCTTTCTTTCACTAAATCTAATTCCCTTATCAGTTCATCCTTTTCTTTTTGTATATTCTCTTTTTCAGTTTTAAGAACTTTCACTTCACTGGAATTCTTTCTTTCTAATTCTGCCTTGAAAAGTTCAATCTCTTCTTGAGCATCTTCAAGTTTATCACTTCTAGCTTTTTCAAGCTGTTGTTTCACAAGATCTAGCTGAACCTGTACCTGCCTTGCCTCTGAACATTTTTCCTCATATTGTTCTTTATAGAAAGACAAACTTTTGACAAGTTGTTTAGAATCAGAAGCCTCACCACCTCCATTCAATGACATTTCTAGATCAATACTCTGACCAAAGGTACTTTCACTTCTACTCCTATAGGTTTCTAACTCTGCCTGCAATTCTTCTATTTCATCTTCCTTTTCTTTAAGCTGAATTTCATCTTCATAAGCCCGGACCTCCCTAGCTGATTCCAATTCTTCTTCAAGTTTCTGAACCTTTTCCTCAGCTTTTTCCAATTCAATGGACTTCATTTTAATCATTTTGTCCTTTTCAATGATAACAGATTTAACTGAAGTAGAACTTTGGCTTTCAAGCTCCATCTTAAACTGCTCGGCTTCCTCCACTTGCAGTGTTTCAACTTGTGATTTCAGCTGTGCAATAATAAGCTCTTGTTGTTGTATAACTTGGGACTTTTCATCTTCATCTTTTGGAGGGGGTGGTGGTTGAATTTTCAGAGCTGACTGTAATTGACTTTTAAGACTTTCAATTTCTTTCTTCTGCTCATAGATATGTTCACTTTTCTCATCATCGTCCATTGGAGGAGATGGTGGTCTTATCTTCAGAGCAGCATCAATTTGCTTCTTTAATGTCTCATTTTCAAGTCTGAGATCCCTGATTAGCAAATATTTATCATCCTCTGACAGGTTGGCATCCATTATCTGTTGCTTCAATTTTTCTATCTCTGTGCGTAGTCTTAAAACAACATCAGTTGTTCTACTTTCATCATCTATAGGGGGACTAGGTGGGCGACCTAAAGAAGCTGCCTCAAGCTGAGTTGACAATTTTACTATCTCTTCCTTCAGATTCTTTATTGTTTCAGATTTTTCATCTTCAGACAGTGGTGGTGAAGGTGGTCTTCCCAGCAGTTTCTGTACATGTTCCTTTAACGACATGATCTCCTCTTTCTGCTCTGTGATAAGCAGGGACTTCTCATCCTGAGACAGTGGGGGTGAAGGAGGTCTGCCAAGGGCAGCAGTTTCAAGCTCTTTATTTAACCGTTCAATTTCAATTGTCTTTTCTGTGATAATTTTATCTTTCTCATCAGCTGTGAGAGATGCAGTGGAATTCTGTATGGCAGCATCAAGTTGTTTCTTGACATTCTTCAGTTCCCTTTCCTTGGCAAGAATTTGATCATCATATTCCCTCACCTGTTCTTTGTACTTGGAAATGTGCTACAAAAAATACCATCAATATAATCAAAATTTTCTAAAATAACTGCCATAATGCCATGATAATCATAATTAACATGTGAATGATTAATCACAAAAATGACATAACCAAAATAATATAATTTTTTCCCTCATCTTTTTTCCTAACTGCATCATAATAAGGTTATTCTAATACAGTTACTGAAAGCACCTTGGCCATGTTGATTGCTGTTTACAATATGAAAAAAAATAGTTTAATCCTAGCAGCAATAATATAAGAGTAAGCAAACAGCCTGTAAAGCTTGACAATTGTTGTCATTTATATGTGAAATATTTGAAGATATTAATAAGTAATTAAGTGAAAACGAGGCAGTGTGATTCATTGCAACTAGCTTTTTTTAAAACTCTTTTTACACATTTTCAATAAAATATATTTCATATTTCTCTATTATGACAGGGTATTTCATTCTAAAAGCTTGTCCTAAATTTCAAGCATTTAATTTGTAAAAAAAAAATCCAAGCCATTTTCCCCCAGCTATTAACCTGAAATGTACATGTATATGGTAATATTTGGTGCATCTAAGCCCTAACTGGTGACGTAAGCTTTTAACAAATATACAATTAAATGTGTTAGTTAGATTTATGTGGTTGTCACAGATTGATCAAATTCCAATATCTGAGGTAACAAAAATTAAATATGGAGACCAGTCTCAAACTTATGCATTGATTGGCTGATTCAAATTCAAATTTTCAATTTAACCAATGAAATTGTTTTGCTGACAGACTGGTCTTCATGATTATTCTTGTAACCTCAGGGTAAAAAGCTGCAATAAGTTTTATGTGGAATTTATTCGTTAAATAAAAATGTGAAATTACCCACACCAAAAAACAATTTCTTTTTTGCAACTTTTTGTCTAGAAATGATCAATTCAGTTGTTCTGGGAAAGATCATTATTATGGAGTAAGGTAGTATTTCAATTTATAATATTATTTTACATATATGTTTTGTATATTATATTAAACAATACAAAAAAGGTTAAATACTTCACAAGGTATACCACTTTTTAAATCAATATTATTTACATATACATGAAAACAAAAAATATATTTTTATTGTCACGAAAGTCAAAAGTTGTTAAACAGGACAAAGGAATATGAGTCTGCCCCAAAACAAACCACAATGGATATAAATGGGACCAATGGTGTACCAACCGAAAGTTCAAGGCCACTGGAATGTGGAACCTCCTCCTAAACGGTAAATAAAATACAAAAATATCCTATATGTTTGACATGAAACTAAATAAACTTATCTGATATATGTAAATATATATTTTTTTCTTTCGACAAAAAAGTGTGCAGCGGACATTTATTTTACTTGATTTTCTTTTAACTACATATAATTTATAAAAACTCAAAACTAATTTGGCACTACTTTTAACTTAAATATTGCAGATTTATACATAAAACTGTAAACAATTTTTTTTTTCGTTATTCTTTTTTTCTTTTCTTGTTATGAAGTTCCAGGTCAGAACTCATTCTTAGGCAGTTATAATAACATAATAAACAATTATTGATTAACAAATATTCCATAAAGTGTAGCCTATAATAAATTACTATGATTATTCTGAAAACTAAGTTTGTGTATTTCAACAGAAATTTTATCTACAGGACACAATAATTCAAAATGAAGTGAAAAAAATATCAAGTAGAGATCTATGCTACAAAAGAGCTCAATACAACAATATCAAAATGTTGTCATTGGTTTTTTTGTTTTGTTTTATTAGGTTTAAAGTTGCCACCCTGACACAGTTGAATTGTATGACTGATATAAGAAGGACATCAAAATTGCCACTTCAAACTTGCATAAGCATAAAATAAAACAATCACATTCCTGAACAAACTTGAATTAATATTTGCAATCATGGTGTATTGAGCCTCTGAATTGTTTTTGTAAGGGTTTCAGTATACATGATTTTCAAAGAAGATAGATCTTTTCTTTAAAGTAGACTTGTATATAAGCACCAGCTAGAAAGGAATATAATAGAACCTTCCTGAAAGAAGTCACCAGCCCATAACATGTTGTAGGGGATTTTACTCAGCTAACACTTCATAATGAAACCCTTGGGTTTGTAACTGATGGATATAAAAATTCTATCATTAAATCAACAGATGCACTTACTGTTTCAAGAAGCTCAACTTTATCTGTCATCTCAGCCAATTCTTCCAACTTCTCCTCCACCACATTGTCTTTTTCTCTGAGATCTTTCTTCAGTCTCGCTATCTCAACCTCGTGTTTTATCTAGATTAAAAAGTACAATTTTTATTGTTTTTACTGATTGATTAACTTTCATCTGTTGTAACAAACCAGACAAACAAGTCCTAAACAGGTTTCTTCTTTTTTATAACCTATCAAAGACGTAAATACTAATTTTGCAATACCTTGAATACATATCAATGCAAAGTTCTCAGTAAGCTTATGAAGACAGATTTTTTTCCATTTTTTTTTTTTCAAATCTGTAGTTCCAGGTTTTCTCATAGCATTTTTAAAATTAAACATATATATTTACAGCTATACGTCTTCATTTCCATCAGCTTCACATATTCAGGAAGAATTCTTTATCAGAACATTATAATATTCCACAAACAATTTTGCCAACAGTTACCATGAAGTTTATATTATAAGACATTTTATAAGTAAGGGTATAACATTATCTGAGTTTTAAGTCCAACAAAAATGTTAAATTTTTGCATTTGCATTTGCATTACTTCAGACCCGGCAAGTACCTGCCAAATCAAAGTCACTGAATGTCTGCAAACTAGTTCAGTAAACTTGAAATTAAAGTGTCAAATATTTTGTGATACATACTACAAGTGAGTGGTCATCGGTGGGTGATCTATCGGTCAGCTCCTTGGTCAATGATTCTATCTCTCTGTCTTTCTCCTCTAGCATTGTCTGAACAGTATCAAAATCTTCCTGTAACTTATACTGAAAATCAGAAATTCTAAATAGAATCAAGTTGTTCTTTACATTTTAATCAAGTAAGCTTTATATTTGACTTTTATAAGAATATATTCAATATATTTGACCATAAATCTTGACCATGATAAATTTGTACAAATGACTTTTGAATTTGAAACTGTCCGTTCTTAATAAGATGAACCTAGCTATGATAAAACTAAGTTAAAGTGGAAAACAATGTATTATCAGGCTAAATTGCAAATATGATCAGGTTTGCATTTCTCTATTCAAGAGATACATGCAAGTCACCATTGCCACTAGTACATAATGGGTTTAAGCTGTCAAATTCTGAGATAAGCTTTCCTAGTATGCAAGCTGGTGACAAGTTGAAGTTACACACTCAATACTCTTCCTTCTAATCTTATAGAGCTCTGATTGTTTTCTCTTAACATCACAAATTATCTTAAGCAATAAACACTTTTTTGACATAAATCTTGAAGTATTTTTTAATCAGTCTTATTTTTTTCAAAATGGTAATGATTTTTGTGTATAGTTTCAGTAACCTTGAATACAAGTAAACTTGAATACAAGTAAACAGTTTTTAACTTTAATTTGAAATGATTGAACATGTGATACCTGGAAGTCGGAGAGGTTATCTACCTCGGCTTGTAGGGAGTCTACCTGTACTGTAAGCTGTGTTACCAGCTCCTCTTTCTCCTGTATCATAGACTGTAACAGACCTACGTCATCAGGTAATCCTGGTATCAAATCCTGTATAACATATGTACATATATGATTTAGATTTATTTAATCAAAGAAATGTCGTCACCATTTCAGCATTTTCAGTTATTTAATGTGTTTAAAAGTGATGTAAAGGTTTCAAACTACTTTGGTGTTTTGTTGAACTTGTTTACATGAAAATAACAAACTGACGAAAAATACAGATTGGGTAATCATAATAATATTATATCAACAGATGGAAGTCATTTGAAACAGAAATGTCCTAGATTTTCAATCAGGTTAATACTGCCTTGTTTTATTTTCATATCAATAATAACTAGAAAGATGTCCAAAGGACAAAATTGTCCCATGCATTCAACTGATCTGGCAGTCTACAGAGAGATAGCATGACAAAAGAACAGACAGACAGGGCTTCATTTACATGCCCCCACCCCCAACTAGTAGGCATAAAGATTTATCACAAAATAACTTTACATATACAATAATCACCTGTTCAGGTTTGGATTGAAGTGCGAGGATCATTTCATCCTTCCCTTGAAGATCTTCCTTCAAGGTAGACAACTCTGTCTGAATAGTGACTAAATACTCCTCCTTGTCATTAAGAGCTGCTCTAAGGGCCACTAATTCTGACTCGAGACTCATCATCTTTTCCAGCCTTGAGGCCTCAGATTCCTCCATTTCTTGTTGGATACTTGCCTGTCATTAAATCAAGATATATCAGTTAAACTGCTTCCTTTTCTTTAAATATGAGCTACATTGAAATAAGTTAAGGTATATAACTTTACATTGCATGTAAAAATTTAGCAAGCTTTATATTTTTCAAGGCTAATATGGAGTATTTAATCTAACAGTTACATTCATAATATAAATACATTCATGCTTTATATCTGAACATTTCATGAATATAACATTCTTTTTCATTGCAAATGTGTCTTTTCACTTTAATACCAATGATTAAGATACACAAAGCCACGCAAAAGCAGAAGAAAAAACAAACACACCCCCACCCCTGAGAATGTTTCTACCATCTTAACCTATTGTAGCTTGTTTAGATTTGTATCTTTAACAAGAATGTCAGCAGTTAAATAAAGACATAGGATACAAAAGAAAGCATGCTCAATAATTATTGTAGTTGTTAAATGTATTAGGTATGAAATTCATAGAGGTTATGGAAAATATCTAACAATAACAAATAAAATCTGAATAATATGTTAGAAGAAAATGAAATTAAGATATGCTAAAGTTAGTCAAAATGACAATGAAATACAGTCAAAATTGTGCTAATAAAATGAATTGCTAAAAAAATTAATTGATTTAGATATATCATGTATAAAGTGTTGTTGTTTTCATTCTGTTAAATATATCATTTACTAGTATCTTTAAAATGGTGTTCTAATGTTGCTGGTTTTTTTTGCTCCAAATTTATGACAAACAGAATATTTCATTCCTTTTTTTTTATTCATGTGATTGGTTTTATTTAGCACAAATTTGGCAGCATATAGAAAATGTCTCTACACAATAAGATAAGAACACTCCCGTCACCACTATCCCACAACAAATGTTACAATGTAAACTCTGCAATATTTCTACCTTTTCTGAGAATGAAGCTCCTACATTCATGAGGCTAGAATCAGGTGTTAGTGAATGATCAGTGAATGCAGCAGACACGCGGACAGACTCAGATATCTCTTTCTCTTTCTGTTTGAGTTCGTCTCTCAGTTCTTCTAACTCTTCACACTGTTAGTTAATGTTCGAATGGTTATATACTAAGTTTAATATGTTAGTCAATCCTTTCTTTCCAACTATATCTTAGTAGTCAACATTTCCTACTATTACTGTGAAATCACTATTGTATATAGGTGAAATAAAGATTGATATTAAATTTTTGTTGACTGTTTAACACAAACTAAAACTGCAGCTTTTTTGTAAAATATAATTTTTAAATGATGGCAGTCTATTATCTTCCAAACCCAAAATTTGACTTGAAATTATCCTTGTACTTAAAAACAACATGATTTCACAGTAATGGTACATATCATTTTCTGGCCAACTTTAATTTTGTAACAGTTTTAATTGTCCTAAACTGCATTCCTAATTGCTAGGCAAATATTCAGCATCAAATTTCACTGTGAATTACTCAACATGCAGACCTTTGGTATATACACAATTTTTTCTTAATGCAAATTTTGTTTTAATTTCCCAATGAAGATGATGCATATGAAGTTAGAAATGATTTTTTACATACACAATTATTTGGATACAATTTTTTTAAAACATATATATAATGTTAGTTTAAACATGCTAATAGTAAACTATACAAATATATACAAAGATATATCTATATTCCCAAAATCTACACTGACATGCTCTTTCTATCAGAAGTTCAAGCCCATTCACTGTCCAAACAACTAGAATTATATCAACTTGTTAGGATATCTACAACTTCATGCTAACAAATTATCTACAGTTAGAAACATGAATAAACAAAAATGTTAAACATTATTATCTTGTAACCATATAAATGTTAACTTTGAATGTTAATTTTTACTCTAAACTAGTTTTATTGATTGTACATTTTTAACTGGCTCTTTTTTTTTAAATTACATGTATTATTCTAAAGTTTATTTGTATGACCCTCGTCAGACTGGAACAACATATCTGAGATTTTCATTTCATAAGTTTATCAACTATCAGACAGAAACTTTAATCTACCAACTTTTTTTGATCATGTACCATGAGATAATACATATAGTACATGTACATACAAACTATAAATAGCAAAATTTTGACTTGTACAGCATTCAAAACACTAAGCAAGATCCGAAAGCACTGACCTAAAACCATCAAATTTGACACCACATCCTCATCATCCCAGGCTTTTAAACAATCCATTTTTTCATCAGACCATCTTCATGTGTTGTGATTACCACCATATTAATGTTCTACTGTTATCTACATTATTATACCTATGTAAGTGTAACAGTATAAGTTAATGTACATACCAGGTTTTGTACACCTCGCTCTGCCTTCAGATCATTGTAGTCAGACTGTAGACGGAGGACTTGTTCTGACAGATGATCTATTTCCTGATTCTTCTCCTCCAGTAAGTTCTGAGACAGTCCTGATATATCTGTTATACTTGATGCCTCAGACAACTTCACACGCTCCTGTTACATTCATTAACAAGGTATATTTGAGCCGCGTCATGACAAAACCAATATGTGTTTGCAACCACCATGGATCCAGACCAGCCTGCACATCTGCACAGTCTGATCAGGATCCATGCTGTTTGCTTTCAGTTTCTCTACCTGTTTTAGGGTTTGTAAGTGAACAGCATGGATCATGATCAGACTGCGCGGATGTGCAGGCTGGTCTGGATCCATGATGGTCGCAAACACATTAAATTGGCTCATTTATATGACTAGTAAATTAACCAGTAGAAGAATAATGATTTGAAATTAAATAGTAAACTCTTTTACTACAATATTGGAAACCATAAAGGCCACATAACACCCAGTCTATCTGATAAATTTAAAACATCCAAGAAAGACACATACACCAATCATTTGGTTAATTCAGTTAAATACAATCATTCATATACTGTTTCGTACATACGTTCTACAGAGAAAATTGAAATCATTCTCTTGACTTCAATTAATTTGTACTTCCTAATGCCATTCTTTAAAAAAAAATATATTTTCAACATCCAAAATAATTGTTCCTTTAAAATAGAAATTAACAGTTTCTAAACCAAACACTACATTTTAAAAAGAAATAATTTATGTTACCCTGAGTTGTTTATTTTCCCTCTTGAGAGCCTCCATTTGTTTTTCAACTTCTCTGTCACTCTCAAACTCTATGCCCTCGACAGGTGATCCCCTTGACAGTTTTCGTTCCCTCAGCTGCTCAATCTGCTGGTCTCTATTCTCAATGGTCTCATTTAGCTCCTCAACCCTCAACTTGAGCTCTGCAATCTGAAATATTAATTTTCCCATGTTTATATCGTTTGACCATTTTACTCCCCTGAATTTTTATAATGGACTTGCTCAGTTTCAACCAGTAATTTTATAGAAATTATAATTACTACATTACTTATATTAAAGTAATGTACTTAGTAAGACTGTATAAAAGGTTTAAATGGCATGTGGGTCTTTTCCTATCACTACTTGCACCTGTACAAGGGGAAATAACTCTAGTGCTTCTTAAAGAATGTAATGTAATGTAAACTTGCTTGACCGTGTTTCCTTGTAAAAGGCTGTAACAGGCAGACTACATAAACACTTTTTTAATTATTAGTATATGAGTTTTCAAGGTCTAACATGTTTTATGTCTTTACTTTACAAGAGTATCATAAATCTAAAAGAATTATCTTCTATTAAAAATCATGATTCATATGTACAAATATCATGAAAGTACTGTACCAGTTTATCTTTTTCCTCTGATTTCTCTCGTTGAAATTCAAGCCTCTTATTGGCATCGGGACTTTCACCCATGCCTCGACGATGCCTCATGTCGTCAAGTTGATTACGTAGACTAGAAATCTGGACAAGATTATCATTCACTTGTGACTGTAACGTAAACTTCTCTCGTACAAGCTCCTATAAAAAAAGAATTATATCAAGGTTTTTATTGACCACAATTAAAGTACACTCTGACACTCTTCTTTTCATACCTTTGCATTTGGTAAATTTAACCTTTACTTTAATTACTGCTTTCAGCAATTAACTTTTCTTGAGATTTGTTTATTCTTTAACTAATCAAGAATAGAACTTCACTAAACAGAGCTAGATCTTTTTTCTTTTGTTTCAAGTATCTCCAGATGTCACATCAACACTGCAAAGGTTATATGATGACTTTCCTGCTTTACTGGTGTGCTTGTGCCATAAGATAATGCCAGTAGGGGCACCTAAAGTCTTCCTCATCCAGTAAAGCTGGAAAGTCGTCGAATGACCTTTACAGTCATGGTGTGATTTAATGTAGAATCTGAAAGATTATAAATGTCCCTATGGAATATTAGTTAATTAGATAATTACCTCTTTAGTTTTGTTAGCAGCCTGTCTCATTTCTTCTTCTACTGTCATTTGTGGTGGGGGTCTCTCCCTGGTCTGGTCTTCTGTTCCATCAAACTCAAGGGAACTGCCAGGCTTGGGCGACTGCACATCAGACTTACTGTCCGAGAGATCTTCATCGTACGATCTCCTAGCTAGTTCTTCTTCCAATTTCTTTAATTTCTAAACATAAGATAAAACGTTGAGAAGAATTTAAATGAAAAAATTTTAAAAGTACAAAAACAATCAAAGCAAACAAAGAAAATGACAGAATTAATGTCTTTAAAAGCCACTACTTCCATAGTTTTATCACAGTATAGCATAATTCATTAAATGGGATGACATTGTGAATTCAGTCAGGTAAGCAGTGAGTGGAGTTGCGGAACAGTATTGGTGAAGCTGCAAGCAGTTATTTAGTGACCAGGGTTTACATCGTTGCCCAGCATCACATTTTTCTAACAATGTGACAGAATGTTCAGCAATGACTTGTATACATACCTGTTTATTCTGTTCCAGCTCTTGTATTTTGTCTTGAAGATCTTGCTCTAACTGCTGTATGATTGTCTTGAGCTCCTTCAAGCTGAGGTCCTTGTCACGTATCTCACGTTCATACTTCTCCGATTCCAGTAATGCCTGGTTGTGTAGATCTATACGAGCCTGCAACTGTTCTGTCAGGTCATCAATCTATTTATAGAAATCAAGAATTTTAGTAACACTGACGGATAGTCGCAGATGCTGCTTTGACAAAGCTAAAACCATCGCTGCATCATTTTGACAATAAAGAAAAAATCTATATCTAGCCTCAGTGACTTGAACAAATCAATCTTAACTTCAATCCATGAGTATTTGTCCATAGAAGTTACCAACAAACTAAATAAGAAATCATCAAATTATAATGTGTATTCCATGTGTTTATTACAAGCAAATGGATGACTATCACTGATGCATCACATAATTTCTATTCAATCAATTATAAATAGCCAGCATGAACTTGAAATATTTTACAGACTATGATTTAAGGTATACAAATCATACACTGCTTTCATAGCATATTAAGGTGTATTTACCCTGCTTTTTTATATTTTTTCCATTGATAACTATCATAGAAATCTATTGACAGACATTTAATTTTGTAGTCTATGCTTTTATAGAAATAAATTAAGAACCCACAAAAAACATCAATTTTTGTTTTAATCATATTTTACAACAGAATGTCAGTGATTCTAGTATTTACCTCTGTCTGCAGCCTGGAACCAGTTCCGTTTTGTTTCTCCAGATCATGTATAATCTGTTTGTAATTCTCCAACTCTTTCTGGTACTCCTCATGCTCTTGTTCCCTCTCAGCAGATTGTTCCTGCAAATTATATACCAATTATACACTGGCTATCAACATAGTACTTTCTCATGAAATTAAGCCATACATAATTATACTGTAAGTTATAAAGTAAATTGGTTATTTCTAAAAGAAAATTAAATCTGTGCCCCTTTTTACTTACAAAATTAATAGCTCCAACCATACAGGGTAACGCCCACTGCAGTGACGTTTCATCACAACTATATATGATATATCGTATTCCTACATTTTTTAAGGAAATTTATTTCATAGTGGTCATCCGACCATGACAGTTTTTATTTACGCGAGTTAAATGTAGTGTTCTGTATTTCTGAAAACTTGCATTTATTGCGAATAGAAGACATATTAAGAAATTTATTATATATTGAAAACTATATGCAATATAGCTTATTAATTATTTCAGGCACAAGTATAACTCCATAATTATATAAACAAACTATTTATAGAGTTGCAAGGAGTCATTGACCAGTCAGTTGTATTACAAGACAATCAAAACATACCTCTATAAACTGTTTCTTGGCCTTCAGTTGTTTCTCCAGTGCCTCTACATGTAGTTTCAGATCAGCTGCCTCCTGTTTTTTATCCTCTAGGATCGTCCCCAAGTGTGTTTCCATGTCCTCACCACTTGTCTCCAGCTCTCGCATGCGAGACTCGTAACGCTCATGAACCTGCTTGATTTGTTCGTCTTTTTCACGATTCTCTGAGTTTAATCGAGTAACTTCCAGCATAAGGGCTGTTACATGGGGAAAAGTAAAAAGAACATGTTCTTATTTGTACAAAAAAATAAATCAAACACATCTGAAGAATAAACATTTGTAAAAAAAGTAATTTAAATTTCTCTCCATAAAACTGCCCCTGAAAAATGTACAAAAGTATTTTATCATAAATTAATTATTGAAACCACTTCTTCTGCTGGATTACCTAAAATGAACTAAAAGTTGCCATTTAATCCACAGTAAATAAATAACAGTAAATATTAATCTAGTGAAAATCTACTTATAAACTGAATCAAAACTACTGATTTTAATTAAATATTTATCAAGCACACCAATTTATAACTATTCCATAACACAAATATTTTAGTTACATTAAAAAATCTCCCCTAAGCAAATCTACTCTCTTTTTATCTAATTCTATATGAATTATATTTATCTAACAATAGCACTTCAATCACAAAATTTACTACAAAGTTACATCTACTCACAAGCATAAAAGATCAAATTTTCTAACCTCCACATGAAACTAATGTACATGTATCCGAGTAAAATGTTTCATGCAATTACAACAGTCTAGTTCAACAGATGATAATTATTTTAATAATTTCATCTAAAAAAATTATGAAATCTTGAAATTCCATGTCTAAATTTGGTATATTAACCACTAAAATTTCTATAGTAGACTTGCCCTAGTTTAAATTGTACATTTTTTGGGGGGTTCAAATGTACAACTGTGCTCACTGGCCTGACTTTAAACTGATGGCATAGCTTTTATTATTTCATTATTACCAAAAAAATATCTCCCAATAGATTACAAAAATTTAGTAAAATTCTATTTTATAAAACTATCAATCTAATTAAAATCAGTTCCTAAACAAGGTTATACTTTAGGTAAAACATATATGATCCAAACCTTAGGTATATTATATAATTATATATAAAAAAAATCTACTTGTTACAATCAACAGACGAAAATCAAGTAAAACAAATTACCTTAAAAGAAAGCCCATTTCCAACATTAATTTATCTATCCAAATTTCTTCTTTATTTTCAATTATATATAACAGAATACATAAACAACAGAAAGAGAAAAAGTAATTTCACTAAAAAAAATTTTTCACTAATTTCACTATATCATAATTATCTGTGTTGATTTATTCTTGTAAATATAATTCTCATTTGAAAAAAAATTGCAAATGACACTTTATTAATTAAAACTTTAGTAAAACTGAAAGTTTAAAATATTCAAAGTGTAATGAACCTCTGCAGAGTTCAATACAGCAGATTTTTGTAAGACGTAACCCAATACTGTCTTTATAACAAGTAAAAACCTGCAAAACGGGCAGTTTTACTTTACCGAGATCTAACGCCCAAAGTTTTTGTGTACATTCTGTTCATAAAACAATGAAAAATTTGTCAATAAATACTTGACTTTATCTATGTACAATAACCATGCAAATAAAATCAGGCATATAAAATGAGGTTAAAATGAAAGTTTATGACCCCATTTGTGTATTCATTTTCTTAAAATCCACTTAAAAAAATTCTTGGATTTAATGATCAGTTTTTATTTTATATATTTTTCAATTAATTATAGATCTAAAATATTGGATCTAAAATATTTTTCACTAAATGACCTTAAAAAGAAACCCAGAGCAAAACCCAGCATATTATATCAATTGTTTATACTTAATTTCTTGTCTATAATAAATTATTTATACATGTAATGCCTGATATTCTTGACTAACATGTACTAAGATTTTATGCAGAAAAATATTGGTAGCCTTGTAAGTGTTCTAATGAATGATAATACTTTGCCAATGGGAGCAAGTACCGTAGATTTGCGGCCATAAGTCAACCAAAAAGGGTTGCCAAAATTGTCCATAAAAATCAATTTGACTTATGGTCGAGTTACTAAAAAATATTGATCTTATGAGGGTCTTTTTTGAGAGTTCTGTAAGTGGTGATGTGGGCTCATTTTTCAGTACCGATTGGTAAAGAAACATAGACATAATGTCCCCCCCTTTCACTCTCATTATCTAACTCTGAAATCTTGAATCAACTGCATATATCATACAAATTACATGAAATGTAATTACTTTATATTTTACAATTTCTTATTCATTACAAATTTGGATTTGAGCATTTTATCATTTTAAATAGTAGCTGATATTAAGGATATTAATTTTACAGAAAATAACTTTTTCAAAACAATTCAACTATACACCTTTTAATATGGTAAAATGTTATATTAAGTATACAGAAAAATAAATTACATCAATTATCTAGGCATTTTCCCCATCCCCACAATCCGTGGGCCCAACTACCCAAGAATAGGCCCTAACTGATATTCAAGTATATAAGTTTTGTGAGAACAAAATATATCCCACTGAGTGAACATTGAGATATTTTCAATACCAATATGAAACTTTTTGATATATAAAACTTTTCACATGTGATAGATATTTGACCTTAAATAAATAGGAGGAAATACTCGATTTATTTCATGTTTTTTCAATGGTTTGAAATAAATACTATTACAATGTCATTATCATAATTACTTCTTCTGGAATAAAAGCCCTCTCATTCTAAATCCAGTTTTCTTTAAGTATCTATTGATGATATTTTTTTGGTTTTGTCCGGTCAATAAAGGTTGTATCAACTCTAACATAGTAAGTGATCAGGAAACAATATCAAGGACAGAGAAGTGTAAACATCAACAATCAAACATGAAATAAAAAGATCACATCCTCCTGATATCATTACACTGATCTATTTCTTTTGTAAAAACAAACCACACACTCTTTTCATTCAATAAAGCAGCTGTCTCAGCAATTTATCTAAAATAAGTTCACTTAAAAGACAATGAAAATATATCTCTATTTAGTCTATATTAAAGTCACAATTATGATCAGCATACTATGTGAGTCTGAACTTTCAGAATGTTTGAACAAAATCCATGATGGATACTGCTTAATCACAGTAACTCAATCTTGAAATCAGATTATTTCCTTGTAAAATCAGTAGCCTACTGATCAACTTCTGCAGTGTTCAGGCATAAATTAAGTTAATGTTAAGTTTTTTTAACCCATAGACAAAATCCGTCAAATATTAATTTCATTTTCTGTAAGACTTATCGTAAAGCTTTTCTTTTCCCTGCTTTTTTTTTTTAATTTTCTCGCTAATTTCTTCACATATTGCTGAGACAGCTGCTTTAAATAGAAATGTTTCACAACACACATTGGTGTAACTCACCAGCATTGTTTCGAATGTCTATTCTATATAAAATCTAGCATAATAATCCAGTTTAAACTATCATAAATATATATTATAATAAATATATTCATACTAGCCAGTCTAGAGCATATAAAAAGCTGCTATATAGAAACATGGAATGGGCACCAGGGGTAAAAGGCTGCATGACAATAACTGAAGGTCCGGGTACAAGAAGGGCTTCATGCAAGAAGTATGTACTCTATCTCTTTATCAGCATTTAAAAAGACTTCCAGTCAACTATAATATACTACAGCATGCTGTTTGACTAAATTTTGCCCTTTTAACTTTACAGATTTTTTATGCAATTTTCTTTTTTAATTCGGGAGTCCTTTCTACATGATTCTGCGCTTTGCCTTTCTCAGTTACACATTCTGAGTTACATATTTAATATACATGTATGTCATGCTATGAGATTACACATCTGGCATTCGGTTTTCTATAACTTTATATCATTCTTTGATGCACTGGCTAAATGCTTCTCAAAAATGCAAAAACATATATATCTATCACTGTATTCACTTCTATATTTAGACATTCTATTTATAGACCAACCTTTGTTGCCACCAGGTGGCAGTTTCGCTGGTTCTTCAGCCCTGGTAGCTGCATAACAAGAATCATGCATTAAAATTTGATTCAAACTTTACAAAATGCTTCTATCTTTTAAAGATTATTTTTAAAATATCATTTTGAAACATTTTTTAAGCAAGCAATCTTTTAAAGCAAAGTGATCATTGGTAAAAAATTATAAATATATCTGAATAATATGTTGAGTTAGAAGAACAAGGAGTTAATATTTTTAGTAACAATAAGACTGTCAGTTTGTTTATATGCCCATTTTTCCACATGCATAGTTACTGAAAAATTCATAAAAATATCAATTTTATTGCTTTGTTCCAATGTTAATAGCAATTTTTTAAAAAGTATTTTAGTAAAAATACTTAATTAAATTATAGGCATGCTGTTGACCATTTCTAAGTTGTGAATTTATTAATCTCTCAAAATAAATCCTTAAGAAACAGCACTGTGGCATCTATACACAGAATGTAACAAAATTGTTGAGAAAATAGAAATTGTATGGGTATTCACAAACATCAAGAACTATGTTCTACTCAAAGGGCTAAAAGTGCTGAGATTTATTCTATCAGTAACTCTCTATCATTTTGAAAAGGGTTTTTCTTTTAGAAATATTTTTGAAATAACTGAAAGAATAAAGAGAGCAAATAACTGAAACTATCAATAGATGGAACTTGGGAGTCAAAATAGGTCAAATATTCAATTACTTTAGCCACAAACTCCAGCTTTTTTCTTGTGTTCATACAGTTTTGGTTTATATTCATGGAACATGCGGATAATTAGTGTTCTTATGCCCAAAACCTTAGTAAAAATAACTTTATCCCAGTTTATTACACAAGGTGATTATAACATAATTGTGTCCAGAAAAATCCTAGTTAATATATACATGTATTTATATCACTATCTACCACAGTGATAGAAGGTCATGACTGAGTAACTGCTTTAACATTATCAACATCTTTATCAAAATATGTTCAAATTTGACATGATACAAGACAAACTGAATATTTAGAGATCTGAAGTCTCAATTTTATACTTTGGTTTGTGCCTAGGTCAAATCTAGTGTTAGAAATGCTGAGACCACTGGATGCAATAACTTCATCCCTCCATTATATGGTCATAGCAAAAATAACTAAACCATAGCAGTTTCTTAGTCATGGTGTTGAAATGAACTGTTAAACAAGAGAAAAGTAACTACATAAATAAATACTAACAGTAACACATTAGAATAAATACATTGCAACAATTGGTAAATCACTCCAGTATAATAACGGTAAGCTAACTATGAGGTGTCATCTTATTAATGTTAATGTCCCCTATAATAAATATAAAAGTGAACTCTCCCAGAATACAGTCAACAAGAGTGATCTATCTTGATTTGTGAAATTCAAAGTATAAATGTACAGCATTTAAATGACCACAAATGTGTGAAACACAGCACAAATTTCTCAACTCATAATGACTATAATTATATTCAGATATTGTTCTTATTCCGATAATTTTAAATACTGGTTAAACATCAACAGAAAGACAGAAAATTATATTTGTTTGTTTGGTTTTACAGCATACCATCTTAGTATATATGTAGGTCAGGCAGAAAATTATATTGTGTCAAGCATAACATAATACTTTTGAACTTCACAAAGGAATATGAAATATTATGATGAAAATATATCAAGTATAATGATCAAAGCAATGTACTAAGACACGGTAATGTATATAAGGTTAAGCCCCTTTAGTGGTTTGAAAATTCTGAGTAATCAAGGCCATATCATTTAATTGTTTTTAATCAAAACCTCGTGTAAAATGCTGTCATTTTCATATCAGAATGGCAGCATTAAATAACTCCACTTATACCAAACTTCCATGCTTCTAAAATAAATGTTAATTCTGTTCAAATATAATATTTTATAACATTTCATGATTTTTCCCTGTGTTCATACATTGCTTTGACAGTACTGAGTAATTCAACAATGTCTTTTTTTTCTGAATGTAACAAAGGCTTACCATACTTTTTGGTGGGTTTTTTTCCCTTTCATATTACATGAAATCTTCATTAAATCTTCAAAATTTGTTTCCATTCAGAAGAAAAATGACAGAATTATAACTAAAATTATTAAAGAGAACATGGTAACAAACTCAACTTCTGTAAAAGAGCATTATAAAATTTATACGTATGAATACTGAATAATAAACATGGTTTAATATATGAATACACAGCAAGTATAGATGACATATATAAAATAATAGAAATTTAAAAACTGAATAAATACTGATGCATATAAAAGCACTGACTATTGACACAATACATAATACTGAATTAGAGTAGAATTTTTTTTAAAATACTGAGAGAAAACAAGATATGTTTGTAAAACATGTATGCCCCCTATCAGCAGCCAATTAGTCATCTGATAAGGTTATTATGCATAACTTCTGACCCAGTGATCAAACAATTAATAAGGGTTATCAAGTATCTACTGGTCATGACCTTAACCTTTGACCCCTTGACCCAAAACTCAATAGGGGTCATCTGCTGGTCATGACCAATCATCATACAAAGTTTGAAGTTCCTAGGCCTAAGCGTTTTTAGTTAATTGATCGGAAACCGTTTTTACCTACAAGGTCAATGTGACTTTGACCTTTGACCACTTGACCCCAAAATCAATAGGTCATCTGCTGGTCATGACCAATCACCATACCAAGTTTGAAGTTCCTAGGCCTAAGGGTTCTTTAGTTATTGATCGGAAACCGTTTTAACATACAAGGTCAATGTGACCTTGACCTTTGACCCCAAAATCAATAGGGGTCATCTGCTGCTCATGACCAATGGACATGCCAAGTTTGAAGTTCCTAGGCCGAAGCGTTCTTTAGTTATTGATCAGAAACCGTTTTTACTTACAATGTCAATGTGACCTTGACCTTTGACCCCTTGATCCCAAAATCAATAGGGGTAATCTGCTGGTCATGACAAATCACCATGCCAAGTTTGAAGTTCCTAGGCCTAAGCGTTCTTAAGTTATTGATCAGAAACCGTTTTTACTTACAAGGTCAATGTGACCTTGACCTTTGACCCCTTGACCCAAAACTCAATAGGGGTCATCCGGTGGTCACGACCAATCATCATACAAAGTTTGACGTTCCTAGGCCTAAGCCTTTTTAGTTAATTGATCGGAAACCATTTTTACCTACAAGGTCAATGTGACCTTGACCTTTGACCCCTTGACCCCAAAATCAAAAGGTCATCTGCTGGTCATGACCAATCACCATACCAAGTTTGAAGTTCCTAGGCCTAAGGGTTCTTAAGTTATTGATTGGAAAGCATTTTTACTACAAGGTCAATGGTGACCTTGCCCCCTTTGACCGCTTAACCCCAATATCAATAGGGGTCATCTGCTGGTCATGACCAATCACCATACCAAGTTTGAAGTTCCTAGGCCTAAGGGTTCTTAAGTTATTGATCAGAAACCGTTTTTTACCTAAGAGGTCAATGTGACCTTGACCTTTGACCCCTTGACCCCAAAATCAATAGGGGTCATCTCCTGATCATGACCAATCACCATATCAAGTTTGAAGACCCTAGGCCTAAGGGTTCTTTTGTTATTGATCGGCAACAGTTTTTACCCAAGAGGTTGTGACCTCGGACCTTACCCCTTAACCCCCAAAATCAATAAGGGTCATCTGATCTGGTCATAACAATCACCATACCAAGTTTGAAGTCCTAGGCCTAAAAGTTCTTTAGTTATTGATCGGAAACCGGTTTTTGCTTCAATGTGACCCCACCCCAAATCAATAGGGGTCATCTACTGATCATGACCAATCACCATACCAAGTTTGAAGTTCCTAGGCCTTAAAGTTCGGTAAACCGTTTTTTCCTTACAAGGTTGTGATTGATCGACCCCAAAATCAATAGGGGCGGGTCATCTACTGATCATGACCAATCACCATACAAAGTTTTTAGGCCTTAAAGTTTCTTACAACAAGGTCAATGTGACCTTGACCTTTGACCCTTGACCCCAAAATCAATAGGGGTCATCTACTGATCATGACCCAATCACCATACCAAGTTTGAAGTTCCTAGGCCTTAAGGTTCTTTAGTTATTGATCGGAAACCATTTTTCCTTACAAGGTCAATGTGACCTTGACCTTTGACCCCTTGACCCCAAAATCAATAGGGGTCATCTACTGATCATGACCAATCACCATACCAAGTTTGAAGTTCCTAGCCTTAAGGTTCTTTAGTTATTGATCGGAAACCGTTTTTTGCTTACAAGGTCAATGTGACCTTGACCTGTTGACCCCTTGACCCCAAAATCAATAGGGTCATCTACTGGTCATGACCAATCACCCATACCAAGTTTGAAGTTCCTAGGCCTAAGGGTTCTTTTAGTTATCACTCGGAAACCATTTGGTCTACGGACCGACGGACCGACAGACCGACGGACCGACGGACCGACAAGTGCAAAGCAATATACCCCCTTTTCTTCGAAATGGGGGCATAATAAAATAATCTCAATGATAAAGTATAACTGAAGAATCAAAGAAGTTTGCATAAGATGTATTTGAATTTTAAACCAATACTGAGTATATTTAATACAAAATGTAATTTACTATTCCCAAGCGAAAGTTTCCTTCTGTTTTATTTTATTCACAGCTGTGCATGTTCTACATTAAATCTATCTAATTTAGTTCATTATCTTGTGTGATGTGAGTTTTGCAAATATAAAACAGATACAATGTAAAATAGAAACAAAGAAATCACTGTTAATGCAAAATCAAAATAAAGCCTTATAAATGTAAAAGAGAGCATGTTAATGTAAAAGAAAGAAAGTCCTATTAATGTAAAATAGATACAAAGAAAGCCTGGTTAATGTAAATAAGATAAAAGTTAGAAGTGCGTAAATGTTGAAGTGAACCAAAGAAAGCCTGGTCAATGTAAAAGAGATACAAAGAAAGCATAGTCAATGTAAATGAGATATAAGTTAGAGGTGTGTAAATGTAAGAAAGAGACAAAGAAACCATGCTCAATGTGCAAGAAATAAAAAGAGTCTTGTCAATGTAAAAGAGATACAAAGAAAGCCTCAATTACATTAAAAACATACACTCTCTTTGAAGTGGAGCTTACGGTAGAAATAATTTCTACTGTCTGATAGAATTAAAGGAAGTTAAACTGTTATTAATTGTGCAGTGATTTTCAATTGTTAACTATATGTACTTAAAATATCACTGTGCAGCATAAAAAGCTAATTTAAACAGAACTCTTTTCACTTCCTGGCTAAAAAGATGGTTTCATCTTTTAATTCGAGACACAAATTTTAAACATTTTTATTCTATGGAGTAATTAAAACTCAACAAAAGATATGAAGCAAAATCTGTTGAGGTAGTACAGATGGTATTAATGTTAAAAGAACAGCATCATAAAAACTTTTATCTAAAAAAAAACTTGTATTTCTAACAAAGATGGAGTTAGTAGAATTTTTATATGAAATAAAAGAAACAAAATATACACATATTAAACAATACACATGCGGAGTAACAATAACAGTATTAGACATGCACATACATTAACAAAGGCATCCCAAAGCATGCATATACTTGTATACATGTATTTAAAATTATAAACCAATAAATTTTGTGTTTTTCCCCAAACAAGCATTAAATGCTAGTTCTTGTTTAATAAAGCGCCCTGCTACCATATAATATATGGGTGAGTTGGAAATAAACTTAACCTTTTTTCTTGTCCAAACACTCCAAGTCAAGTCACTTTTCATTGGTTCACACTATCATCCAATCAAATCCCTTGATACAAAAGCTGAAAAAAATCTTGCAAGCAATTTTGATGAATTGTTTTTTCTTTTTATCCTTGACACTGCAAATACCTTTATCCTTTGTCTGTTGTGATGTATAGGGAAAACATCTTTTAATTGTATTCAAAATTGAATATTTCACTGCCATACGTGCTGGTATCAATTATTTGCCAGTCGAGGAAAATGTCCCTTCTATTTTGTTTTTCTATGATTTTACATCCTTTAGACTCTTTTTACATGATTCACCCATAGCAATTGCTTTTATATTCATTAGCAGACTGCATTTTTTTAAATCCATCCAATGTAGGCAGGGTTCGGGCGCTAACAATTGTTTAATTCTATTTGATGCACTCTGCATGTCCAATTCAGGTGATTACCAAAATCATCTTTAAATAGAGACATGGCTGCGCATGTATTGTTGGTTCAACAAGAGTCAATTCCGGACATCCCTAAAGTCTAACCATTGTTAGTTTCTGTGTTATCTAGTGAAACTACTGTGATCATAGTTAGCGACCGAACCCTGACATTACCTTCTTTCTATTAATTTTTTCTATCTTTCACCCCCTCCAAATTTTGAGCAGATTATGATATAATCTACCATCAAAGAAATTAAATAAAATCTTCATAATGTTTAACCATTTTATTGACAGATCCCCCAACAAGAATATAACAACATAATGAACACATTAAATGGCACAGCTCTTTTCCTGTCTACATGTATAACCAAATTCCTTCCCACTGTCCTCATTCCATGTCCATTGCAGAAAGCAAACAAACATAGAAATATTTTAAATCATTTGGCATAATTTCAGCTGTTCTAATGTTAATTCCACTGATAGTTAATCAAATTAAAGTTCCAATTAAGTGTCAATTTTATGATCAAGCAAGCACTGTTTTCCACTTTATAACCTCTACAACATACATACTATATGTATCACAACTTTCAACACTGTCCATGTCTTTGTCCATCTATATCCACAATAAATCCATGTTAAATGCAGTTTTTCATCCATAATATTTCAGCAACCAATGTTTTAAGTTCAAAGTTTATTTTACCAAATTCAATTTTCAAATTCTAGAAAAAAAAAATTCTAGACTAATTTCAAATGGATTTTTCTATAATTCAGGCTAGATCCACATGAAATACTGACTAATTCCAAAGAAATTCTGATTAAATCCACATGAATTTAAAACTATATCAAAATGTAAGTTAGATTCAATTCATGTGTCTTTAAGAAATTTTGACTAAATCCACATGATATATAGCCTTAAACCACATGAAATTTAAACTTAATTCACATGAAATATAGACTAAATTCACATGAAATATAGAATTAATTCACATGAAATATAGACTAAATTCACATGAAATATAGACTGAATTCACATGAAATATAGACTAAATTCACATGAAATATAGACTAAATTCACATGAAATATAGACTAAATTCACATGAAATATAGAATAAAATCACATAAATACAGACTAAATTCACATGAAATATAGACTAAATTCACATGAAATATAGAATAAAATCACATAAATACAGACTAAATTCACATGAATATAGACTAAACCCACATGAAATATAGACTAAATTCACATGAAATATAGACTAATTTCACTTGAAATACAGACTAAATTGACATGAAATATAGACTAAACCCACATGAAATTCAGTTCAACAGACCAATTGTCACACAGAATTATAGTATAAGAACATAATATATAGATTTTTCTTTTCACATTAAGAATAAATCATCATCATATATTCTATTATAACAAATGTCATATTTTCCCACCACAATAACTTTACTAAGAGCATTTGGACAAGAATTTTCTCACACAGTAGCAGGTTTATATTTTATATTATAGCAATAAATACAATAATTTAGATTAAATATCTCCACAAAAGCCCCCCATCCCTACAAGATATAATATACATTTGAAAATTCAAAGAATTACGAAACAATTCATGCTTTCAGGTCTACATATATGCACACTATGCCTTTACAAATCTGATTACACACAAAAACAATAAAGCTGTTAAAATAATGTCTCCCTCTGAAAATACTCGATTTTAGAAAATTTCATCCCTAAAGAAGGTTTAATAGATCTTATTCTAATTTATCAAAATCATGATTTAACTAGTGTACATCATATCATTATTCAAAAGTTGTTAATAATTTTGTTAAATTTTATAGAAAAACCTGTTGTGTAAGGCAACTGACATCAACTCAGCGCACCTTTTATGAATAAATTGCAATTTTAGGGTGACGTCATTTTGAATTTACGAAGGAAGTTGTAATTTCGATGCTACTGTAAGAAAAAAGTGCTTAAATAAAAATATACTAGTTTTCATAATTTCTTTATAAGATATTATTGGTAAGTAACATGCAAGAAAAAGAATCAAACACAGGCTATTGTCACAGACATTGAGTAAACTCAGAGGAGACCATCACAGTTAGAATAACAACAACTACAACAACTACAATAACAAATTGAAAATATAACAGCAGTTTTCTGATATGTCAAAGATTATCATGCTTGAAGTAAAATTTTACATGATTTAAAATATTAACCATTATTACTAAAATGAAATTTAAAAGTAATTACTCTTCACAAGTTAGATAAGATTTAAAATTTCTAAATTTCATGAAAACTTAAAAAGGAGCAAAATATTTCCAAATCTTTTTAAGAATAGATAATAGAACAATACCTTTCAATTTCAGTTATATTAACAGATGTTGAAAACGAGCTTTTATCACTAATTTTATGTATGCCAAATTCCATTTTCAAAGTTTTCCGTTTTCAATTTCAATATGACTGTATGCCATTTTAAGTGTCATAATGATTCTAATATCATGCATTTTGACATAACAAAGCACTATTCACAAAAAGTGTTTATTTTAACAACTGAAAAACAACAAGAGTAGATAATAACAAGAAAGAGATCACAGTTCACTACAAGTGCTGTACAACATATGCTATCTACTGAATAAGTCGTGCAGAAACAGACAGCCGATGGCTACACCTATCGGCACGATTACATATTGGTAACGATTAAAACCTTGAGCTTCCTCTCCAACATTGTGCGTCATCAATTCTCGTTGCTCCTCCATTTCTTTCTTCAGCTGTAAATTCTCGGTTTGGATGGATTCTAAGTCTAACAGCTTATTCTTTGTGGTCTCGAGTTCAAGCACTAAGGTTTCCTTATCTTCTTCAAGCTCACGAATCCTTTCATCAAGAGACTCGCGCTCAGAGCTATAGCCCTCGATAAGACCTGAAAACGTTAGGTTAACATAGAACAAGAAGGGAGCAGACTATGATTCTAACAACTAAAGCTAATGATGCTGTCTATACTAATAAAATCTTTAATTGCTCTATTTGATCTATAGCAGGCTGGGACTTCTGATGAAAAATTAAGCAATATCATGAATGTTCTGACTCTTTCTACATAAATGTTAACAAACTTGAACATTAAATAATGCTAAAAAAAATAATGCTATAAATAGATTTGGCATATTCTATGCACAATTATGTGCCCGCATATTTTTAGGACCTACCTTCTGCTTTGTGCAGTTCAAGAGCAAGGAAGTCTTTACGCTCCACTTCCTCCTTCAGACGCTCCTCAAGGTCATTACATCTAGAGGTCAATTGGTCAAGGTCATGACCTCTGCCCTCCAATGTGTCCATGGCATCAGACTGTGACTGGCGGGTCTCCAGTAGCTGGTTTGTGGTTTCCTCCATGACCTCTAGTAAGTGGCTCACAGAGGACCGTAAACGACTCCCAGAATCTACAAAATATTCATGCCACAATATAACACAGGTTTAACAAAAGAAGAATCAATTGGTATTTTAAATGTATTTCATCATACAGTACATGAAATAAGATTCTTTTTATTATTATTTAATATATAATTCAAAGAAAATGTGAAATACATGTATTATAACAAGGCATTATACAGAGTATAATAGCATAGTACATATCATATAAAAATTGCATATTATATGATTTAATATCTAAAGTCCAGAACTTAAATAGCTTAAATATTGACAGTAAAATGTTCATGTAAGAACATAGACCAATATCCTGTCTCTGTCCTTAAAGACATATCTATCTACTGGTACTCACATTTTAATTCATCTTAAACAAAAAACAAAACAAAAAACCTTGAGTAAGTAAAATTATTGTACCATTCTTCATTTTATACATTATATCCATAATTTTATATCTCCTGCATTATAAATCACCCTTCTGCATCGTCAAGATGATAACTTTGAAGTATTTACACAAGTTATTTTGCAATTACTGAACACTTAATGGTAGCTAAATCTTCAAAATTGTATACAGATCCTGTCATTTCCTATCCACACTGCTTCCTCAATTATGATCCTTAATACACACATGTTAATTCTTGCTATATTATACAAAAATTACACCGCACACATTTCGTGAAACACTGCACACATTTATTAATTCTTGAGAAATTTTTATTTATGACATCTGTGACATATAAGTTACACACATGTAATATGTAGACAATTATTGAACGTGTACAACACATGTGTAGTACAAGATACATTACACACAGTGAATGAACACACTTAAAATTACAATCACTTCACTTGACATATTAAACAGGATATTACTCATTTACTTCTGCATCTGAAGTATTGTGCATGTCACATGACCAAGTCACATGACCAAAATCACATGACTGATCATGTGACTTCTGTGAGTTGATAAATATGTTACATAAGAGCAAGGTTCTTCTAAAAAAAAAGTTCTTTATAAGAGATTCTAACACCATCTGTTTCATATAAGAAACATATAACACATAAAAAACTTTAATTGTAAACATTTTTTTTTCAACACTTGAATTAAACACTTGAGTTAAAACATTCAAGCTGCTGTGAAAATATCCAAATGACAACAAAATAATGAATAGTTATTTAAGGAATTTTGTTTTAAAGCAGCACACCTCCAGATTTATGTAAATAATTTTTTTTTAATGTTTAAACAAGTAAAATTATTGTCAAGTCATCAAATTGCACTTAAAGAATTCACAATAAACTTGCAATATAATTTATTTTGTCAATTTGGAACTCTTTTTAAAAATCCTTACTCTCTTAAATGTAACACTTCACCACTCAGTTTTTAGAAGAGGAGTTTTTTTTGTATAGAAAGGAGACAATAAAATCAGTCTTACATTTAACATAGAGAGAGAGGACAGTGGTTTCATCAGAACCACTCTGTTCTACAATTTCTAGATATAACACAAACAAATATTTGAGCCGTGTCACGACAAAACCAACATAGTGCGTTAACGACCAGCATGGATCCAGACCAGCATGCGCATCCGCTCAGTCTGATCAGGATCCATGCTGTTCGCTATCAGTTTCTCTACTTGTTATAGGGTTTGTAAGCGAACAGCATGGATCCTGATCAGACTGCGTGGATGTGAGGCTGGTCTTGATCCATGCTGGTCGCAAACCCATTATGTTGGTTTTGTTGTGACGCGGCTCAATTATGTTCTTTAATAGTCACTATCTTATAGCAATTATACATTTCTAGGGTCAAAAAATCAACATAAAATTTTAACTCTTGCACAATGATAAAGAGGATAGGAGACATAGCACTAGCAGCTACTGTCTTTCAAAGGTATGTTGAGATAGATATTTACGTTAAATATCATGCAAGAAAGATACAAATAAGCAGATTTCTTTTGCATCATAAAAGAAATGATATAAAATGTTACTGGATTCTATCACATGCAAATAACCACTTTTACTTTAGAGATGAAAGTTTGATTGGTTTAATTGCCCTTTCCAGCATGAACATAAATAATACATGTATCATATCTTTATATTGTAAAATAATTAAATCCATAAGTCAGTCAGAACTATACCTCTGTATAAAAGATACAGAGACAATCAACTGATTAGATTATATATTTCTTTTTTGTTTTACTTCACTGATGTTTCACAAAGCTTGTGACTGAGTTAAATAGATCAAAATCCCTATACCAATCCTTAGGCAATGAAAAAGGAGTGATTTCTTAACCATTCAGCAACATAACAGCCTTCCCTGAAAACTGACTCCCAATGAATATGAATGACTTTACATTTCAAATATTACAACGAAAAAGTTGTTAGGAAAGGTTCACCAACCTGTAAGAAGTTCTTCCTCCTCAGTCTTGAGTTCAGGACCTTGGAATATACTATCAGAGATATGTTGTGACAGGTCGAGACCTTCATCTGTGACATTAGATACAATACTAGTGTTGGCTGTCTCACCATCTGTAATTCAAGTTTAAACTGTTTAGTAGTTTTATTATCAAAGTGTGAATGGTTGTCAAGGTCATATCAAAGATTCAATATGTCTGACATATGTTCTTTACTCCTTTAACCTCACCATGCTCAATTTATATGATTTTGTTACATTGCATAATTTTGGAAAGTAAAATCTCAAAATAAAATATTTAAATTGATTTCTGAATTATTTTTGTCAATGCTACTTTCTAGTTAATTTATGCCATTGAGAGTAAAGCTAATATAACGTACCGTCAGCTCGGGCAGGACTCAGCCTGCCGGGAGATGTTGCCGGTGATTTCCGGCCAGGGGGCGGAGTCTTCTTTCTCTCCACCGTCCCGGCTTGACCTTTATCTACTGTCAATTTATCACCGGACTTTTCCATCATGACTTTCATCTTCTTGGTGATGGACTCCTCCACTCCCATGTATGTCTTCACGGCGTCTGACAACAACCCCAGCAGGTGCTCATTTGTGCCCTGAAGAGCGTCCCTGTCAAAACAATAAGAAATGTTTTTTATTTGGTTCTTCTATACTTATTAGCCAAAAATCTATGTCATTCATTATCATAAAAGAAATCAATCTTCAATCAAATTAAATGATGAAAAGGAAGAATTTATAAAGAAATGGGTCTTACTTAATTCAATATCATTAAGGTATAATTATGAAGGTTTAATGTCAAATATAACATGTATGAGTTAAGTTGTTATATATCTCCAAATAACATGACTTACATGCTTGTTAATGTATAACGGTGACATTCCTACTATATTTATATATTTTTGTTTGTTTGTTTGTTTCATTTTACGCCTTTTTCAACAGTATTACAGTCATATAGGCGGGTAGTTTCCTAACCATCGTTCCTGGAGAGTTACACCAGTACTAGACTCCCTTCCTCCGCGCTAAACTACCAAAGCATCTCCCGGGGATCAAACCCACGCCAGAGAGGTAACTGGATTAGAAGTCATCGACTCTAACCCCTCGACCACGGAGGCGGTCTATATTTATATATAATGTGACTGTATGTAAGGTTACCTGTCTGAGTTAAGACGTTCAATATCGCCACGTAACATGGCTGTCAAGTTACTCTCTTCCTGTTTCTCTCGGTCCATTCTCTCCATCTGATCATCCTGTTTACTTAACTCTGCTTGTAGACGTCCTCGTAACTCGTCAACCTCTGCTTCCAACTGTAATAAAACAAAATATTTAAAATATTTAAATTTTTCTTACTTTTTTATTTTAAAATGCCAAAATTTTTTTTGTAAAGAAATACATTTTATCTGGGGAATGTTGGGGTTTTTATCAAATTCTTTTTTCCCCCTTTTTAATGTTTTTTGCCTTTTTTTCTTTCTTTTTTTGGGTATTGAACCTTATTTATGTAATTTAGGCGTTGCAACAAAAATTATTTGGAATAAAAACTTAAAAAGAGGTTCCGGAAAGCCAACTCACTTAAAAAAAAAATAAGGGACATTAAGGAGGAAAAAAAAATAAAAGAAAATCTTTTATTAAATTTTATTAAGTTAAATTAAAAAATAATTATTTGTTAACATAAATTCCAAGATCAAGGGGAATAATTCTAGTCATGCTAGAGTTATGGACCTTGTCACACAACATTTGTGTAATGATAAGAAATATATATTTGAAGTTTGAAGTAGATACCTTAAAAAGTAAAGAAGTTATTATATTTCTTAAAGAAAATCCTAAGTTCAAAGAGAGATAAATCTGTAAATAATGCTTCAAGAGTTATGAACATTGTCACATAAAATGTAATTGATGATAAGGAATAAGTATTTGAAGTTTGAGGTAGATACCTTTAAAAATAAAAAAAGTTATAATAAAAAATAACATTTTTCTAATAAAAAAATCTAAGTTTATGGGGAAATAATTCTTGCAATATTGGTGCTAGAGTTATGAACCTTGTCACACAAGATGTGGATGATGATAACATAAATATATTTGAAGTATGAAGTTGATCCCTTTAGAAATAAATAAGTAACAGTAAAAAATAATATTTTTTATGGAAAATTCTAAGTTCAAAGGGAGATAAATCTGAAAATATTGGTGCTAGAGTTATGAACCTTGTCACATAAGATGGGGATGTTGATAACGTAAATATATTTGAAGTATGAGGTTGATCCCTTAAGAAATAAAGAAGAAACAGTAAGAAATAGTACTTTTTGAGGAAAAATCAACCAGTGCAGACCAAGATCAGCCAGCATGTCTAAGCCATCTAATCATGGTCTGCACTGGTTGCTAATCAGTTAGTGTATATATTTCAAAATCTTCCCTAATAATGATGAATGATTTTGACCAGTCTGAAAGATGGACAAGTCCATTTAAGATACTTAAACAAAAATAAGGCAAAGATTTCATATCAACAATCAAGACATCAATGAATTGCTTTGGTTTAAAATTAAAAGGTGGTCTAAATTCTCATGTTTTGTGTCATTAATAAAAACAGATTCTATTGGTCTAACATTAATTAAGCTGTCTTTTAAATAATTAGACCATTAATTTAACTACCTATTAAATATATATATTATTACCTTTTGTATTTTGTTATTGATTTTGAAAACCCTATTGTCAATATTTGCATTCATTCCATTCATTTTGCCTCTGGTTATACTTTCCAAAATTGATACAAATCCATTGTTACACCATTTTTGTTTCTTTAAATTTTACACACAATTGTCAAATTAATTTTTTTCTTAAATATCTTACACTGTTTTTAAATCCATTGTCACTCCATTTTCAAATTTTCCTTAAATTTTACACACAAATTTTTTATATTTTGATTATTACATTTATATTTTTCTTATTTACTTCCAATGGTAACACAAATCCATTGTCATACCATTTTGTTATTTCTGTACATTTATACATTTAATTTACAGTTTAAGTACATTCGCATATTTCCATTTACTTCCTACCACATCCTTCACTTCCCACACAATTAACAAAAATCCATATTTTCATTTATTTTCCTTATGATACTTATCAACTCATTACTTGTGCAAAGTTAACATAGAACCATTGTGTAAAGCAAATTACTTTAATGCAATCTAAAACATTCTAAAAAAAACTATCGCAGACGATGAAAAAGAAGCCCTATTTCACACCAATCTATCTCATTTACACCAATCTATCTATACAGAGATTGATTTTTCTTGTAAATAATACATTGCCTTTGGGACAACCCGTCATAAAACTTTTGACCTTGTAATAAAATTCCATATTATTCCCTTCATAAAAGTATCTATGGAATTAGCAGGATAATTTTTCTTCTTTGGTTCAAACTTATTACTCTTATCAATTTCTTTTATATGGCTCTCTTAATATCTTCTATAGATCATACAGGAATCTTATCACCTTAATTTGCAGAGGAAGACCTCAAATACCACTTGTTGGATTCTGTCAAGCACAATTATGCATTTAGTACAACTATCATCCTTTCATAAGCTAGCTGTGTAGATTGATGGCATTAAATATTTTAATGTCTGTACATGATTCAAAGTGATAGCTGTAAATGGGAAGTGAACCTTATACCCTAAGCCATAAAAATCCTCTCTGTATGAATTGGTCAACCTTTCAAATACTGATGATGATTTTCTTGACTAATTTGTTTTTCTATCTTTGTTAAGACGATTATCTTTTTCTTCTTCTTTTTTTTCACATTCAAATTTCGCACACAGAACTTGTGAACTGACATACTTTATTAAAAATAATTGAAAAATTTCGACAAAAATATTTCCCCAAAAAATATATAAATATATGTATATTCATGGTGCTAGTTTTCAGATTAAAAGTTCATAACAAAAATTTGATATTTTTTCAAATACTTTTTCCTATTTTTTCTAAACATTTCACATTTTCTAACAACACTCCAGTCATAAAGTTAACTCCAGTCTGTAAGACAATTTTACTGATCAATTTAAAACAATTGTAAATAAACTAACATTAAGCCACAGTTTTGCAATAAACACACACCATGTTATCCAGTGAGCGGTAAAGCACAATTTCATGAGCACAGATTGATAAATATTTAATTGTAATTCATTGTAAAATGGGTAAATGAGTAATGAAATCAAGGTATGGAGTATTCCCATAGGACTAAAGTTGTACTATAACTCGTTGTAAAATCCATTCCTTAGCACATCTTAGAGATATATATCTATACTGTGTTAGTCAGTGAAATATCGAGTTTTATCAATGAGATAGAACACTATTCTAACACTCCTCATGATTTTGTCACTTTACACAAAGAGGAATAAAAAACTGTGTTAAACTGTGAATAAACACTGGTAAGGGACTACATGTATATACAGCTGTTATTTTTTTCTCCCTCCAATAAGATGATTTACAAAGCCTTTTTAATGCAACAAGCATTTTTATTAACATTTTCCATTCTAATCATGTTTTCTTTTCATATGATGCTAAAATAACATCTCTCATACACTAAGGCCACAGGTTTAATCCATATCAGTTGATAATAAACTTTATGTACGAAAAATTGGCGCCAATTTGTAAGCATTGTAATAACGTCATCCTAAGTATGCAATTATTTATAAAGGCGCAAATAATACTGATATTTTAAATTCCAGACTTGGTTTGGTTCTGTACAAGAGGGATAATGGAAAAGTGCAACATTCCCAGCACCCCATGGACAAGACACACTTCATTCAATTTTAACATTGGTAATGCAAAGGCGAACAAAAACTCGGCGAAAAAAAAAATATGACAAACCTCTCTTATTCTAGAAGCCATTTCCTCCTTGTCGGAGGCCCTGATAGAGGAGTCAGTTGTATCATCTAATGATTTAACTGTCGGGTCACCTGGAATCTCAGTACCATATCCTAGAGTCTGCATCAGAGCCACAGGTGTACTTCTATCACTCTTATGTGTCTCTATACCTGATGGCAAAAATGTTTACTTTACCAGTATAGAAAAAATAGTCACTTTTCTTAACTTATAATAATATTCTTTATCTGTTAAACTTTCTTTAGGATTATTGATTGTGCCAATGTTCCATTGAACACATACGAGTATTTAGTTGTTTTGGTGTAGTATTTTATTCAAAGCTAAATCTAAACAATCAATGATGGTTTGTATACACCTCATGATTTGGTTTATACAGAATTTATTTAGTTTGATAAAGTAGGAAGCTATAAGCTTATAAGTCACACTTTCGAATCCGTTCCTGGAACCAACCAGTACTGAGCAATGAGTGTTGCCTAAAGGAAACAACGACTTGCCCCTCACCGGGTTTAAACCCATGCGGCAAGCGATATTTAGATTACTAGTCTTGACGTGTTAACCACTTAGTCATGCCGCCACATAATTTGTCTACACCACAATCAAAGCTTTTTACTTCCATGCAAATATGTGCATTCTTATCACATTCTACACTACTTTGTGCTAATTGTCAGCTTCATAAATACTTTAAAATTTCAATGGATAGCCTCATTTTCAAAAACATGCAGTTTCATTTTCAATGTAAAGACCGAGTTATACCTTCTTCCATGGATTTATCCGATTCCTCCTCCTCGGAGAACTGGATAAGTTCTGTATCTTGTGTAGTGTCCACACCTCTCAGTGTACCTCTAGACTGATCCATTGATGTATCTATCACTGATGTATCTAACGACTGGACACCTACTTCCTCCAGGGTTTCTATTAGGGATACCCCTTGTGAGGCCTCTTCTTCAGAACGATCTTCCCCATCCCTTGCATCAAATATCTAAAAGAAGAAAATAATTGCAGTTTGAATACTTTGATCAGTTTAAAGCTCTTTTAGGAATTATAAAAAGATAAAAAAAAGTTAGGTCTTTCTCACAAAAGTCAAAGTTGTGAATGAAATATTTATCATGGGAAGAAAATTCAAATTGAGTACACTGACACTGTTAAGGTCATTTTGTGAGAAATACATTAGTGTGTCCTACCATGCATTAGTAGGCACCTGGGTTGAACCATTAACCTGTAAGCTATCTAAATAGCTTCCTCACACAACACAATATAAAGTCCCTGGTAGGATTCAAATCATCAGCAATGGGGGCCAATATTTCAACTCAACAACTTAAATCACTCTGCAATTGAAGCTCCATATCACCAATTACAAATATAGATATGACACAACATACAGTCAAACATTGATGTCACTGGGCTGACTATTCCTAGATCTATATATAAAGTATAAATGTTAAACCAGGAAGTTACTTGTAATAGTCTACCTGTATGTTCACAGTAAATGATGGACCATCTGCCCTTACAGACACTCAGTATACCAATTTGTGTCTTTATTTAATATTTCTTTAAATACATGTATACAAACCTGTGTTTCCATGGTAGCACCGTGAGACTCAGACCTCTCAGATTCCGTCCTGCTACTTCCTGTTGGTACCATGAAGTCTCCAGTAGACTCTTTTGTTGATCCCATTGTGCTATCACCATGGAACTACAAAAATAAACAACTTATATCTTAATAGCTAATAACTTCACAACACTATAACAGATTTGAATAGACCCTTACCCCCTGCTTTGACAAATTAAGCAACATGCACTTACTGTGAAAACTAACATTATGATCCACAAAAAGCATTTCTATATGAATAATATCCAGTACACACTATATAAGTGTGTCCGCACAGACTTTGTATTATTTGTATTTATGGACAGTTTTAAAAAAAAACTGTCCTCAAATACCCAATTCATGTCTTCATAAAAATAGATTTAAGTAAAAGTAAATGAAGTTGTTTTTTTACCTCTTCCTTATGAACATATCAAAGAATTAGACCTAAATAGTATTTATGGATTTAAAAAAAAAATAAGTTCATCAAATCAAATCATCTTTTCAGGTGAGAAATAAAATTCTTTACACATACTCAACAATTGATGATAATATTTTTTATTCTACAATTCTATTCAATGAAAACTCCAAAATACATTATTGAACTTTATATCAAAACTCCATACACTTTATTCCACTTTTATTTACTTTGTAAAATATTCAATCATGATAATTTTGCTATTAAATTTCCTTTTTTAAAATCTATATTAACACCTAATATTTTCCCATTTTTTTACACAAAAACATAAATTTTCTAAATATTACACACTTTCTTTGTGAAGTACAGTTATTTATTTAGAATCACTACTTTTGCTTTTAAATTTTATTGTCCTATATTTCAATAGCAAGCTAATTTTGAAATACTTCAATTATAATTTTGTCTACCTATTCATTCAACACTGCAATTACTTCCATTGAATAGGTGCTCTTTTGTGCAGGTACATATTTTTTTCCCAATTATACATCTATTATTTGTGTATATTTTCATTTAAAGGAAAAAATATTTTTAAAAATCTATTATGCTATTTATAGAGATCATTTTAATTCCAATTTTATTTGCCTATATGAATTTGGCAATCTAGTGCAACTGTATTAATGAACAAAATTTGTAATGGTTCATTTGACATGAAAACATGAAATTATTTGATCAATAAGAAAATATTACACAGTTAAGGCATTCTGATTGTACTTTATTAACACTACCTTTTAGACTGTTGTGGAAAGGAAGAAATATTTATTTCAGATTTTAAGACTTAAGGCAGTTTAACCCTTATCATGATGAATTGCTGAATTTCTTAATAGGACTTGTCTAGCTTTCATTTTTGAAACAATCAGTTTTAAATTATTGAGAAATTAATATTGTAATTTTAAAATAAGTCAGCTAACTGTGTAGAGTCTGGTATGTTTATTTCTAACCAATTAAAATCCAAACAGAATCTGACCCCGTCCCCACACCTTCACCCCTCAACTCCCAAAACTTTAAAAATAACAATAACTGTATGAATGAAACATAACATCTTCATATAATTATATAGGTCATCTAACCTATCAAAACCAAAAAAAGAATCTACACCAGGCACCCCTATACAAAGATCATTGAATTGTTTGTAACTACAGAGTTGAGAAGTGTATGGAAGTAGTGTTATCATATTAAGTCAGTAGTTCTGTGAGAGCAGATGTCATGTATTGATCTGCTTTCATAATGAACAATCAATATAATCACCTGACACACACACAGTTGTGAACTACTTGTAACAGATACAAGCATAGAAAACATGCTCCTATTAGTTCATTACAAAGGGAAGTTACTCTGTATTTACAAAGCATATTTTCAAACAGGAGTTACCTGAACTAACTGTTAACAATGTGCCCACTAGAAAATAATCTTAATTTTTCATTCTCTAAGTAAATAATATACATGCCATGAATGATAAATCTCTTAAAACTTGGCGGTATGGAAGATGCATTTGAAGGGTGTTTGGGAATACAGATAAAATCATTTGCCAATGTAACATTGATTTTTTTTCAATTCTTTGAATGGCTAAGGAAAATAGACTCATTTCCAATCCGTAGAATCTTGTATTTATCTAAAATAGTGTCAACTGATATACTTTCCAAATTTATTTTATTTTAAAACTAAAAATGTTCCCCAGAGCCACTCCCAAAATGGGGAACAAAAAAAACCCACTGACACATATCCTTTGACTTAGGCTATATGATACATAGAAAATAATAACTTACGACAGGTACAGTCTGGGTAGGTGATGCTGTGTCAGGGTATTGTTCTATAGCTCTCTGTGCTTCTACAAGCTCCTTCTGTAGATCTTCAATCTGAATCTACAAACATATATTATACACACCTTAACAGAAAATCTTGCAATTTATTTTATTTTTTTCCATCAAAATTATGTTTTTTGTTTTCAAAGTAATATATATAATAAGCATGAAGTATTTCTTCATATTTCTCATGCTTTATATAAAACTGCCCGTAAAATTGGGGGAATCATCTGGCCTTATGTTATAAAAAGAATCATAAATTCATCAAACTTATTCTGCTCATTTTGTAAATGTTATCAAGCAAATCATGCTTTTCTAGACTAATTTAATGTAAGTCACTGAAAAACATCATATATGTCACCTTATAGCTGTAACAGGTTAACACCAAATATATTTCAAAGGAACTGAATGTTAATGCAGTAAGGTGACAAAATGTACATACTCACCATCATTAGTTTACTTTATTCAATTTTTCATCTGAATTTAATTATAATTCTATAAACTACTGACCTTGTATTTGACAGCCATGTCATCTAGCCTGGACTGGTGCTGTGTTTCTAAATTATTCAACTCATTCATGTGTTTTTGTAACAGTCTCTCTTCCAAGTCCCGTAATTCTTGTTGATGTGCTAACTCGAGAGCTTCAGAATCAGAATCATCATCTGATAGACCTGTAAAGTAATGACAATCCATGCATTTTTTTTATTTCTATTTCCCCCAACACCCCATTCATTTTGAATTGGGAAAATTGAGAATTATAAACAATGTGCATGATTAACAATTAGGGAGATTTAACAGAGTCTTTTGAAATATTCATTTGTATTCAGTTTATAATAAACAAAGGATGCACTTCATAAAAAGTCATTAAGCCTAAAAAGTTGAGATTTTGGGAGAAATCATCACAATTAAGAATTATCAGCTTTTATTTTGGAAAAAATTGAGAAAAGGCAAAAAAGCAACAGAAACTTAAAAAAAAAAAAAAAAAAAAACTTTTTCAGCAGAAACAAGCATTAGAAATGTGTTCTTAGGACACAGATACCTTTGAGATTTCACTGTTTTGTCTCTCTCCTAATAAACAGTGTGACAGCTAATCAACTTGATGGACTATGACAATTTTTTTATATACATTTATACAGGTGACCATAACCAACCTTCTCGTAATTTCTGTATGGAGTCCTGGTAATCTTTCACCTCTTGTTCATGACTTTCCTCCAGTTCTGATACCTTCTGTTGATATTTAGCCTCGGTCTCGGACAACTCCTCCGTTAGTTGTCTGATCTCCTCCTCGTGTAAAAGTTTCATCTGAGCAATGCTGGATTCATACTCTACAATCTATATACAATCATACAAATATACAATAATACAAATATACAATAATACAAATTAATTATATTTGTACATGTAAATTAAACTAAAACATCATCTTTTACTTTTTGGTGTGCATAGTGTCACATTATCACAGTTATCATTATTTTCTCTCGTACTTAAAACCCTTAGCCTGCTGGCAGCAAATTCTACCCATGCAACCAGTGCAGACAAAGATCAGCCAGCATGTCTATGCCACCTATTCATTGTCTGCACTGTTATTCAGTCAGTATATATTTTGAAATGTTCCCCAAAAATGATGAATGGTTATGTCCACATCGAAAGATGGACAAGTCCATTTAAGATACTTAGTGTGGTAAAATTAATATTGGTAGAAGACATATTATATAAATCATATGAATAATTGAGAAGGCTAAATTTTTGATATATCCTAAATCTTTCATAAATCATGAAACATAAAAGTGTAATCAGATATCTACATATGCCATGAAATATCCTTGTGACTTAGTAATTTATTGCTGTTTGAAATAAATAATAATTTTGGATATAAATATTCTCTATTGAAAATAATTAATATCTAAATTAATCAAACACGGTTTAATAAAGCTATTTAGCCTGTGAAATGTTAATATATTGTGATAAATATGCCACTTAAAACCAAAGTATGATCATACCTTTGCTGCCAGTTCTTCTCTAAGTTTATCAACAACAGCACTGTCCTCTGTTGTATGTCCTGTCTGCATCTTTAGAAGTGCCGTATTTTCTTTCATGACCTTGACCTCTTTGATCATGGTTTCACTGACCTCTTCCTTGGTATCACCAGACTCATCTCTATCTTGTGTTTTATCTCCTTCACCTTCTCTTTCCTGTATTACATTATGAGAATTATTGTTACACTAATTGAAATAAGGGTAAAATATACCATTTTTCATATCTATAATATTTGAAAACATTTGGCTACATGCAGCATTTTACCTATAAATGTAACCCATTAATATAAGTGAAACCAATTCTCAATCAAAGAAATGATCGGGTTATGTAAAATCTTTTGTTGTGAAACTTTAATTTTGAAAAAAGGCTTAGTTTTTTCTAAACAAAGAAGAATCAAAAGCAATATGTATTTTTTCTAAATCAACAGTTTCAAAGCATTACTTTTAAAGCGGTACTGTTTTGTCAAACAAACATTAATCATTGACCATATTTATGATTCATATTCATAAACATGAAACTTGTTACTTCTGTTTTGACTCTTACCTGTTCATGTTTATCTCCAGCATCTGCAGACTGACTTGGTGATTGGCTTGCTCTAGCCCCACCCTTTCCATCACCCTTGTCATCATCATCATCAGTGTCTTTATCTGACTTATCACTTGTTGAATCCATTGTCGTAACCTTTTCAGAGTCCTCATCTTTTTCACCTTCCTCAGTATGTGTTGATTCAATTGAACCTTGAGGTAGGAGAACAGCTTTTACCCGAGACACCGTCTCCTTTTCAACCTTTTCTTCTTCCACTTCAGCATCATCTTGCATAAGTTTTTCATATGCTGCCTGTAGTTGTATCATCTCTGCCTTATGCTGACTCTCTAGTTCAACAACCTGAGCTTCATACTGTTGTAGTAAAGTGTTACGGAGATCAGCCATCTCTTTCTCGTAATGTACACGTTGATTCTCTTGTTCCCGGTCTCTCTCAATGATAATCTCCTTCATTTTTGAATCAAACTGTTCACTCAACCGTGCCTACAAATACAATCAATGTAATATATTTACTAAAACATATGCTGAAGGTATTTTTCAAATAACTTCATGCTATCTATCTTTAAAATGTTCAAAACCCAATAAAACAAATCATAATATTATAAAAAAGAACTCCTATTAACTTTTTTTTTTTTTTGTTTCATTTCATTTTTATTCACATATACATGGTTTTAGTCAATGAATGATTGCAAAAGTTAATACAAGAAAAAAGACCTTTAATACTTTGTTTTCTTGCAAACATTAATGCAGGGAAACAGACTCTAAGTACTTTGCTGTCCTTTCTAGTTTTTCTCCATTTTAGTTTTTACATTGATTTTAACAAATTTTCGGTCATAACTCTGTTATCTCAGCAGTCAATCCACCTAGCCGTATTTCTTGGATAACACCAATAATTACCAATACACTGCAAGTGATCAATTTCTTAACCCTTGTGATTTCTTAATCAGTTGTGAAAGACAAATAATCATTAGACTCAATGCCGAGATCAATTATCACAGAGAAATTTTGTCGTTACTGAGGATTAAACCAGGTGCCCCCGTTCATAATATCTAGCACGCCTGAGTGGTACTAAAACAGATAGAGATTAGAATAGCCCATGATCTCAATAACCTAAAACACTTAACCATAAAGATTGTTTTTTCAATACTTAGTGTTTTTTTCTCTCTTTTAATATCAATGTATTTAATTCATTCTTTACCTGTTCAGCTTCAATAGTTTCATCACATTCTTGTTGTATTAAAGTTTTGGCCATTTCTAATTCCATATCAAACTTCTCTTGAACTATCTCAGCTACTTCTGGAACTTCTCCTGTTCTTAAACCTACAAGAAAAAGGCAAACACTTCTGTTAACATGAACCATTGCATAGTTATATAATATATAATGGTTTTCATTAAAAGGATTAGAAATATACTCGCAACTTTTCTAGCTATTAATTCTGCAGACAGTGACTAATATTAATTTTCAAAATAAGATATTTCATACTATTCAGTGAAATATCACTGCTAATATCTACAAATTAAAGTGCAAAATATGCTATTAAAACTTATGCTATCATTTGTCTTTATTTCTTTTTATTTGTTAGGTCTAAAGTCTTACAGGTTTTACAAGTTATAGTAATGAAAGAGTTAAATCAGTTAAACAGCTATTGTACACTGGTGGAAGTTTAAACTAAAATGCTTGCTTCTAGGGAGAACCATCAACCTTTAAAAAGCTAATTGGATGGTTTGATATATCTACAGAAAAATTATCTTGTCAATTTCTTTATCGGAAGAATCACTTACCTTCAACAAGATTATCATATCTATCTTCTAGGTCTAGCAGTTCTTGTTTATGTTCCCTGATCAAGTTATCTTTTTCAGCATCAAACCCTTCTTGAAGCTCTTCCCTGTAGAGTTCCATTTTTTCCTCATATTCCTTGCGTATCTGGGTTTCATATGCCTCATGTTTACGTTTCAACTGGGTCACAGTTTCTTCATGCCATACAAACATGTCAGCTTTCACCTTTTGTTGAGCAGCAAGTACTTCAGACTTTGCCTTTTCAACATCTCCATTTAAGCTTAAAACTTCAGTTTCATGTTCAGATTTCAGTTCTCTGATTTGAGCTTCATATTCTTGTTTAAGTTTTTCTATTTTTGCTTCATATTCTTCCACTATTTCTTGCCTAATTTTGTTGTCATAACTACCACTATCAGACTGCAATAATTCCAACTTAGCTGTTAATTCTTCAAGTTGTTTTTCATAATTTGTTCTTAAACCTTTGAAAGAGGCTTCAAATTCACTGGCAATTTCATCATAAATTTCTTGTCTTAGTTCTGGCGTACCAAGTTTTGATTTAATTTGAATACCACCAATTGAATGAAGTTCAGTGTCAGTGTTGACAGGACTGTCACCACTTGCTAAATCAACCTGAGATTTTTGTAAAGTGGATAAAGGTGAAGAAGGCACTGACCCTACAGTCGATCTATATTGAGCAATTTGCATTTGTAATGAATTAATTTTATCCTCATATTCACGTCTTATTGTAGACACATATCCTTCATACTCAGTTTGTGATTTTGGCTTCTCTTTTTCCTTCTGTGGCATTAAATCTAAAGACCTGGAACGAGATAAGGCATATGGAGCACCAAGGGAAGGGGATTTTATTTCTTTCTTACTGTCAACTATGTCTTGTAATGTTTTTAATTTTGATTCATACTCGTCTGTAACACTTTGTAATTTGTCTTTAAATTCTAAAGCTAATTCTGCTTTTAATTTCTCTCTCATTTCTTCTTCCGAATCACTAGCATCTTTTTCTCTATCTGATACCTCAGCTTTTTCTGTATCCCGTGTTTCAAAAGTCTTAAGTCTAGCATTCATATCACTTATTCTTTCCTCATATTCATTTTTCAATTTGTCTATTGATTGCTCATATTCCTGAAGTATACTAGACTCTACATCTTTTCTCAATGATGCTTCTAAAGACTCTCTATCTAAAGTTTCTGTTGGAGAAGCAATCATTTCAATTTTGCCTCCCTGGATTTCTTTACTGGAAAGACCTATTTCAAATTTCTCCTTTAATTCTTTAATTTGGGATTCATGTTCTTTCTGAATGCTGTTTAATTTCTGTCTGAGATCAATTTCAGTTCTCTTATATATTTCTAGTTCTTCTGTTGTTTGCCTACTAAGTTCTTCTCTATATTTACTATCCAATTCATCAGCTTGTTGTTTTAATTCTTCTTCTAACTGTATTTGGAAGCCTGCTTCAATCTCTGCTATTTTGGCTTTATTTAAGATTTCCATTTCCTCCTTCAATTGCATTATAGCTTCACCATGCTGTGAATCAAGATCATTTAACTCTTGTTGAATTCTGGCATTTGCCTCTTTACTAGCACTAAGATCTTCTTCTAGTTTCTTAATTCTTTCTTTCAATTCACTGATTATCTTATTTTCATCTGCACCACTTTCACTTTTGTCTTTTTCACCTTTTTCTTCTAAAGCTGCCTTTTCAAGTTTACTTATTTTTTCATCTTTATTGATTAACAATTTCTTCAATTCTTCGATTTCATCGGATTTGGATTTCAAGCTTTCTTCAAAATCATCCAGTGTCTTGTTACTGTCTAATAACTTACCATGTAAATCTTCAGCACTTGTTGCTTCTGCTTCTAATCTACCTTTCAACTCTTTAACTAATGTTTCTTTATCTTTTAGCTTCTCTTCAAGAGTATGAATTCTTCCTTCCAGAATTTTGTTTCCACCCGGTGGGGTAGATTCAGGTGTCATATCTTCATCAGAGATTGCTGTGAGCATTGTGGTGCGCCTGACATACTCGCGATGTTGTCCGGCACTTAGGGACTGTGGTGATGGTATCTCAATGCCTGTTCCGGACTCCTGCTGTAGTCTGGCAAGAAGCTCAGCATGTTCTTGTTTAAGTTGAGCTATGTCGGTGGTATAGGACTCCTCCATATCAGCAACTTTCGTCTCGTAAAACTGTTTCATTTCTTCCAGTTCTTGCTCATGGGCAGATTTCAGAGCAGTTTCTAAAAATAAATAAACATGACAACATTATTCTTTGCAAGAATCATGTACATGCATTTGTTTCAAGGTTTTTTTCTTACTTTCTCATTGTTAAGAGTACAAGTATATTTTTTTTAGTTCTTATTCTTAATAAAACATTGTTGTTTTTTCCAAATTTATGTATGAGATGTACCAAAAATCCATATTTAAAGCAAACTAATTTTCTATTTTACTCCACACAAACCATTTTATTTTGCATCAGGTTTTGTTTTAGAAAAATATTATTTTCCTATGTTTCTTGCAGTGTTTACTCAAAGAAAGAAGTATCAAGTATAAAAACAAACATTATTTTGTTATATCAGCAAACCAAAGTTGATGACCAAAAGTACCTGCTTCACTTCTCATTTTGCTCCTATTCTGGAACTCATGGAATTCCTTCATTAGATAATCCATGCTTGTAACTGCACTCATACACTACAGAACACAGTCCTTCTAATCATACAAATTATTCAATCAACTAATCAACACATGCACACACTGCCTTGTCATAGTCTATCAATCTCAATATTGTATTGGTGCCACTTCTCTTCCTGGGCACCGGTCCTACACATTCCAAACAAGTGTAAACTTGCATGATCCATACAATCTCTACATTCCATAATGATCATTTTCCATTTTGTTCATTTCTATAGATATTTGTTTCTATGACTCTTCATTTCATTACAGTCATCTTAGTGAAATTTGTTTCCTACATGTATAATTTTCTTCATTTCAAATAATTTTGCTCTACTCTGATATCAGAATAATCATGTTTTTAAAGCTGTTTCAATATCTATGAGATAAAATCAAGCAGCTAACAGCACAAAGTGTGGTCAGACTGCACAATCTTGCAGATTGGCCTGGCTCTATACTGGTAGCATGAGCATCATCTGTTCTCATCAGTAGCATTGAAAAAGCCACATGTTACAATTTATGTCTATTATTTAAGAATAATAATATTTTCCAAACTGTATTTTAATAAGCTCAATAACACACTGTTTGGAGTCGGATGCAAAATTTATCACGATGGCGTAGCCGGTGATATAATGTTGCGCATCCGAACGACAAACATGATGTTATCAGCGATAATCACGATTGGATATATATTCGATCTAAGCACGACATTAAACAAATTAAATGCTCCGTTACCTTGCTATTAATTATCCAAATTGCGCCTGATTTTTTCCGTAATTATTGTCACGTCGGAATTTTTCATAGTGTTCTGTACACATGAAATGATCAATTACGTCACAACGTTAAATATAGGCAACGAAACATGACTCTATGCAAATAATACAACTTTCGGTTCTCAAGATTCAATAGGAAAAAAAGCGGATGTGTTTAGTTTTAAATTACTTCCTAATATCTCATATCTTTTGCCTTATTTTGGAACACAATCCCTTAACATCCTGGTCAACAAAATCTCAATAAAGTCTGGTATATCAATGAAATCCACAGAAATACTGCCTTAAGAACAACTGCCATTTTCATTTATTTTTCCAAACAAAACAAAACTGAGCTTTGATAAACAAATGAGCAAAATTTCTTTAAGAATATCTTTCCTATAAATTTTGCTGAGTAATTCTCTTAAAGAAGACCTAATAACAGGAGAATGGTACCAAATTAATTTGGTCTGCATTAGTCCAAAATAACACAGTTCCTCTCTGCAACCTGCCACTGGTAATTATTCCTCAATTATAGAGAATTTATAACCCTGAAATTAGTTTGTCTCCAATCCCATGAACTTAAAAAAGGAAGAACAAACTAAATTAAGCAGCCTGTCATCTTCTGTTAAGTTTACTGGATACATCCCATAACAAAGGGTCTTTTAAAATCTATAGGCATAAAACAAAACCAATTCAAATAGGAATAGCTGCAGGCATTTTCCAATAAAGTATTGATTGCTATTGGTAATTTTAACTGAAAATTTTAAAAAGTGCAAGCATGACAAAATTTCCAGGAAACTGTCACAAACATAATGCAGAATTTTCTCTGACAATTGAGCCGTGTCACGACAAAACCAACGTAATGCGTTTGCGACCAGCATGGATCCAGACCAGCCTGCGCATCCACGCAGTCTGATCAGGATCCATGCTGTTCGCTTACAAACCCTATTACAAGTAGAGAAACTGATAGCGAACAACATGGATCCTGCGCAGATGCACAGGCTGGTCTGGATCCATGCTGGTCGCAAACGCATTACGTTGGTTTTGTTGTGACACGGCTCAATTATGTAGGTGGCAGCACTGATGTTTTATGAAGTTAAACAATGAGAACGGAGAGAATTATCCAAAAATTACAAAGAAAATTCCCCAATTAAACAATTGTATCTTAACATCTGGAATATAATCATGTACATGAAAAATCTCACCTCAAGCACCATAACTATGTTTTTGCCTATGTCTAGTGGTGAATTCTAAGCTAGCTCTTTCCAGGCAAGTACTTTAAATTAAAATGATTTACCGGCCACTAATTGCACAATTACAGCCAGTTATTGCTACAATTACCTTTAAAAGAGACCAATAGAGCAAATTTTCCAAAATACCTTATCAACTTAAGTAAATCCTGATTATCTTTATAGATATTTTGTATTTTCAACAAGTAGTCATTATTACAAATTAACTAGGCTGGAACAAACAATCTTGCTTTTGAATTCAGCTCTTCAGCTAGTTTGTTAAATCTAATTTGATCAACTACTTTATCAATTACTTTGATATGCTATCTGTTAATTTCTCCAAGAAACACAACCATTTAGTCTACAAGTAACAAATTATGAGTGTATAAATAAATTAAAGATACATTCCTCATAAAACTCTGCAGGGACAAATATTAAATAATTCAGATTAATAAGATTTTATATTACTGCATGTTATAACATTCAATGTCATAAGGCAACTATGATGCTTTATCATCCATTTACTCATGGTTGCTGCAAATTTCTGAATTCATTTTGATCAAAAGGCAGCAATTGTTCAGTTCTGTAAAACTTTTTGAAATGTTATATGGCCATAAAACTGTTGTTTGCAATTAATGTAAACAAAGAACCATTTATAATGTACTTTTTTACCTGTTAAAAACAAAATTTTGTAACTAATAATGTTACACAAGAAAAGCACTAAATTTGTGACTTTGTATGTTTTATTTATATAAAGTTTTTGCTTCTGTATTTGTATATATGCAAACTTAGCTGATATTAAAAAACGAAACAAAACGTAAATGACAATACAGGAGTAAAAAGTAGGCTAAGCCAATCTTTTTAAGGGTAAAGTGCTATATTTGTCTGTCTGTATTCCATAGAGTATGCTTATCTTGAAAAAAAATCTTACCCTGCAATGTATCTAGATCGAGAAAAAAAAAAGAACATTAATTTAGTTGTTTGCATGACCAGATAACGTGATGCAAGCTTTTTATGGATTGGAAGAACGTAAAAAATTATGTAAATAAGTAATACATGAACTGTATGCCATAACTATCCCTGCTCTTTGTTTGCTAATAACTGTTATATTGATTTGAAAGATTGTTGAAAGAATACGCACTTGACATCTCACAAGCCTGTGTTATTTACTCAACCTTTACCTTTTTCTCATGTATATATACTTCAAGAGAATTCAATCAATAAACATATAATACTGTGACAGAGTAAAGTGACATGTACATGGACACTGCAATGATGAGGTGATAGCAAAATATAACAAAAGCCAAACCGTTTCACCTTTCATATTGAAAAGTGATCTAACAGCAACAAGTAAACTGATTAATATCCATTTAAAATTTCCCTTCAAAATAAATCCAGAACTATATCATTATTGCATTGATGTCAATTTCTTGTAAGCAGCAATATACACATTATTTCAGAATGCAACAAAGTTTTCAACAGCCAATAACATTTTTCTGATCTTTTTCTGAGTGAATAACATGTAAAATCATGTCCAAGACACTTAATTTGACTTGGATGAATTACAATTTTAACTTATATCTTTTCTTCAAAATATCACAAAATAATTTCCAGACACGCTATCATATCAGAGTTATCCAGCCTGAGACACTTAAATCATATCCTTTTTCATCCTGATCACATAAAACTCTCCTTTATATCATTTATTGTTATAGTAACTTGGTTAATAACAAAGTTATTGAATGGAAACCACTGTAGCTGACAAGTTCCTGTGTTTCAATTATTGATCCTCATAGTGGGAATAAGTACCTACAAATACCAATTATTATCCTTCCAACAGGGACATGGAATCAATTTTCCTTTCTACTTCGATGCATGCCATATAGTAAAATCTGTCCTCTTGTCTAAATGACATACATTATTTAACCTGATTATTATTATCAATTTTTAAATAATCTTTATCAAATTTATGCATTTTACTACTATAGTAATTTTTTTTTTAACCTTTTTTCTGTTAAGTTTCTTAAATGGACTTGTTTAGTTTTCATTTTTGAAGCAATACATTGTCAATTTTCAAGCCAACGTGATGAAAATTGAAAGATGGTCAGCCAACAGAATTAAGTCTGGTTATATTTCAAAATTGTGCTAAACTGTTAAGCTCTTAGTATTAATAATGGCATTGAAAACTTCAAAATTCAAATTTTAGCATTCTTAAAGACTTGGGGAAAAAAACTATCAAAAGATTTGACTTTCTAATGGTTTTAAGACAATTTTACTCTAATTTAAAACTAAAACAAAATTAATGTTTGTTACAGATTCTTCAACCAAATAAAGATAAAACAATGAAAGTATTGATATGAAATTCACACTCTCTAAATCATTAAAACTACAGATAAAGATTATCCATTTATCCACAATAACAAAATATCCATCTATCCAAAACAGTACAGTCTTCTAAAACAAGCATTGAAAAACAAATTAAAAGAATACAGCAACTGAACGAAATGCTATTTCTTAAACAAATCCAAACAGAACAAATTTTTCCAGTGAATGATTGATTTTATCCCGTTAATCTAGTGGACCAGTAATTAGTTTGAAGCTGATAATAAGAAAATTGACTACATTGTACACAATTTCATTAGAAGAAAATCTCCCCTTTCAAGTTATCCGAAACTAAATTTCAAAGTAATAGATTCACACTGAACCTGTACCGCTATGAAAGCAATTAATTTCTGACAGATAATTTTAAAGTTGTGTTCAATCAATAAAATTTTCCTCGAAAAAATTCTTTAAGCATTAAGTCACATTGATATCAACCTAGTTAATATCCTTCCTTATAAGTTTATCTATATTTCAAAACATTTGAACACAGTTTGACCAAAATCTTTAATCCACACCTATATAATATGAATAGTTTATTATTTATATAGAGTTTTCACTACAAAATTTTTAATTCTATTTCCAATTTTACACTACACTTCAATTTTAGCCCAGCAAAGAAAACTAAGTGCTGATTATAATTTACTTTTATAACAAGGAGTACAGCCTTGATAGTGCAGTGTTATGTTACGAAAATATTGAAAAATATCCAAACAAATCAATGTTAATATATCATTAATATCTCCATAGGAGATCATATTCTGTGCATTTCAAGGTAGAACCTATTGATGAAAATATCAATAACAAATAATATCTCATTATGCATAATTTCTTCCCTAAATAATGAAAATAATTATCAAAAAAAAAATTCTTTAAAAAAAATATCACATAATATAAATCATGTGAACCTAAAGGCAGCAAAATCAAGTTAGTTTTATAATACGACAGTTGATTCTGTCAATACTGGTCAATACAGATTTTCTGCTGCTTCGTCTGCATTCAGAGCTTAATAAGGCTCTAGGGCTTCTTAAGTATTGTCATTTAATTTTCAAGGCATATGTCTAATGAATAATTCAGCATTTATCTTTGAAATTATCTGCTTACATAATGTCCTTCCAATTAAACAACTGCAAGCCTACAGATTCTAAATAATGCTTTAATAGGGATGTTCAATTAGCTACTGATGATAGTAACAACAATGTTGTTGAACTGGATGATGAGGGATAATCAATATATTATACTGGTACTGAAGAAAATGATGATCATGACAATGAAGATGATTCTTCAAAAGATGATGATGGTTAGATGGTGATGATAAATGTAACGACTATGCCACTCATCATGATGCTTATATTACTGGAGTAATGATGAGTTTGATAATGATGATAAAATTATGATGATGATGATGATAATGATGTGACTGATGATATAGATAATTTTGATTAAGAAATAAATGATTACAGTAGGTTTTGTATATAATTAGTATAACAGATAAAGACTAAGAGTAAGAAAGTTTCTATGTTTTATTTATCTTTTATTCACTTAAATATCTTTTGGATCAGATAGGTACTGTTCTTTCTTTGGGTCAGGCAGACACTTGAGAATATTTGGGTCAGATTGACTTAGTCAGAAGGACACTGGAATTTTTTTTGTGTCAGACTGACACTGTTGTTAGATAATGTAATATGGCAATTTTCAAAACAGCTGCCCTGTAAGTACATCGTCATGCATTTTTTTAGGCACAGATTACACATTGGTTAAACAATAGACATTCTAATCATGGAAAGTTGATTTTAAGACACAAATCTTAATTTTAAAACCCAAAACCACCTACCATTAAGTTTAAGTTTCCTACGTTTTCTATTTTCCTCCAGAAATCTATCCACCACAAATTTCACTTTATACATTGTACTTCTGTTACTGCAAGCATTATTGTTAAGATTTTTGTTGTAATTCTTGTGTTGTTTTCCTTAAATCATCTCTATACTACACTATTAATTTTCACTTCCTTCTTGACTATCTTAACATTTTTTTATAAACACCATAATCTTTTATGTAATTTTTCACATATACACTAGCCTGAAAATGCCAGTACCATTTACAAAGTAATCAATCCACGAGGTGCATATTCTACTACTCTTAACTAAATACCAAATTCTTTTAATATTGTTCAGCATACAAATGTGGCCCATATCCAAAACATACATTACATTCTTAAAACACTCAAATTATCACTAACATGAACGTTTATCCTGGTGTTTTTTATGTTACTGTTCCTTACATAATTTTTAATAAATCCCTCATAATTATGGTGTTATTTCAAATCTAATAGTACATCTGTAAATGTTTACTGCCCTAAAGCATTACATGCCTTTTTTATAATTGTTGTTGTTGTTGTATTCTTCCTTTGTTTACCTACACCTTTTCATCACAATGTTTAATCAACAACACCTTCATATCCTGATTCTAATCTTTCACAACAATCCAGCCAAGTTTGTTTTATTCCTGTTTTCAAAATTCTCATATTATCCTATGTTTTATTTTAGAAAGTTTTTTTTTATTATTTGCTTTATTTTAGCACTTATGATTAACAACATAGCTGTACTGTTTTGAAACATTGATTCTCCGTCTATACAAATCTACATGTCTGGTGTACTATACCTGGGAAAAACATATGGGAAAGATAATAGACTAGCTATAGAGTCAATTACCTGCCCTGCCAGAAAGGCTTATCAGCATATACAGTGTTAATTCATAGAGTATTACAAAATAGAAATGGGATTTTTAACAGATGATTTTGATGTTTAAAAAGTTGTACCTTACCAATTGCCTCATATATTAAATACTGGTGTCTGGAAAGATATTTAGTCTGGTAAGGGTAAAATTAGTATCATATATAACAGAGCACTAATTTTATATGAAGAAATCTTCCAATCAAATGCTTCTCATAAAGAAAGAAATCTTCAGAAAACAATTAAATTTTGAGACAAAATATAATAATTTGTGCCAATATTGAAATTGCTACTTGTATTTCCAAATAAATTTGGTGAGTACAATATAAAGTTAAATATCCTTAATAAAAACATGCTTTAACAATAATGAAATTACTTCTTGTACAACCAGAGCAAGTCTATTTACTGGTACCTTTCAAAGATTTTGATACAATCAGGAAATAAAGAGAGAGAGAGTTTCACTAGATAAAACAGCCATTATAAAGTGAGAGTTGCATCATAATATGAAGACAGGGCCCTGGAGGGAACTTTATCTATGCTAGGGAGTCAGGCAATGCTCTAATTAATGACTTGTACAATATTATCATGTGTGTACCACATGTGCTAGGTCATAAACTTACACCAATTAAAGAAAAAAATATATGGGTAATTACATTTAAAATGCATGACTAATCAAACTGCAAATATTTCACATTTAATATCATCTTGTGATAGTACTAAAAAATTTTAATCTGTTATAAATAGGAAGATGAAAATTTTATCTTTTTTCACTACATCTTTCGTGAGCAATTTTGCTGCATAAAATTGCATGATATATGATACAGTCATAAACAACATCAACAGTTATTTTATAATGCTGAGTAATACTTCATCTATACAATAATACGGGTAAAATTTTCTGTATAGAATAACAGTCGGTGAAACAGCAATATTTTGATAATAAACAAAGTCAAGTTTGAGCAATCCAAATTTAAAGCCTTTCAAAGTTTTTGATAAAGGAATCGATAGAAAAGTGTAATTTAAAGCAATAAGTGTGTCATGACATGTCTGTTTCATGACATCTGTAAGAGAAGCTTAAATTGCTTTTCAATCAATCAGACAGACAGACAGACATATACTTTATTTACAATCAGGTTCTACAGTACATTCTTTTTTTTTTGACAAATGTAGTATGACAGTTTGCATGCAGATTATGGTATGAATATAAATTGTGGAAAAAAGGTTTTTACTAGTTGTTTTTTTTTCCCAAAGGATACAGTTTGAAAATATATACATATATCCGATGGTCATCAAACAAATCTCAAATTATACATTCACTTTAGCATCAAATCTGATGAGATGATACAATTTTGATCAATGTGCTTATACAGTGAAACATGATAATCATGATGGAAATGATACTTGTGAGGAAACTGATGATAATGTTAATGATAATTGACAGAATATTGGCAATGATGATTTATATGTCATAACCATGAAAGTGACTGAAGAAAATCTTTAAAAGATTTTTCTTTGCAATTTCTTCAACCAATCATAACAATGCAGAGGCACAAAAATAAATTCTCAGAAATATATTTTCTCTGCATAACTTATCTTTCCAGAATGCTTCATTCATTCATTCATTTATTCATTCATGAAATCTATCAATCAAAAGATCAATCACTCAACAAACCTATTGATGTACCAAAATTTACTCACTCATTAATATGTATGGTAAACACATCATAAAAACACTACCCTTTCATCCACTCACAAACTTATTGACAATATAGGACAATACTTGCCCTAAAAATTAGCCAATCATTAATTCACGTTGTCCTTTTTTTTAACTGAAAAAAAAAAGTAAAATTTAATTTTCTGACATACCTGTTTGGGATTGAACTTTAGACTGGAACTCAGCCATCTGGTTCTCATACTGCTGCTGAATCTGTGCCATCTCCTCCTGTAGCTTGCTGACCTCCTCCGACTGCGAGGCCATAACCTCGGCCCTCACTGACAGCATCTGCTCGTACTCGCCGAGCATCTTTGCTCTCAGAGCAGATATTTCCTCAACCTGTTTGTCAAGAGACTTCTGTGCATCTAAAACAGGAACAAGAAAATATCAATTGTGAGGAGTAACATATACATTATAACCCTTAAGACTGCTGGCACCTACAGAATCTAGCTATGCCACCCAAACAGACCACGATCAGTCGGCACATCCATGCCATCTAATCCCTGGTCTGCGCTGTTCACTATTCAGTCAGTTCATGTTTTAGAATTTTCATAAAAATGATGAATGGTTTTGACAAGTTTAATAAATGGACAAGTCCATTTAAGATATTTAGTGAGAAAAGGGATAACTAACTACTAGTTTAAGTCCAGAAAATGTTCATTCTAATTAAATAACTTTATCAAGAATGTACATAATTTGACAACTTAACGTATGTTATAATTTATTTATGTAACTGTTTCATTCATAATATATAGTAAATATTCATGACTTTTTTTCCTGTTTGGTCGAGTGAACTTCACACCAACACTGGAAAGGTCATATGGTGACTTTCCAGCTTTAATGGTGGAAGAAGACCTCAGGCAGAAACCGTCAACTGAGTAAATCCACCAATGTTCCATAAGCTAGCTGAATAGCTTTCTAACATAAAAGAATCCAAAGTCCCTGGCAGGATTCAAACCCACAGTGATGAGAGCTAGTGGTTTGAAGTGAACAAACTTTACCACACAGCCACAGACACACATATTCAAGACCTTATTTCTGAGGTATTACTTTAGAAAATCTAGAAAAACACTTTAAACAACTTACCTTCTGCCCTAGACAGAACACCTTGTTTCTCCGCTACATGTTTGTACTCGGATCTAGTTACAGGTGCCGAGGCCACGCTGGCAGTTTCCACACCGTCAGTCTGTGAATCTTGTGAGTGACGGTGAGTAACAGATGTATCCACGTCTGCCTCAATGTTCTACAAGAACAAAACAAATGGTGATCAAAACTTCCCATGTTAACATATGATATATCTAAGACCATAAATATAGCGGAAATTAAATAAATACAAAGAAAAGTGACAGGAAATTGTCACAAAATCAGATTTTCAAACAAATTTATATTAAATCATTTGAAAACAACAACACTAAAGAGCAATTACTCTGCCAAAAATAATTAAATTACAAAATCCTGTCATATTATAGTGAGACTGGGCACTTGATAACAATCTTTCTGTGACAATTTCGTTGAAATCCCTTGAGTAATGAAGGAGGAGTTTTGCACGGAAAATGCATGTCCAACGACGTGCACCATTGTAGTTATCACAGTTCTGCATTCAAAAGGAAATAAAAAAGTGTAAAATTTGAAATGAAAGTAGAAGTACAAACCTGTATAATTTGACGGTGTTCCTCTGTTAATTTCTTGTTTAATTGGGAAATAAATGTTTCACTGTCTTCTTTGCCTGAAACATAAATTTTGATTTTTTTTAAAATATAAACTTTTATATGTCCTGAATATTTCTATGACAGAAAACCAACATGTCATGCATTTCAAAGATCAAGAAAGGTATAGACTAAGATAAGATGTCATCCGAAATGAAAAATAATATGTTATGCACATTTCAAAGAAATTTGCATTACTGTAAAATCATAGAATTTTGATTTGAAGTTTTCCAAAACTGAAAATATGTAGTGTCCATATAATTTAGGGATACAACTTTTTATACAGTAAAAAGAAAAGCAAAGTATTGTATTTATAGCTATATTCGTTATTGGAGAATTTATTTTTGTAGTGAAAAACAAATCAACCAAAAATTGTTCTTCACAAATAACGTTGATTTTACAGTAATTTTTGAATAATTGAGAAAGATAAAAGGCGAGGTCGCCAGAGAATTGCATGCATGTGAAACTAATGAGACTTGGAACTAGAATTTCAAACTATACCAGTAAACTAACACATGTGTCTCTTACAAAACAGATGTTACTATCTGCATAAAAAATAAAACACCAATGTCTGCAAAACTCATCTAGATTGTATGCATGATATAAAAGTTCAAAGGTTAAAAATATACTAAAATAACTCTCCTTTCCTCGGATAAAGTGAGATTTTATTTTCTCTCAATGGAATATTCCTAGTTTAAACAGATTCAATTATTCTTTGTAGTTGTATTATATAATCATTTTAAAGTCTGCTTCAAAAAATAAGTGAGGAAACATGGTTGTGGCCCCTGCCAGGCTCATATTCAGGATCAACCACTAGGTCATCACTCTTTATTAAACCAATTTGTATGTTAATTTTATACAAGTAGGCATGGGTTTTATTATACATGCTATCTGGTAGCTGGGTAAAAGCACCTGCAACATGTTAATAGCATGATAATTTCTTTACTCCTTTCAGATTGGTACTCAACTTCCTATATTATATCCTCATACTTCTAAAAATGACCAAACTTCTTTCAGATAGGATGAAACCCTTGTATTTCCGTACAACAAACTCTCAATAATATCTCAAATTTCAGCCTGATCGCAGCAACTGAATCAACCCATGTAACCAGTACAGACCAAGCCAACACATCTATGCAGTCTGATCATGATCTGCACTGTGCTATTCAGTCATTACTTTTATAATATTAGAAATTTTCCCTAAAAATGATGAATGGTTTTGTCCAGATTAAAAGATGGACAAGTCCATTTAAGATTGAGTGTGGTAAGGGTTAAAGACTCGATGAAATAATCTATCACTCAAACACTTTGGGCATGAACTGACTAGTCTATTTGTAAATCATACATACAGAATTTTAAAGTCTTCAGTTTGGCTTCATATATAATCTATATATTTACATACATACAGATAAATCAGTTCAGATAGCTTTCTATTTTTTCAACACCCGCAGTGTTTTCTTTTTATCTAACTATTCAAAGATATCCGGCCACATTTCTTCCTACTCAATGAAGAAACTCCCCTCCAAAAATAAAGAAATATTAAAGCATATACATTTGACATAAAGCTTTAGCATTTGTAACTAAGGCTTAATAAAAGTAATAAAGCACTTTTTTCAATATTAAATAATGGAATTTAATGAAAATTTTCAGCTAAAATGCTTTAGTCACGATATATATTTACATGTAAATTTCCCATGTCCCCTCCCACATGGAAAAATATTTTTTTTAAAACATCACTTACTAGTATTGCAGAAAACTCAGGAAAGAATAGTTTAATTCTTATAAATGATGTCTTTTTCTAACTAAACATACCTCACTTTGAGAACTTTCCTAAGATTTAATATTAGTATACCTAATCTTAGCTTTAGAACAATGCTAACATGTAAATGTAATTATCAATTAACTTTCACCAAACTAAATACACCAAAATTTTCCGAGGAATATCTGAACTTTGACTCATTTTATATGGTAAAATAAAAACAGAAAAATAAATCTATCTTTTACATAGTATAATAAATAATTATCTTAACTTAGTGAAAAACAAACTGAAAGGCTATTAACTTTAATTTCTTCTTGCCTGAAAAAGTCATGACAATAAAAGTTTACAGCCACAACTCATCCCACTCCACTGTATAGAAAATATGATATATTAGACATGTGCAAATTGCTACCTGCAGAGTGCAAGATTAAATATACATGTACATATCATATATCAATATTATAAATCTAAGTATTATACATTTGTTCATTAAATTGTGTTACAATATTATTTCACTTTGTTTCTATGCATTACATTGTAGATAACCTGGGAAAATCACAAATACTGTTTGCATAATACTGTACAGAAGTAGAATTAAGGCTCTTTCCCTACCTACAAACTATTGAAAATTCAAATTTAATTTTGGAAATTCCTTAAAATTGTGAAGATTTTCCTAATCTGCTAAACTTTTTGTCTTTACATGACAAACCCTATTTATATCTGTATTTTCATCTGGAAAAAAAGAGTGAATTTTCTGACAAATTGTAAAAAGGTAAAATAAATCACTGACCTATGTTCTTTGATTTGAAAATGCAAGTATACATTATCTCTTAGATCTCACTGATTATCAAGACACACTGAATGTTTAATTGAATCTTGAAATGCACACTGATATCTCCAAAATGTTATAATTTATATTACTTGTTGGTGTTAAGTTACATGTAAAATTTTGAATTTTACAAAGTACATGTACAGCACATGTAATACTATTTTCCAGCAAATGTTTCACTTAAAACTGCTGGTACCTCTATTTCTGAGGTTACTTTATACTTTTATTTATTTTTGTAAACTCTGTAAGAAACCAAGATACATTAAAGGTGCTTTCTTAAACTGTTAAACAAGTAAACTTTGCAAACTGCAAATTTTTTTTTCTGACCAATAAACAGTTTACATGCATCCTCTAATTTCTTCCTTTATAAAAAGAAACAAAAATTATATGCTGCATCACCGAGCACATAAGATTATAGAAACCCTTTTCATTCTGATTTCTGGCCTTAAATTTTTATCCAAGCCTCACATTTTCTGCAGAAAAATTGAATAAATATGAAATAAATAGTCAGTCAAGTCTAGTGTATAATCAAATTCATATAACATGTTAAAAGTTTAATGCAAAGGCATTCATTTTGGTGGATATTTGTCATTGACAGTAAGTCAAGTCTGTCACCTGTAAATTTTGCAGATAATAATTATAAGCACACAAATTTCTAAAAATACAGATTTTGTGGTCAGATGATAATTTTCTTACCAGAAGCTAACATTTCAATGACAACAGGTGGCGTTGTTGTCCCCGATGATCCGGTATCGGAGAATATTTCAACTGGAATTTCGCTAAGTGCTCGCACATTTTCTGTTGGAGGTATGCTACTTTCAATGAAAATGGAATCTCGCCTGATAGGTGCATTACCCATTTTAAATTCTTACTCCCAAAAAATTTTTTAACAAATAAACTTCTCCGAATTAAGCCATAACATAAATTTCAATTATTCTATATTGTAAGGTTAAAAGTTGTCACAACCAAATTTTAATTTCCTCATTTACTATTGTTGTCTGTCCTATCCATACATAATCCTTTTATCAAAACTGACTTTTTCTTAGATTCCTACAATTCTTTTAAGAATTACACAATAACATGACTTGATAATAGCTTCTGGCAAAGAAAAAAGTTGTTTCATCCTTACAGGCTCAATGTTAAGTTAAATATGAATCTTGTTTATTTCAAGTTTCATCTTTAAACTTTACAAATAGTCAAATAAACAGTGCAGAACAAATGTATATATTACTTACATCAAATCAAATATACGTCATTTATCAAAACATTTACCTTTTAGACGTAAAGCTTCACTTATTTTCTATTCAACATGTATTGCTTTAACTTTCTATACATAATGTGACAAGAAATCCAAATCAAGTCAAAATATTATTTTTACTTTCATAAGGTTATTTTTCTAAACGTTGAAATTAAAAGATGTTTTCGTTCAGGGAATTAATCTAGCAAAAAAGATTTGGCACTTTTCCTGCATAATGGCCATTACCAGTTAAGAGCCATACAATAACATGTACCAGCTATGTTTACATTAAAGATACAACTGTATGACATCAAATGTTATAATATTTCTGACTCTTTTAAATTACAAAATTGCGTCTTAGCATTTTTAGCCTGCTATACATTCAATTACACCACCCTTACTATAAAGTAGCTGTGTCATAACTAGGACTGTCATTGAATTATCTAATATCAGTATATCATTAATATTCAACTTTTATTTCTTCACTAAGAATATCTCTACAATTTACAACTCAATGGTCCCTCAGTGTCTTGCACAAATACCTCTATATTTTGTCTGAAGAGAAAGTCTCATCTCTTCCTGTTTCTTTGAAAAGCTAAATTTAATTTTGAGAGGTGAGCCAGACATTGTAACATGAAAATATAACTTCTTATAGTTATAATTTCATGTTTTATTTGTGATTATTAAAACAAGCATGTATAACACCATGATGACAGTTTATAACATACATTTGTATTACTGTATTTAAGCTAATTAATTTGATACATCAATAAATCATCTATATTCAGCTCTCAATAGAGCAAAGCATAATTTTCCATCAATGACAGCCCCAGTCATATCATGTCCACATTCATTACAAAAATCTTTATTAAATTAAAAACTGATTATACAGAAAAGCGCATGTCATTTCATTATTTTTAACCTTCAATAACTTCCCAGATACCACGAAGCACCTTTAATGAATCTCTAGCTTAACTTTAATGCTGTCCTGTAGGCAAGTATAGTTTCATATATACAAGTTCAATATATCCCTTTACAAATCTAATTTTGTAATTAAAATAAGATCCAGATACATACATTCTATGATGAGAGCATTCAATGGAAATGACAAATATACAGAATCTTAAACTTATCATTATTATATGGGACAGTTTTATTAACATAATCTTATTTCGTGTCATTGGCTTATCAAATTTTGAATTTTGAACTGTCCATTCTTAGTTGAAGGGTTTTTAATTCAAATAAGACTAAAGCAGCTAATTGCATATGTGGTCAACAGGCATGCTGACTGTCCGTCAGTTTGTCATCATAACATATTAAAGTCATTATCACACATAGCACCATAAAGGATTATACATTGAACTTGTATTAGCATAAGCTTTAGGTTAGTTGTATATATGTTGTTGTTCTTGCTTTATATTTTTCTTATTTTACATGTACTTACCAGCTGGAAGAATTGCTTCAACTGTCTGAATAACTGGTCACAAATGCACAGCAAAATAGAGTTATCATAAAGAAATACACGAATAACTTATTTGCTTTCAACATTAGTTTTGACAATTTAAACATACCTATTTCAGCTTGATTGAATATGTGATGAAATCTTAAAGCTTACTGATTGAACCACTCTTAATTAAGCTTCCTGACTTAATAACCTGTACTAGACTAGTGCCATAGGAGGAATCAGGGTCATGACCCGAGTAAAGCTCGGATCACTTGATTAGAAGCCAGACACCTTATCCACGAGGTCTACTTGTTGCCTCTTTACGATAAAAACTTCATCAATAGTCAGTATAATATATAGATTTTACCAGACTTGTATCTGAATAAAGGTCAACTCGGCCCTGAGTCATCTTGAGCCACTTACTCGGCACGGTCAACTTGGCCCATAGATATATATTACTGGTAATAGTTACTGTTATTATTTTCATATATATTTTTCAGCATTGCTTTCATTGTTAAATATCTTCATGTTTATGCTAATGGTTTTATTGATGGAAGTATGTGAATTTGTATAGAAAGGAAGAATTTGCAGTTTATATATGTATGTTTTGCTTATATTTCAGATATTTTTTTGTAGAAAATATTGTTCAAACAATATGCTGCTTACTTTTTTTCAGTTTCTAGTGATTGTAACTCTGAATAATTTTACATTTCAGCAATTCAGTTAATTTTCACTCATTGTGGTCATTTGTTCTTTAAAAAATCTCTAATACTTTTTAATCTAAATAAGAGGACTGACTTGAAGTTGACCCGGGCCTAGTTGACCCTTTACCCTTGTATTCCTGACAGAAGACAGGCTAGACAATATCAAGGTGAACCATTCATCAAGACATGGCTGACCATGAGTAAGGTCCAGATGGACTATGACTCCTGACTAGCCGGACCATGCATTAGTATCAAGTCTACCAAGAAAATTGGAACTTGAAAGCTTTTCAAAATAATATTGTTTTTGTAGAATTGTCCTATTTTTATCTAACTGAATTATTTCAGACTTGCTAAATATTTAAAATGTTAAATTATAGATAAAGTTTAACCCAGAGCGGTTGTTTGCAGAAGTGGATGTAAAAAATTCTTAAACACAAGTATGGCAGAATGGAGTAAGAGATAGGGGGGGGGGGTGTTACTGATGATGATGACAATGTCTTGCCATCTCAACAAATGTAAAGTATAGTGAGGTAAATGATTATTGCATAGTCTTTAAAATGCAAAGAAAGTATAGTCCAACTAATTGTACTGCGCGACGAGATATTGTGCTATTTTCGTGTCTGGGCAATATCTCGCCTCTAAAGCGTTAAAGCGAGATTCTGCCCCAGAACGAAAATATCTCAGAATCAAGCTTTGGCACGTCAATATATTTTGACTAAAAGAAAGTAATGCAATTATCATGTTCGTTTTCTTTTGTAGCAAGTTAAATTTGGACCTGCACTGTATCTGGTATTATGATACTCTTGTGTGTGCTTCTAAGTAATAGAAAGTGGTTGAACTTATTTTCGCATCTATATCAAACTGAACCACACCTAAGGGACAACCTGTCATAAGCGTGGCATTTAAATACTAAACACGTTATGGAGGGAAAATTTAAAGCGTACCCCACCCATCAGTTTTACCATTAAATCAATGACAAAATGAATTATTTTCAATGTAATCGGTAATTATTTATATACCACTAGTTAAAACTCACCTTGCACTTAGATTTTAATAATATTCATTACATGATCCACATTAAATTCAGCAATATATCCACTATTTCACGCTCTAATTTGTTTATGTTTATATTCTCCTTTTTGAAGAGTACTCTCCTTTTTGTCATGGAGGTCTCACATACCAAAAATACATCAACGTCGTAATATTATTGACATTAACGTTCAAAAAACAATAGAATATCTTAGTTATACAAGTTGTGAACTGAAAAATATTTTAATTGTTTTATTGTTTAAAAATGACAATTATTAAATCTAAGAAATTATTGTAATAATCATTTATTTAACACCTGACAAGACATTTTTTGTAGGATGAAAGGTATATTTAGGGAAAAAAATGAAGTTGAGCTTAACATTTTAAACAAAAGTTGTAAGAGAAAAGAAACGTTCATGAATTATATGAAACATAGTTATTGTCCCTGTTATAATTATATGAATTATGTTAATCTGAGTTACTGCCCCTGTAATATAAAATTTTTGAAAGCTGTATAAACAAGCTATATCATAGCTAATCCTTTCAATCTACAATAGTTTGGGACAGAAAAGAGCTGATAAATATGTACACGTATATACTTTGTATATTTGGCAAAAAGCAATAAAATAACTGGTGAACACTTCAAAAACACATACAGAAGCAAACTATAATAGTAGATTGATTATTAAACCACCACACATATATCATTAAATGAATTTCAATTATGTAAATCTCTATGCATGCACTATCTTTAAAGTATAATACTGTTTGTTAATAAACTCAAACTGGCCAAATCTGTTAACCAAAACAAAACAAACGAAAACACACACAAATTAATATCTGATTAAAATAATTTTACAACATTAGCATTCGTAAATTATGATCTAAAATGGCAAATGACATCTTTTCTTTCCACTATTTTTCAAGTATTCAAAGAACTCACCTATTGCGTGTCCGATTCTGGATTCCTTCAACTCTGCTTCATAATCTTGTTTAAGCTGTTCAAGTTTACTGCTGTACTCTTGTTCAATTCTGTTCAGTTCTTCTTTATGGTTTTTGTCCAGAGTTTCACGTAGATCTATCATGGCCACCTCATGAGACTGTGTCATTTCAGATTTCACAATCTCCATCTGACTGTTATAAATCTCCTCTAATGTGGAGCGCATGGACTTCACTTGCTCATCAACGTCGTCCTTGAAGAAAATTTAAAATCTTATTCATTATCACATGTATATAAATAAAAATAATACTGTTTATCACAATTAAATTAAAAAAATCTCAACATGGAATGAATTTTAAAATGGCAAAATGTAATTTTGTAAAATGTTTAGTAACCCATGTGCTATACATGTATATCATATTTCCTGACAAAGATTCTAAAGAACCGAAACCGGTAGAAAAAACCTAAACAAACATGTTGACATGTTGTACTTCTTCGTTTTCCTCTTATTTTGATGTATAATACAGTCATGTTTATGTAAATCAGAATGTATTGCCACATAACTGGATAAAACTGCCATCCTGTTTCAACCTGTTTTGAAGTAAATAAATTTTCTAATTTCTATGTGAGACTCTATTTGCTGTTCTGATTAACAAAGGCAGACTCTCCATATCTGTGTAATTTGTGGATTTGGCCTTCTTTGTGTTTGGAACATTGAAGGATTTCAATAATAAAATACATATGTTAATATTAAGCAGCTAGCAGCTTACAGTATTATACAGGAACTGGTCAGACTGTTAGTACTATGAGTTGAGATATTGTATTATTTTATCTATGTGTAATTTGTATTTATATCTCTAAAAGAGGAGCTGGTCTGGCATCCTATATTAGTGGCCTGGTACCATGTCACAGTTGTGCCATCACTGAAACAGTTCATAAAGAATACATACCACGTGTTGTCTGTGCATGTCCTCCAGCTGTGCCTGGTATTGTTCATCCATACTTGACACAAGAGAGTCTAGTTTGTCTTTCTGATCACCTGGTAAGCTGCGTCTTATTTCTTCCTTTACCTAGAGTAAAACACTCAATATCAATATTTACCTAGAGTAAAACACTCACATATCAATATTTACCTAGAGTAAAACACTCACATATCAATATTTACCTGGAGTAAAACACTCACATATCAATATTTACCTAGAGTAAAACACTCACATATCAATATTTACTGTATCTAGAGTAAAACACTCACATATCAATATTTACTGTATCTAGAGTAAAACACTCACATATCAATATTTACCTGGAGTAAAACACTCACATATCAATATTTACCTAGAGTAAAACACTCACATATCAATATTTACCTAGAGTAAAACACTCACATATCAATATTTACCTGGAGTAAAACACTCACATATCAATATTTACCTGGAGTAAAACACTCACATATCAATATTTACCTGAATAAAACACTCACATATCAATATTTACCTAGAGTAAAACACTCACATATCAATATTTACCTAGAGTAAAACACTCACATATCAATATTTACCAAGAGTAAAACACTCACATATCAATATTTACCTAGAGTAAAACACTCACATACCAATACAATGTACTTATTTCCTCTTTTTATAAAAAATGAATGTTTATCATTCTGCTCTTTCGGACACAACATATCTAACTTATAATTCTCTGGTGAATGGCCAAATACTAAATTTGTAAGTTAAACTTTCAATTTTTCCACACTCAGGAGGTGTGGATATAATTATTTATTACCAGAAAGGGTTACACATATTCAAGAAAGGGTAAGGGATTTACTGTTTTTCTAGAGGGGTCACAAATTAAATTTCTGTGTTATTTTCACAAGTTTTTGCCTGAATTTCACTGAAAGAAGTCCAAGTTGATATCCAAATCTCAGAGGGATTGAACATACTTGCCATATTTCAAAGGGATCATTACCCACTAACTTCCTCTTGATCCCCATATGCACCGCCAAGTCAATGTGCTGAGTGTAATTTTGGTGCAAAAATAGCCAGGAAATGTTTAACTTTACCATACAGGTGACCAATAGGGTAGGGACTTTACCTGGGGTTTGAAAAACAGAAAGTCTACAACCAGGGAGCTGGGGAAAGGACTTGGGTTACAATTCTCTACAGTGTTAGTTGCTTGATTTCTCCTGTTAATACTCCAATAAAAAGTTTTAATGCAATGTTTTCTTATGTTCTTTCAACAACACTGGAAAACTCTGAAAGCATTTTATTGATTCCTGTACAAGAACCATGCATTAAATGTAAAACAAGTTTCTCTGATCTTTTGTTCATTCACAATTTGACATAGTTTTCACTAACTGGAATAAAAGGTTCCTCCTGTGCTCCAAAGCTTCAAAGTCATCAAGGAAAGTGTTCACATTAAGTTCACTCTATTGTGTCAGAACCGTATCATTATTCAAAGGAATAATGAAAATAAAACATCATTGTTACCACAACTGCCTTTATCATCATCATCATCATCATCATCAAAAAGAACAACAGCATTATCATCATCATCAACAACATCATCATCATCAACATCAATTACAACAACATCAATAACATCAACATAAACAACAACAACAGCAACAACATAATCATCATCATCAAGAACAACATCATCATCATCAACAACAACATCATCATCATCAAGAACAACAACAACATCATCATCATCATCAACAACAACATCATCAACAACATCATCATCATCAACAACAACATCATCATCATCAACATCAACAACATCATCAACAACAACAACAACATCATCATCAACAACAACAACAACAACAACAACATCATAATCATCATCAACAACAACAACAACATCATCATCAACAACATCATCATCATCACAAAACATTCTGCATTTATTTAGTGTCTTTTTCGTTTATAAATTCTAAATCAAAAGTTATTATTATCATCTCAATGTATCTGTCTCTTCTTTGCTAAGAAAACAATACAATTTTATGAATATAACATATTGTAATTTCATTTGCAAAATAAAATGAACTATGTCCTTTTCAATTTTTTTTAAGAGACCATTTTACAGCCATAAATCTACAAAAACTGACAACATAACCATTATTCTTACATATCCAATGCTCTTATGTCAAATATACTTGAATCCAACATAGAAAGATCTTATCAAGGACACCTTTAAGCTAGATGACTTGCTATACTAATCTTTTGGGTTGTTCCATTCTACATGAGAATCTCTATTGCCTCAGTAACATACCTTATATATTGGTATTTGTATCATCTATCACCAATAACAGAAGATACCTGAATTATACCGGTTACATATACATCATGTGTACCCTATCTCAACACAAGGGTGAATAGTGGGGATTTTCAATTTGGATAAAATGAACAAAGCCCTGGAAAAATTCCTATCCTGTAGACAACAAACAAAACCTCAAAATATCCCAAGCAAGTTATACCGAATCTCTGACACACAAAAATATATCCTGTTTCAATAACATTCATGCTCTTTAGTGCTGGGATAGCTGAATGGTAAAAACACCCCTCATTTTTTCAGCTACCAAACCATGTAACTTATGACTGAAGGACATCAAAACTTGACAATAAATGAAACAAAGGACACATTTGAAGAAATATTTCTATAAGCAAATTAGGAACCTGTCTATATTGTTGTGTGATATCGGATTCCTGACCCTGTCCACCCGAGCCCTCATCTTCCTTACTGTTACGACGTTCTCGTGACCGGTCAATCTCTGTACGCAGACTGTCCAGCTGGTTCTCATACTGGCCTCGTAGACTCTCAAGCTGAAATATATATACAATAACATTTAGTAGAGCTCTTAAACAAATTTAGATATATCATAACATTGAGTAAATAGCCATTAAAGAAATATCTATATAATAACATTGAGAATCTAGCTCTTATAATTATATACAATAAGTATTTAGCCATTCAAGATATTCTAAATGAGTAGTATCATAAGAAATATTGTAGAAAATGCAATAACATTAAGTAGCTCTTAAAAACTTTTAAAAGTTAGTGATATCATAGAGAATATAGTAGAAATTATATTATACAATTATATTGAGTAAATATTGCTTATATAAAAGAAATTACCATCAGAAATATGGATGAATTATAGTAGAAACTAAGTTATAACAGCTAGAAAATAGTGCTTAGTGATAATATTATAGGACTTTCTATATGAATGGTTTCATAGCAAATAAAGTACAAAAAGTAATGCAAAGAGTTCAAAGAGGTTTCTAAATATATGTATCAGTAGTAGAAAAGAGGTGAGTAATTTTGTTTAAAATTAACCTGTAATGAAAAATATCATGCCAGAGGTAGTCAATAACATTTTAGAAAATAGTCTATTCATGAATATCATCAAACGAAACAAAGTTATGTAATAATACTGTTAAAATAGCCCTTAAAGACATAATATATGCAAGATACATCAGAAACCAAGAAATACAAAAAACATTAAGTAAATCATCAGTATAGATATTAATGCACATTATCATACAAGATACAGTATAGTATAGAAACAAAGTATGCCTTGAAACATTTACTTCCAGACAAATATTACATCTTATTTAATATCGAATTTGAAAATGTCTTTCTTCTAGTGCTGACTGGTTTGGCTCTTATTCTAGCTGGTGGCATTATAAGGCAAGTAATTTACCCTTGATCTACTGAAACCAAAAAGTTTTCTTATAGTATAGAGCCAGGCCAGCCTGCTCAATCATCTGATCAGGTTAGGGGTTAATACTGTGGGTATTCTGACAATTCATTAATAAGTTATTACTTATAAATGTACAAAATATTGTTATATAATAATAGTAAAAGAAATATCAAAGGTTAGATGTACTACAACTTTTTCTTAATTAATGACAAATTAGAAATGAAATTGTCTGATCATTTCTATGCTAACAGATTTTTGTTTTAAAGTTTAATACTGAGTCAACAGCACTCATTAACAACTGACTGGCATAGAATATTGATCATACTCCAAGATTTTTCAATATCCCCCCCCCCCCACTACCACCACCAGACAGACATGAACACCATTGAAACACATAATTATTCATTCACTGTATGGACAGATGTGATGATATAAAATATGTATGGAGAAAAATTTATTGTACATTTTTTAGGTTCACTTCTAACAGATGAACACTGTTGTTTTTCTTCCATCATATATTTTCTATAGAAGATGAACTTTATAAACATACATTCTAATAGTTGTCATTTATATGGCAAACAGCTTTAAACTCTTCATGTCATGTTATAAAATATATATTACTTCATATTTTTCATACAATTGTATTGGGAAAAAAAGGGACTACATGTAACTTTTATATGATGGGGATTAACCTTTAGATGAAATTAATGTTAATCATTAATTTATATTCAAAATTTATACACCATTCAAGTAAATGTCCATTATTTTGTTCAATTATTTTGCAATATCATTACACTTCCTTTTGAACCAAACTGTTCAAGCCTTAAGGCAAGGTTTTCAAGAATATGAATAGAAAGATATAGAATATAAAAATTTATTGCTAAAGGTGTCGTCAAAAGTGTACATTTTTGGCACATCAATAAATGTGTGGATATTTTAGATTACCAATAATTAGGTAGGATTTGATCATTTCAAGTACTGAGAGATAAAATTCCTTGTATGCAAACTTTATGGTAGTCATATGAAGTCTAATAAATGCCCCATATCTTCTGTATGTGAGGGGGCGGGGACAAATGTTAAATTTATTTTATTGAAAAATCAATATACCAAGACAAGTGTAGGACAAAAGCCCTCCCATCCAAAAATGACAAGACGGACAAATGCTATCCTGTGAAAATGATAGGGCCTGTCAAACTGCTGCCCTGTCATTTTTTGAGGAGAGCTTTTGTCGGCCCTTTCATTTTCACAGTAGGGCTTTTGTCCGCCCCGTCATTTACATGGGCAGGCTTTTGTACGCCTTCTCTTTTTTGGATGGGAGGGCTTTTGTCCGTTTCCCTGCCAACACATATCAGACAATATGATGTGAAGTGTTAACTGTAAAATAACTTTGTATCGTATACTTGGCATGCTACTTAACTGTCAATGTATATATTTTACACTTATAATAAAAAACTTGTTGTATTTTTCCATTTTCCTTTTATTCTGATTATAATCAAACAGTTAAAGTTGAGCAACCAGCAGTTTTGAGTATGTTAGGACAATATTGATGTACAGAATGGCCTGACTTTAAACTGATAACTTAATGGCAAATTAGTTTCATCACTACAATTCATAGAATATGTGTTTTAAGAAAATTTTACATGTTTTAAGATTAGTATATATATGTATTTATATATCAGTACTTTTCTTTGTAATAACTATATATGAGCCGCGTCACGATAAAACCTGATCAGGATCTATGCTGTTCGCTATCAGTTTCTCTACTTGTAATAGGGTTTGTAAGTGAACAGCATGGATCCTGATCAGACTGTGTGGATGCGCAGGCTGGTCTTGATCCATGCTGGTCGCAAATGCACTATGTTGGTTTTGTCGTGACACGGCTCATATATATCAATATCTTGACTTTATTCTAATATCAATGGATTTATTTTTATATTTCTAAACATGCATACATGTGTATGCTGAAAAATCTTCTTAAATTGTGTTTTAAAATTTCCAGCTTGCTTAAATACATAAATACGGAATTCTTAAATCAATAAATTGTAAATATTTACCTATAAAATACATTGTTTAACTTATCTTATGACAGCCTTTAAAATGAGATACACTCTAGATCTATATTACAGTAGAGGTTTAAGATAACTTATAAGTTACTTTATTTGATAGGTTTCTAAATGATACAGTTTGGTATACTGAATTTCATAGTGACTTATGTTTGAGTATTAAAGGAATTGAAGTACAATAAACAATTTGAATTTTTTTATACAAGATTTGAACATATATTAATGGTCAATGACATAAATTTCAATTCAAAACAAATATCGACTGTTACATGCCAGTCTATACTTTTATGTTTTAGTATAGTCAAACTTCAGTCATAGACTCCCTCCAATTAAACTAACTATAGACTACAACTGTCAATAAAAGTCCATCTTTTATATTCCCATTTGAAAACTTTTAGAAAACAATTACTTGCGTATAACTATAAGTATGAAAATTCTGATAAAAACTTATTAGATCATGGAGAACAGTAAAATATTATTTCACTTAAAAAAAAAGAAGAAGGAGAGCAGTAAGACAGATTTAGTGTTATAAGAATGCATATTATATAAGAAAACAGGAATAGGACTAGCACAACATTATACTTTATATGATTATCACCATCATTATACCATGAGCTGGTTGCTATAATCAAAGGTTTCACATAAAAAAATATGTAATCAGGACAACATTAATATACCTTCTGTTTGGCCATTTCAATAAGAAAGCCCTCGGGCTGCCATCTCAGTACAAGACCCTCGTCTCTGTCCTTCTCAAGCCCATGAAGGCTCATACGATTGATTCGGAACATGATTTAAGAGTTTACTCAATAGTTCAGACAAAACAATGACTTCGAAAAACTTGAACTTAATTATTTTAATAATATTTCTCTCCAATGTTACTTAAGTTGTCGGGCTTTGATTAAATGTTGTGTTTTATTTTAAATAAAATTCATTTTTCTTGCCTTTTCCTAACTGTAAGAAATATGAAAAAATTATATTACAAGCAGTGGTGCTTCAAGATTTCTGAAGTAGAACCCAGGTTGCATAAAATTTGTGGAAATTCTTTTTTAAATCAATTTATACAAGTAAAAAAAAAATAAAATCTAATTGTAACAAAACTGTATTACTAAGTTGCGGGGAAAAAATTGGTTTCCATAATGCAAAAGCAAGGGTATTAATAAACTATATAATGATAGTTATATTAACTTCTGTATAACACATAGGAACATGAAAGATTTCTTAAAAGGTCATAATGACAATTTAGTTTACTTGTAGCAAGTGTTACGCAAAAGTTTCTTTAATATCATTAAGAAATTGTATAGTCACCCTATACATACAACTAAAAGTCTTCAAAATCACCATCGGACTTGGCTAAAGATTAACATAATCTTTTATTATTGCATTTGTCATAAGTACTGGTAAAGTTATCGAATCAGGCTTAATTCCATTTCAAAAACTTTGTGTGTAATGTTATTTTTTTTATAATGTTTAATCTGTCAAAGTTTTTTTTTCTCCACTTTTACAAGAATAACTGAGAGTTTTAAAGAACAATAAATTAATATTTCATGCACTTCTTTCTTTGTTAAATCCAATCCATTTCTTTGATTATTCTTTTTTTATTAAGAAAATTCCAAATATCCTTGTTTTTTTTTATTAAAGATTAAAAATTTGAAAAGTCCTTCACTCCTTCCAGTTGTTTCCCGATCCCCTACCCCATTTCGTATGACAAAATCACCCGTCTATACACAAAACTACACATGGCTATATCAGTCATCTTATTAATTAGGGATCTAATTAATTATTAATCCCTCTAACTGTGTAATAGTTCCACATAATTACAACATATCCAGCCAACCAAACCATAGTAGTCTAAAATCTACCCCTTTTTTTCTTGGCCAGATTATTGGAAATTATATACATGTCCATATGTTACAAGGTTTTGTCTTTAAGTCACTAATTGAATTATTAATGAGACCAAATAATGAATAAGTGAAAGAAACATATGTCCCCTTTATTTTCTTGTATTGTACAAATGAATACAATGTCCACACCTGGAACAAACTGAAAACTTTGTTTT